TTCGGGGGAAAGGGCTTAAAATCAAAAATTTTAGGATCTTAACGCTTCAAACTCAACCACAAAACGACGACAAAACGTGGAAAATTTTCGAAATTTGAAAACGCGAATCCAAGGAATTAAATTTCAGCAAAAGGGCTTAAAGTCAAAAACTTTGGGATCTTAGCCTTTCAAAGTCAATCGATTCACTCTGAAAATGACGAAAAAGGTGGAAAACTTTCGAAATTTGAAAAACGCGGAGCCAAGAGGTTGAACCTCAGGGAGAGGGCTTAAAATCAAAAGCTTTGGGACCTCAACACTTCAAACCCACGAGACGCAATCTCAAAACGACGAAAAAACGTGGAGAATTTTCGAAATTTGAAAAACGCGAAGCCAAGGCATTAAATTTCAGCGAAAGGGCTCAAAATCAAAAGTTTTGGGTTCTTAGCGCTTCAAACTCACGGGATTCACTCCCAAAACGACGAAAAACGTGGAAAATTATCGAAATTGGAAAAACGCGAAGCCAAGAGGATGAATCTCAGGGAAAGGGCTTAAAATCAAAAATTTTGGGACTTTAGCACTTCAAACGCACAGAACTCAACCCCAAAACGGCGCCAAAATGTGGAAAATTTTCGAAGTTTGAAAATGCAAACCCAAGAAACTGAATCGCAGGGAAAGGGCTGAAATTCAAAAATTTTGGGACTTTAGCGCTTCAAACGCACAAAATTCAATCCCAGAACGACCATAAAACGTGGAGAATTTTCGAAATTTGAAGAACGCAAATCCAAGAAGTTGAATTTCAGCGGAACGGCTTAAAGTCAAAAAGTTTCGGGATCTTAGCCCTTGACTTCAAACGCACGAGGCCCAATCCTCAAACGATGGCAAAACGTGGAAAATTTTCGAAATTTGAGAACGCATATCGCTTACATCTTTGCCTTGCTTGGTTTCTTATTTTGGGGAGGAGGGGGATCTTAGTGGGAGGGATGTTATCGGACGCTCCAAGCTAGTATTTAGATTTTGAATTTGATGCCACATAATGTCGCTTGCGACAAGTTTTTTGACGTTGGCCCTCCGTCTGATAAACTGAATCAATGCGCGCGCTGTCTCGTAATCAAACAAACTATCATCTTCAACTTCCACTTTTTCTAACAAGTAGATAGCAGGCGAGACGATAGTGACGACGAAGATGGTGTCGTCATCCGCACGAAAGCGCATGATCATAACGATGGGGCTGCTCGCTGTGGGGGTGGTGGTGGCGTGTGTGGCCTTGATGGGGGATGTCAAGTACGAATCACCATGCGTAAACTTCCCACTACATCTGCGTCTTCTCCGGACGATGATAATGTTACGGCTACCTTTTCATTATCTTCATGTTCATGAAAGTGATGGTGATCATCTTACCTCATCTCATCCTAGCACACTCATGCTAAGTAATGGAGGTAAATCTGTATCCTAATAGTGTAAATGGGCAACTGATTCCTTCCTTATCGTGATAAATGAACAGGGTCAGGGCGGATTCCCATTTATTCAATTTCAGGAACTACAGGCAAAGCCAAACAATCATCATGATTTCCTAGCAGCTCACAGTTGTGATGACGGAATATGTCCACCGCTAATGTAGACTCAGCGATGACGGTGACAGCTACAGACGAAGATGAAGACGAGGAAGCAACCGCATTACGTCGTAGACAGCAATTCTATTCGTCGCCACGTGTAACCACCTTTCGTTAAGGGCGTGTCTTCCAATAATAATTCATCGTGATCATACTAGTAGCATCTCCATCTTCACAATCATCCCTGAGAGAAATGGAAAGTATGTATGCTATTTGTTATCAGAACTGCTACAGAAACATTAAGCACTCCAGAAAAGGGTCAACATCTCGGTGATCTTGGATGACGATAAATTACGCAAGACAGGTCTAACTTTCGTTCAGTGATCAAGAAATTGTGACGTCTTTGGGCCGGCAGCAATCTCCTTCCCCTGGAGATGAAGCGGATGTTAAGGCTCTAGATATCATATTGATAAATCACTTTTTTTCCCGAGGCTATCCAATGTTGATGTTGTAGAACGCAAGATAATCAATGTAGTGATTAATTTTAATGTCGATTCATCCGATTGCTTGATATGGATAAGAGTGGAGCGCATATTGAATTATAAATATGATCATGAATGAAGTCGAGTGCTCTAATCTTGTTGAAAGCGAAGGGCAGGGGCATGTGGCGCGTCTGTATCCTGAAAGTAGTGATGACGAGGAGGTATCCAAGTACCCACAAGATGATGACGCATCAGATGGAGTGTCTGGAAAATTATGCGCGCCATTTTCTTTTGAAATTGACAAGTAGTAGGTTTGTCCAGACTTCGCTGGGAATCAGATAGATCTCTCTAAAAGAGGAGTAGTTTGCTAGTGACAGACCGAAGAGGGCATATGAGAATGCACACTCAGGGGCAGGGGGCATCACTATGATGCCATCATAAGTCGTATGTTACATATGACGCAGGGACGCACGCCCGAGGATGGCCTTCACGGGGTGGAAGGCGTCAGAACGGGGAGCGGGCGGCCCCTTGCGCCTCTCTGCAGGTCCCCGGCAGACGTCCCGGCCCCTACCGACCCTCGAAGGCCGGAGGCCTCCGGGGTAGAAGGCCGCCGAAGGCGGCCACGGTCTCGAGGCCTGGCCCCTTTTGCTGGGTTTCCCTCATCAAATGCGGGGTGAGAGCCAGCAGGCCGATGACGAAGGACCCGGAGGATACAGGCCACACGGCTCAGGGGGCCCAGCCTTGCGCCTTTTGCCGCCTTCGGAGGCCTTCCACACCCGGCACGCTGCTGCTGCTGCGGCGAGGGGCCAGCGCATAGCTGTAGGGTACACGCAGGCAGCTGGAAGAGAGCGGCGGGGCCCCTTTGGAAGCCTTCCGCCCCCGGCAGACGCCTCCAACAGGAATCCGGGGATCCACGTCCCCCCCGCGCTCGGGGGGGGGGGCGACTCCCCTGAACCCTGGAACGTATATAATATTTACGCTATAGTTCTTAAGCTTTTTATGGAGGAGCAAGCCGAGAAGTATTAGGTTTAGGAGTACTGTGGTAAATTGACACCGAGAATAAACTTCGTGAGGTCTTCTAACAGAGGAGAGAGGCAACAACATTACCAGGGATTCTACATCAACCACGGCATTTTCCTCATCCTCACAGGCAAGCAGGAGCAACTTCAGAACCTTTAAGGGTTCATCATCCCGTGATAGTGACACAACTACTGTCAGTTATGAGAACGACGACGATCATGGCGACGGAGATATGGAGGTCGATGGCGATGGAGACATAGAGGTCGATGGCGATGGAGACATAGAGGTCGATGGCGATGGAGACATACAGGTCGATTGCGATGGAGACATAGAGGTCGATGGCGATGGAGATATAGAGGTTGATGGCGATGGAGACATAGAGGTCGATGGTGACCGAGACATAGAGGTCGATGGTGACGGAGACACAGAGGTCGATGGCGTTGCAGACTTAAAGGTCGATGGTGATGGAGACAGAGGGGTCGATGGCGATGCAGTTGCAGAGAACGAAATCCATGGCGATGCAGACATAGACGCTGATGGTGACGGAGACATAGAGAGCGATAGTGATGGAGACATTGAACTGGTAAGCTCGAAGGACTCGCACTCTTTGACGGAAGTGAATGCCACATATCAGTCTTCGGATTCGACTGAGCCGCCACGCGAATCAGCACCTGGGTCGTCTCTAGCGGTAACCAAGTCGTCTCCACCTGACACCAAGACAGACAACGCTTAAGGCTTGGCCGCGTACCTGAAAATCCTTCCATCCAAGACGCATCGATCTTCATTGGGCTTTTCACGAGGAAGACCGCGTCTCATTAAGTATAATTAACCAACTTACCTGTTTATAAAGATTTGAATTAAAGATGAGGAGATCATGGATTTGGCTTTATTACGTCGTCTAAAATAACAATGTAGAAGAAGAGGATGCAGCTACTGGCCGCGTGCCCGCGCCTACTAGCGTACTAGAGAAGATTGTGGACACCCTTGATGATCTTGATACGCAGATGAAAGAACCACTAGTGGTGGAGGAGCACGAGGTGGACATCAACATCATCACTTCTTCGACCACCAGTCTGATTGAGTCTAGTAAAACTTTTTCCCACGAAGTACAAGAATCAAAAGTGGACGAGGACACGATTTCGACCTGCGATCAAGGAAAACAGCATGATTCCGCAGTGCCAGCATCCGCAAAGACTGTCTGCTCCCAAGATGAAAAAGAAAATGACACTTCTTGCATCAACATGCAAGAGCACGAGGTAGTAGATGAGTATGAATATGTTGTGGTACCAGCTCACGCCACCTCTGAATAGAACCAAGAACAGGTGGTTGACATAGAACTAGAAGTACCCACAACAAAAATATTTTCGAGAAACTGCTCGAGCTCTGAGGTACTAGCAGTGCTACTTTACTTTACTTTTCTTTTGCTCTTGACGTTGATACTGTAAAAGTAAAACGACTACAATCAATGTCAGTCTAGTGCTGCTTACACGACCGACTACAAATGGAGATCTTCCGCCTCCTCTCTTCTTCTATCAGACTGTCTTTGTCTAGCTTCATATAGAGCTGGTCGTTGAATAAATCCAAGTGGCACAAGCTGCCAGTGCCAGCAAATGTTATAGCATATCAGCACTGCCATTTCCATATTGATTGAACGATTACCAGGATAAGTCGTCCTTATGTCCTCGCCAGTTTAAGCAGAAGTCGTAACCCGTTTGCTCCTAGAATGAAAGTAGGTCATCCTCATCTCTTGTTCATTTTCCAGTCTTCATCCAAAGATACCCGACTTTTTATGACGTAACCAGAAATATTTGATATACTGTAGCGCAACTTAGATATAGATGAGGAGACGTCGTATGTGATATGGGTTACCTCTATCGCTCTCCATATCTTATCGAAGTTATATGAAGACTCGTGGTGACGAGTAGTTGACAAATTTCACCATTCTGTAAACATGAATGCAATATAGGTCGCAGAGCTCGGAATGCGTAAACAGTATCATGTATTTTTGTTCCTACACAAAATGGAACTTGATGCAGAGCGCGCATTTTCCTACGTGATTCAACAACAACTCACCACCCCGAGAATACAAATAGCTTTCATAAGAAATTACAGGTATGCAAAAAAGAAAACTTTTTTATTGACTTGCTACTTGTACTTTCATCTCAGATCATCGACAACTTCCTTCGAGAGCTACAACAAACTGGTTGTGCATATCTTACACCACGCCGTGTACATTTTTTCAACAATACAGATACTGGATGAATCTTCAGTAAACCCTCTCATTTCAAAAATTTATTCGTGATCGCGTTTTGGTCTTTTTGAACAACAAAATTCTACATCACCCTCTCGTTAATAGTAATACGTTTGACATCAAACAATATGAACATGAATAGGATTGTGTTGAATCTGTGCGCGTATCTCAAAGAATCATCAAGTATTGAAACTTCAAGAACAGCTGACGCGCTTCTGTCGAACTTGAATTTTCCTGCGAAATTTTGGCATCAACGTAGTACCGGTTGAGTAAGGACAAACGAAGACGAACTAGAACACTATTTTTCACACGACATATTGGTACTCATTCGAAAAATGCTAAAAACCCTCACCCCTTCGATTCAGTTTGAAAAGTATCTCGACCATGCGATTCGTATTGGTTCAAAATTTATCTACTTACGATTATAACTATACGTCCACGAAAGCCTAGCTGAGGGCCGCTGACAGGGGGACTTGTCCCGTCCGTCGCCGGCAGCTTCTCGAATAAACATACAAGCTCTTCCCTTTCGGATAAGCATGGCACTACTTACAAAAAAAAACTACAAAAAAAGAAAAAGTCGCTCACTGCATTGAATTGAATAGGCCTCGAAGAAGGTTTTAAGTCTCACCACTCTGTCGGCCCCCACCAAACTCTTGCAGTTGAACACGCTGCAAGAAAGGGAAAATAATGAAGCACGGTCATCCACATATGGACGTGCTTCTCCCGTTGAGCCAGAAGATATCTTTAATAACAAGAACATCTTCGACCCGCCACGCATCTTTTTCGATGATGAAACAAGCACATAATTCACTGTGTATATACCAGCCCACCTCTGCGGATTCCTTCAGATATCAATGATGTTGTGATACACGTAGCACTTCTAAGAGCAACAGACGGTGCAGGGCTGCTTGTCATCTTCTTACCACGTCCCCCACGAACTACATGGAACTAGAAACTACGATACAAGTATAGGAAGTAGACGAGCCGGATCCTCGCTACCTCCAATAGAAGACCTCTTCAAGAAACTCATTTACCACTTCAGGCCCTCCAATTCAAGACCCTTCTTGTAAGCACACTCTCAACAAACTCATCATTTACACACGTCCGTCAATGAAAAACGAATTTCCACAGCGGAGCTTCTGTTGGACGTTGAGGTATAAAGAACAAAACTCTTTCCTCTTGTCTTCTCCGCCGCTGTTGTCTAGTATCGGCATCGTTGGTTTTTCTGAGTTTCGTCCAGCTCTGTTAGTCTGTCTGTCTCTGTGATGCATGTCGCGCTCAATGCTTCTCTCTGTCATCAAGTTCAATGCCCTGTGTGCTGTTTTGTGGCTGGTGTTAGTGTTTGCTGCTCGGTTATAAAATACATTCCATGAAGATGTTTGTTGATCTGCGAGCATCTGTTATGGAGGTAATTGCTTAGGCGAAAGAGAGTGTGAGCGAGATATGCAAAAGTTCAAATCGTTAAGTAGACGCAAACGGTATCGGTAACGGAATAAAGATCTGCATGTGAAGAAAAAGAGCTCCAAAACCGGACGACATGCGTGAAAACTAGAAGATGATAGGCATAGAGTGGGTAAGTAAACAGATCGCAGGTGTAAGCGGGCAAAAGTGAACGTGGGCGAGTCTCATCTCTCGGAGATTACAATAAGGTTTTTTTTGGTTACGTCTCCTGCGTCGACTGCGTGCCCGTACTCGTGGCATCGTTAATATTTACTGACAGCCAAGGGGCATAGGCATCGAACTAGTAGAGAGTTCCTATTTGCAGACATGGCTGAAGGTGAGGAAGACCCTGCAGGTGAAGCTGCAGAGGAAGAGGTGCCGAAGGAAACGGTGCCAGAAGTGTTGAATCTTCCTCTTTTCTGGCAAAATGATCGTCTATCGGACTGCCTAATCAAGCTTCCACCAGAGGAAAAAGACGCCGAAGGCGGCAGCGACGAGAAAAATGCGGATGCAGCGCCCGCTGATCCACCTGCAGAAGTAATCTTTTTCTTCTTCATCTGCAGCAGGTGGATGATCTTCATAACAGATTTACTTAATTACTTTTAACACTTTTGTTACGAGATCGAAATGTAAATGATCGCAGTTTCTCTCCTGCTGGTCTCTGTCATCGTTCGTTAAATGATTCCGCTTCATTCGCTTTCCCTCGTCTTCAGGGAGGTGAAGAAGGCGGAGATGGCGAAACAGCGGACGATGGAAAGACGAAGCGGGCCTGGCGATGTCACAAAGTGATTCTGTGCGCTGCTTCTGATTTCTTCTACGAGAAGTTTATTATTGGCGGTGGAGCTGGTGGGGGAGCTGCGGCTGGCGGTGAAGAGGGCGCTGCAGAGTTACGGCATAGCACATAGTACCGATGAAGGAAATGAAATTGAAGGAATATATCAATGTTCTTTTTGAGTTGAAGATCCCCTAGCACATACAACTAGAAAAACATACTCATACAGTGCGTTTTCTAACATATGGTGAAGCCCAAGACGGGGGAGCGCCCGCGGGAGACGAATTGGAAACACCAAGCCTTCCCAACGATCCCATAGCTATGTTGTAAAATGAGCTAAGCTAAGTACTAGACTACTATTTTGTTCTTCACCACCTCCACCAGAAATAAGCTAAGTACCATTTTGTTCTCCACCACCAGAACTCCTGCTTAATGTGCTGCTGCTGCAGGGCTAACCAGTAGGATGCAGCTACTGGTGCACAAGTTCAAGAGATGCAGAGCGTTGTTTCCAGGATTTCTACATTTTCCTTCCACTTGTTCAGCTAGTTGTACAAGTACTCCTCGCGTCTCTACTTCAACCTCGTCATCTCTGTTCCCCTCAACTCGAACTGCTTAGGTGGCTTCTTGGCTTTGTTCCTCTATGATGTCTAATCCGTTTCGAAAAGAACTCGACCTTACTGAAGCTGTACCCTTAGCGCTGAGGTATTGTTACTGCAACCAGCAATGGGAGGACATTGAGCCGGACATCGTGGATCCCGTTGCCTTGTTTGCGGCAGCAACACTACTGAAGATCAATACGCTGAAGGCGAGATGTCTAGAGCACCTCGAGAAGAACGTTCTCTCCCGGCGAACATGCACTACGCTTTTGTACCACACTATCTCTACCTTACAACTTTTGTTCTATACTATACTTTTTTTCGAGTCCACTTGATACATGATTCTCTTAGTACAACTACACGACTTTCATCGTGATTTTGTGGCAGTCTTATTGTCACTTGCGCACCATTTATGTTTGGATCCGTCTTGGCACTAAAAGTTGCTCGCATGATCGATTGCACAACTCGTGCACCGTGTTGCTGGACTTCAGTTTCAACCCTGCTGGTGTTGTATGTCCTGGATGTTCACTGATGATGCTGCTGTTGGCATCAACATCTTTCTGACCTCTCACCTTTAGTTACCACGCAACGCTTTTGGGTTCGGCCGCGTCGGAGCTGTGCGAAATGGCGCGACAGTTTCTGTTGGGTGAGTTCTGCTATTTGACAGCAGAGGATCATGCCAAGTTGATGCGATTGCCCATGAGCAGTCTCCTTCCACTGTTAGAAGACGATGACTTGCTCGTGCAAGACGAGGGCGAAGTGTATTCCCTGGTAAACAAAGTGCTCCGGACGAGGCTTCCCAGACAAGAGCAGATCCTTGCCTTAGGTGGCATAAAATTGTCCGAGGCACAGTACTTCGTGAACCAGCCAGCGCTCTTCGAACTCGTTGTGGTGGAATCAGGTACTTACCATTATCGCGAAGCAATATTGGCACAATTTTTTCTCGTCGAACAAGCACCAGCAGCACTGCGCTGTGAGTGATTCCACGACGCTGCTCCCAAACTGCATCACGAACAACTACACAGCATGTTAACACTTGTTCAAATGTGTTCAGGCACCGCTATGTGCGATGGCGTATTCTACCCTCCGGAGACGGAGCGCTACAGTGCTAGAACAACCGCAAGGTTGACCATCGAGCCAGGAACCAAAGGCGAGTTCAGTTTTCCAGAAGAAGAAGGGTACGCAATCACAACTATGTGTTATTCGAAGTAGTTAAACTAAACATACTGCATCAAGTTGTTCAAGATAATGTTGGTGTTGCAGTAATCATGATCATCATCGATCACTTGTTGTAGCCACTTCATCTAGCCCTAGGAGGCATCGCAATTTGACATAACAAGAACAGGTACGCGCTCTCGTTGACGATGCCATCTTTGTACAACACCAACGTGTCGGCATTGCAGCCACCAGACATTGTTATTAGAGCCCTGAAGGAGATTCTTCCCGCCGACGCGGATGCGAGCGATGAGGTCGCACAGGATCCCAAGTTGCGGTATGAGGTGCTGGCAGAAGGGATCCTACCAAGGGACGCGTACGTAAAGCAGCCAGCATCCCCGAGCATGCGACGGAAGCTTGGACTGCCAGCCATGGATGCAACCACGAAATCAGCGAAAGCAGGAGAGGAAACTACGACTATGAAAGGGGACCCCAAGAATCTCCCTGTAAGTCTGAGAAGTTCAGTCGAGGATAAGGTTAAACGCTTAAATAGTAGACGTTGGCGTCGTTGGTGCTGGTGCAAGGAAGCTGGAGTTGCAGATGTTCTTAATATCCAATTCAAGTAGAGGTGCGTGCCCTTGACCTTGTTGTATATGAATCTTCAAGTACGACCCCTCCCGTTCCCGAACCCGAGTAAATCTACTAATGAAATTGAAATACTAAAGTTCATCTTCAACAGTACGCCAATTAGAGAGTCGAGGTAGTTCAAGAATACGAATCACAATACCACGTGATTATACGATCTCTTTCTGGACCATGTTTTTGTTCATGCTGGATCCTGCTGACGAAGGCGGAGAGGGAGGAGCCGGTGAGGGCGGCGAGGAGGCAGAGGAGTCAGTAGTTTACTCGGTCCCGTTGAAGTTCAAGGACGATGCGAGGGGCGAGATGCTGTTTACCGTGACCGTTTCGTCACCGGAAAAGGACGGGGAGAAAGATTAAGGCTTCATGAACTGCAAAAGAAAAGGTAAAAGATGCTGAGATGGATTCATTGACAAGGAGAGACGGAGAGCGTTGTCCGGCTAGAGTTGCCATACGAATGTCCGGGTGAAGAACCAAGCTCTGGGTTTAGCGCACTGATCTCGTATCTTAGATCACTTTGCACTCTCTGCAACCGTCTGCTCTTTACCAGGAGGAGCGCTCTAAGACGTAGGCGGTGAGGGAGAGGGGGAAGAGGGAGCTGCACCTGCAGAGGCAGAAAAGGAAAATGCCGGAGGCGAGGAGAATGCGGAGGGAGGCGAAGCGGAAGCGACAGGAGAGCCAGAGGTGAAGGCCGGACTTCCCTTAGACGACGTGGACGTGGACGCTTTGCTAGACGCCGTCCGATTTCCCTATCTGCAACATCAGACGCTCGTGGACGCATCGCGAGAGCCTGTCTTGCATGAGGCAACCGCTCAACACTTAGTGGTCGAAGCATTATCTGCCAGGCTTTCCGCCTACGAGCCAGGTGGTGTCATCGGAGACAAGAAACCACGAAATTCGCTGGTAGTACAGTCGGTCGTGAAGAGCCAGCATACTCTTAGTCTGACGTAGGTGGTTACTGATGCTGTTGAGGCTCTCCGTTGCAAAGCAATGTCATACTGATAGCTTCAACTTGCTAGTAGGGAGAAGTGGCCAAGAACAAGTACTACTAGAAGTTGTTACAACATAATCAACGAGAGGGAGAACGGTTTTTCATTTTTTAGTTGCAGTTAGAATTAGTTCTGCTCCTTCTGTCTTACATACTATCCCAAAGAAGAAGAACACGCCTACAAATACAACTAGATGCGTGCGCTTGTTCCGGTGTCAAGGCGAAAAGGCTCTGCTGGATCGATGCAGGCTTTACAGGATCCACGTTCTCCGCTGAAGACTATGAAAATCGAACAGAAGCTCGCAGCACCAAGTACAGGGATTGCATCACTGGAAACTCCCTTCCATTTTGGCTATGAGCGCGACTTCGATGACAATGGGCTTCTGCATTTCTTGGCGACCAACGGAAAACGTTCGGCATGGAAGAACCCACAAGGGCTAGGCCAAGTGCAGGTTCTGAAGATACGAAACGGAGGGTAGCTGTTCTAGTGTGCTTTTTTATCATGAAACTGTAGAGGATGAGAATGAGAAATCTTCAAAAACATCACAGGGTTTGCCTCTTTGTATCATCTAGGGCTGCACATAGTGCTGGTTCTCATCATAATCCTCCCCCTCCTCCTCCTCCCTGTCTAATTACCTCTGGCGTTGGTTTCGGAAAGAGTGAGGACTTGGTTGGACGAGAGGCGCTCAATCTTAGGACAGCGAATACGGAAAATAGCTTCTTCGGCGTGGATTTGCAAGGCGATCGACTCTTCGTTTGCACGGGCTACTGCTTTTATGCTCCAAATTTCAACAAAAACAAGCAAGACACATAAGTTTAGGTACAACTACTTTTGGTACCCGTGGTGCTGGTAGCATCAATGCATTGGCAGCTGTTTGAGTCATATTTAGCTAAGGCGAATGAAGAAACAACAACTCTTGACCCTTCGCCACGTCAATCTATGCACAACAGGCTACATCAAAAACTACCACTAGGACCCTACCTTCTCTAATGCAAGCGTGGTAGGAATACAACATCACACGCATTGATGTCGTGGCAACTACAAGGGTCACGCGATCCGAGCGATCCAAACAAGTGGCAGGTTATCGACGACCGCTACAAGTCTCCGGCAATGCTCGGCAAGCCTGGGATAACAGCGTACATCATCTATTCTTTAGCATGATGAAGATGATTTTCAATCTCAAATAGAGTTAGGCTTAGAGGAACGTTTTTTCCTAAAATCGGGCATTGGTCGGCGTGCTCGATGAGCCATCATTTCTAAAAGTCTTGATGAAAATCACGACCAGAGTTACAAGTTAATGAGAGCGAGGGATACAACAAGGACCAGTCTCTTTTCAACGAGAAGAACATTCTTACAGATTCTTCGAATGCACGGCCGCAGTCATAGGATCCGATGCTGAGGGCATGCCTAACGCCGCCTGTAGGGCATTTCGAGTAGTACAACTAGGCAAAAATAGTTCGGGAAGTTACAACCTTGGCCTCAGCGGGATCGAACTTTACGGCAAGGGTCTGCGCGGAAGCTACCCGTGAAGGCGTTGGACATAGTGACCTGTGGAACTTTTTTTTCATTCGTGACTGATTTTGACAATGATTTCTGTAAAAATTCAGTTTTTCGACTGGAATAGCATTCGTTGTAGTTTTTTTTTGCTAGAAGTTCTAGTGGTTTTTTTTAGGGGAAACTGAATTTGACTGATTTCGTTTGTTGTGATGCTTCCAATTTTCATCATACTGCTTAATACCGTCGTGATTGTTTTCTGAGTTCTTAGATTCTCTATGTATTGGTTTTTTTTTGAAATTGAGTGTCTCTTGCATCTCAATCTCGTATGTACACGTGAATGTTGTGAATTTGGTGAAACTACACGACCGACGACAATGATTCGGAAACTGTTTTCTTCCGTGATGAATTGAAAAACACTTGTATGGTTCCTTCGTGACTACAAAACTCGGACTTCAGCGCAAATGGAAAAGGCAAGCCAGCCCTTATTCCATTGTGGTTGTACCTCTTAACAAACATCCGCAATCGAGAACAAGTGGGAAGCAAAAGTGCAAGTCAAGATGCACAGACGCGACACCCGTGCGACCTTTGTGTACACCTCAAGGACCACCCAGAAACACTACGGTGCGTCGGGCTGGAAAATAGCGAAATGTGAAAAAGAATGAGTTGCTTCAGCGTCGTTGACCGCTTAGTCTTACTGATGGTACAAGTACGAGTGAGTGGCACCAGTTTCAACACTTAGATTTTTAAGTGGACCCCGAAAAATTATTCGAGCTAAACATTTGTGCTTCAATACAGTGTGGTCGTATCCATTACCGCAACATCATCAAGCACGGTCACAACCGCTGGAAGATATCTTCAACAACGTCTTTCAAATCTCTATACGCATACTTCTAGGCAAACACAACATAGGCAGACGCGATGACAGAGAGGATGCAAGCGACCAGATGGACACTGGGTATTGCCCAGGAGCCGCCAAAGGTTCACACGTTTAAAAACGCATACTTCAAGTATCACGGGAACTGGCAAAAAGGCGATCTTGGAAAGCTTATTAAAGACGGCCCTGGTGCTCTTCTTCTCGAGGGCGGGCGAACGCTCATAACGTGCACATTTGCAAATGGAGAGATAGACGGAAATGGTAGAGTGTGACTTTTTTGGTTCGCAGTACCTTTATTCCGTGGTAAAAGAGCAGTAGAGGATGTAGTTTAGCATTTAGCAAAGAAACTACCATATTCCACACAGACAAAGCTAAAGGTTAAGCCTAAAGTAAAACTACCGCGTCACGAAATAGGCACACGAGTACGAAAATTGTTATCGCACAAGAGGCCAGAAAGTCTGCCACCACCGGTGGTTGATGAGGATTTTGCGTATGTAACAGACTGTGAAATTTACCGAGGACAATTCAGTTACGATAATGGTTGTTGAATTTCGCTTAATTTTCGATCTGAATATTGAGCACTCGTCGTGGTCTTGGCGGCTTTCATTATGCTGTAAGTAAGTACTAATGCTAATTAGAAAATGCATCTTCTAGTGAATAAGTGGTCGATCACCGCCACCGAGAGGACGATGTTGCCCTCAAGGATCGGAAGAAACTACATTCTTTTTGTTTTTCATAGCATGCGTGGGGAAGCACACGGACATGGGACGATGGAAAAAAATCTCTTCCGTGAGGAAGGAAGAGCGGCGTGGGAAAGATACGAGGTCGAACTCGAGAAAATCACCCAAAGTCTCAATTACGGCGTCTTCTATTTCTAGTTCGACTAGTTTGCATACTAGACTTTCAGCTGTTCATCTTCTGCATGTGTATTTTCACAGTCGTGTATGATTTACCGTTTCTAACGGGCATATTGATTGGTGGGACTGGAGTCCTTTTTGGCAATAGCACTTAATCTCAAGAAAATGAAGGGCACAAATACAACTACTCACCTAGAAAATACTTCTCGTAATTTTCCTCTTCATCATCAGGAGCAAAACAAAGAGCGCATGACCAAAGGTTCGGGTGGCTTGCTGGCGGCGCTAAAGTCAGGCGGTAGTAGTAGTGGATCGCGGTCAGGGTCCGCGTCTGCCAACTCTGTTACGACACCTGGACGACAAACACTAACACTCACAGTTTTTTAGCATGTGAAAGTGAAAGATTTCTCAATTATTCTGATTTTGAGTCTGTAAAAGAAGTAGAAGATAGATGACGTAAAAATAGATGGAGGGCATCATCGTCAGAGGGTGGACATCAAAAGTGACTGTTCTACTTGCTCTCGAGTCGTAGTGGTCATACAGCTTAATAATAATATCCACCTTGGAAAACTCCGTCTCGCTTCATTGTCCGCGGTCCCGGTCCCTCTCGCGGGTCTGTCGGGGCCACACCTGATCAAAGCGGCGTTCACGGCATGAACCTCGACGCTTATATTAAGGCCACAGCGACTGCGAGGATCGTATTGAATAAGAAGATCAGAATCTATAAAAAATACTTCTTGGGTAAGAGCCGACAAGGCACAGATCGTTCTAAACTACTGCTCAACAGGAGTGCTTCGTTGTAATCGTAATGACGATAAAAGATCAATAATTTCACACTCACTACTTCAGACCTTCTAATTCTCTGAGCAGCACCGTAGCAAAGGATCCGCTAGCGCGTAACTCGAAGGCGTTTCACCTCCAAGATTCCGAGATGGGCAGCCGCGAACGGCTTCAGTCTGGCGGGATGCTCACTTCCGTGGGCTCTCCAGGTAGTGCAGCCGGTGGAGGCGTTGCGAGGAACAAGGAAGCCTTCTCATCAAGAAACAAATTATGAAGCCAAAAGGAAATGGAATTGAAATTGTTCTGGAAGAAGATGAAACCTTACTTGGTGAACACTAGTACTACAGTATTCAGTATTGGCGTACTAGAAGTGAATCGACTGGTAGATGAGGACTACAACTAGAGGGCCACTTCTTGTAGAGGACTAATAGGACCTGAGCCTGACTGCGGAATTACCACGGTGGCTTCTACGGTGATCGAGAATGGTCACATCGGAGCTGGCACATAGATTCTGATAGACTTCCTCTAAATTGTCCGAAAAACGGCATTTTTGTAGCCGCAAAATCGTCACCAATGCTGCCATCGTCGATGCTTGGAGGAGATAACCTGCCTCCGGACAACGGCGAAGGGAGTCCGAGCTCCCGGGCCATATATCCTCCAGGTGTAGTCGATCGTTTACCGACAAATGCCCAGTTTTTCCTGATGGCCAGAAACATGATTCCGCCACCTCCTGCCGAAGCAGGTGCTGGTGCAGGAGGGATAAACAGCACAATAAAACGTGGCTCTGGCGCAGCATCCTCAGCGTCAGCAAGACATAGTACAACCACAAAGAAATTGTTCAAGTCCGGTGACGCCAGTCCGACAAGGAGTGCAGCAAGTGCGCCTTTTGTGCGATACACAGGTGGATGGCGGGAAAACCGTTTTCATGGTGAGGGAAAACTCGAAACGCCCGATATGTTGTACAAAGGAACCTTTCAAGACCACAAATTTCACGGAGAAGGTCGTCTGAAACTCAGCAGCGGCGAAAGATATCTTGGTACTTTTCTCGACTACAATCTATCTCTGGTTGATGAAGAATTTTTCACGTCGCAATCACCTTCATGTCATGCCCAGCTTTTGGGTGTTTTTGCATTGTACGAAGCCGAGATTGATCTTCGCCATACTCACAAGCACAACATCCACCAATCCCATCATAATCAACGTTAACCAAACTGAAACTTTCTGATCCTGCCCCCTTGAAAGATTCACTCAACATATTTTCTTCAGGTCAGTTTTCTCTTTCTTCGTATGAAGGAGAAGGTTTTCAGCGGACAGCGGAGGACGTGAGTGGATGCGGTGGAACCATAACCTATATTGGACAATTCGAATCAGGGCGCAGAAATGGAACGGGAGCTGGCCGATGTAACGCCACCGGCTTAACTTACCATTATGTGCTGCTCATCACTTACATTGTTGACTTTTACTTGTAGTAACTTGCGATACAAAAACGGATACGTAGTAGCACGTGCTCTTCTTTGACTTTCTTCGCATATTTTCAGTAGTGCAGCTTACGTTGCTCTTCAGGTGCCTCACCCTGTTCGTCGAAAAGTAAGTGGTATGAAAAATATCTAGAATACATGGATACGCATCTACAAGGACCTAGTAGAACTACATTTACGTCTTGTGGTCATCGCTCTAATTCGAAGGTGTATGGGCAGATGATTACCCAGTCGCGCAAAGTTCAGCTCTGGACGTGCTCGACCACGTCAGCGGAGAGCGCGTGCTTGTTAGAGGTACTTGAATCTTCTTTCCTCAGGTAGCTCCTTGGTCGCAGCACCAAACAAGGCATCATGACATCTTCGTCTACCTGTAGTGGTATCGGAACTTGTTCAAAAACTAACAACCCTCGTAGAATGCTCTTCCTCTCGCTTCTCTCACGTGATCGTCAAGAACTCTGCTTAAATTTCTGAATACTATTAAACAGCACCAACCGAGGACGGTTCTCCTGGAGAAATCCAGCCAGTCAATCTTAACGCAGACCAACTTCCGGTTTCTTGGCTCATTACCTCAGTCGACCAAGAAGGAGCGCCGGTCAGACAAGAAGGCGGCCGGCTAATACGTAACTAAGTACGTGTTATAGAAGCTTCGTGCTAAGTACGTTGTTCTTTAGGAGTTTTAGTCATAGTCATTACCTCAAGATTCTGCTTGTGCTGTTTCATCTCGCTGGTAGTACAAAAGGGGTATTAATAGTACTAGTACTTCTTGATCAGACCACCACGTGATGATAAATACAGCGTCCTTTCACGTCAATCGGCATTTCTTAGGTGTTTTCCTGTGTCCGAAAGATCTTACCCCTGAGGAGGAGGAGGCTGGAGTAGCTCTAGACGCTCCAGCACGACGTCTGCGGGAAACAGAGGGCACAATTGAAGGTGGTGATTTGCTTCTCACGTGGACAAGCCTGCCAGAAGCTGGGTCCTATCAGGTTTACATAGTTGACGTCACACGAGTCGCAGATGACGTGGCCGCTGCATCTGCAACAGAACCGCCAAAAAGCTGCTTTTGCAAACTAGATGTGTGCACGTTTCCCGCGGTTGTTGCATAGAGGATGGCAGCAGGAAGTCTTGTTTCGTGTGATCTTTGTACCTACAACTCATCATGTTTCGATTTCATAGCTGGTTTTGTACAGTAGTTGTAACATTCAACATTCAGACCTTCTGAATACAAACACATCAACATCTTCTAGAACTTTTACGATAAAAACAAAGTTGTAACTGTATAGCGTGCATGCGCTGTCCATCATAAAGCAACAAATACAATAATACCGATTCCGTTGTGAAGATGGAGAATGTGAAGCTTCAATACATGAGATTTTTGTCAGGACTTTCTTACAAACACAAGCCAGAAGAGATAAACGGAGAATAATTAGTACACTTCGAATCTGAATACATGCTTCTAGCGTCGCGACGGTCTACCACATGAACACTGCACAGCACAAGACACATGCCATAGCTGACGCCCATCATTCAATGCTTTGAGAATATAACTACCATATGACACTTTCAAGACAAGGCAGCAAAAGCAGAAGCAGAGCCGAAAATAAATTCAGTGATCCATGAATATCAACACGATTACACGGCTATGGAGAACGGACTCTGCACCTCACAGAAGGATGAACGAGCCGCGGCACGCACCAAACCGGAAGTTCCTTTGATGTTTGTGAAGAGGGGAGCAAGCCGCTCCTACTTCAAGGAAATTGATGCAAAAAGGGCAAACGCAAAGAGGCATGCCGCGTTCTGCTTTTTGCTTTATTTTAAACTCCTCATTCGAATTCGCTGCTAATTGTCTGTTAGAAGTGGTCTCACTTGTGTGAGAGGACAAGGCCTGCACATTCGGGATGTGGATGACTACGAGGAAAGTAGCGAAAGTTATGGCTAAAGGAAAACTTCTAAAACAGCTTGTCATGTTGTAGTTCTAAGTCTACGTCTATCGCTATCAAGGTCAAGGTGGTCAAGATGGATTAAGTACATGTTCTTGTTCGGAAACCTCTCTAATCAGGAGAGATTTCTTAGCGGTGGAGAGAATGGCGAAGGAGACGAGCTGCTCAAACGCAAAGTCCGAATCATGGAACGTGACCTTATGAATTACTCTTCTCACTTCAAAGAGATGATGGATGCGCCGATGGATGGATGATGGATGAACAGAACAGCGAGAACCTCGTCCTGCTTAGGTTTCTTGTCTTTAAAATTACAGTTACAAGCAACTAGGTACATGAGAACAAGACGAAGAGCCGAGCAGGTTAAAGATTTCTCATTTTTACATTTTGAGTTAGATTGCAGCATGTTTTGATACTCCGTTCTACCATTGATCATGTGAACAGAGCATAGATTGAAAATGACATAAAAATAGAACGTGAGGTTATAGATTTAGGTACTCACCATGAAAATGTAAATGAAGATTGCTACATCCCTAAAAAATGAAAGCTGCTATTACAACAGTACTAAGTAATCCGATACTAGTGTTATGAATTTGTCGTGAAGATTCATTGGTTTTTCATTTCCGATAAAGATCGATCATGTGCTTTGTTCATCAGTAGTTACATTACATGACATGCTATCATTTAATCAAACGGACAATCCACGCCCGTCGTGAGCACAGATTCATATGTATCCATTGTGATGCAAGTCAACGAGAATAAAACGGCAGCGAGACCTCCTGTACGAGAAATCACAAGAGGATAACGACCGAAGAGTACCATACCTTGTTGTTCGTTGATAGAACGACCACTACGTGATGTTTCGCAAGAACCTGTGCGTACAAAGACGGTCCATTTGCCACTGGTTGTTCGATTTTTCCGAATGGGTTCCACGGTATGATGGTTAATATTTCTACAAAAGCAGTATTCGAGTTCGACCAGTCTAGAGGTGTCGTGGTCTCGAAGAAGGATAGACATCAGCATAGCGCCGTAGAGAAGGGAAATGAGAAGCGCGAGTGAAGACTGTCGTCAAGAGTACATGAAAATAGCTATGATCCATTCCATCTGTGAAGCTCAACATGATCGGTCGAATCACGATTCATCGGCCGCACCCCATAGATCTCCTTGTCTATGGAATAGAAGAACTACATGTACTAGTCAGGCTCAGGCACAGGCTACTCTGTCTATGGTGTACCCTCGTCACGGTCCTCACCCTCGTTCCCATGAAACACTTTTCCCTGCTGCACAGCAATCTCCGAAGTCTTTGTTCTGATTAACGACCACACTATTGTGAAGACGCTTTCTATACTGATCATGTTCATGACCGTGCTTCATCAAAAACATCATGATAGTAATCAATCGTAGAATATTAAGTAAAAGTAGAATCTTCATGTACATTGTAGTTCTTGTTGATGCAGCCACTGAACGTCGTGCCTCATCATTCTGCTCCTTCTCCATTGCTTGCGTGCTGGGTATGCTCTAGTAGGAGAGTTATTCCGCAACAAAGTAGAGTAGTGGTTTCAATCGACGACTTGTAATAGCCTCGACAATTACTGAATCCATATCTAGGTAAGTGTAAGTGAGTTGTACCTTCTTGTGCGGACAACCGCACGGGCTCCTTCTGCCTGGTGCTGTGGGCGCTAGGCATGCGCCAGATCAAGACTAACTAGTACAGCTAGTAAGAATACGATCAAAGTCAAAAAAGATCATCACGTGCATACTAAGACAACAACGTTCACTCCACAAAAACACAAAAGAAACAGCAAGATGGGTGAGGTTCGTGTGAATTTGAAGTCTGTTTTCGGGCTTTCGCCAGCCACGGGAAGAACTGAGGCTGATCCCTATGTGCGGATTTCACTGCTGGCAAAGAGCAAGGTCCTCGACTCCTTCACCAGTAGCATATCAAAGGGCGCATTCGATCCTGAATACGAGGAGGATTTTGTCTTCGCCAAGGTCGCCGCGAAACATGATCAGCTCTCTCTGAAACTAGAGGTGATGGACGCCACAGAGCTGAAAATTACAAAGAAGGATCAGCTACTAGGCTGCTGTCACGTGCTTGATTTACGAAAAATCAAAAATTTGGAGGTACTAGTCTTGTCGTGGTTTTTCTTTTTTGATGAAACAATACCACGCCACGTGGAGCGCCCATTTAGATTTTCAGTTTATCCACCAGTCGAGTCGGATAGTTAAACTGTTTGTAGTGAGAATGCAAGGCACTTCTCATCTGTTGTACGAAGTAGTTTGTTCTTGCACCTATCTGCTAGAGAACAACGAACAACAAGATGAATAACAGGACAAATCGTCCGTCTAGGTATTATACTTCTCATGAAATCACCAAAGGTTCAGCGAAAGCTGATGAATGCGAAGGGCACAGAGGGTGTTGATGGTGTGATTTTCGTGGAGTATAGCTACGAGCCTGAAGGCGCCGACGTTGCGGAGGCGGACATGGTTGATGGTGACGATGGCGGAACCTTTTGCGGCTTCGTCTACGTAGAGGCGATCGACGCCATAGACTTAGACGCAGATCATCTCATTCTGAAAAAAGGCGATCAGGATGATGAGGTCCTTTTCTATTTCATCTTTTTTATCTACTATAATTAACTTATCCTTGTCCGAGACCCTCAGATTTAATGAAATAGGCTTTATGCAAACGTGATGACTGAGCATGTGCATGATACGAACATAAGATCAACAACCAAGAAACAAAAACAATTTACGCCATTCTCAGGAAGATGAAGCGGGTTTAGCGACAAAGCAGAGAATAGACTGGAATACAGTAATGGAAGTCAGCTGTTCAAAGACGTGCAGAGCTCGGACGGTCCCATTTAGTTGGAGATCACTTGAGGTGGAAGGTAATGATTGAGTTTCTACACTAATTCAGTTCATACTAATTTCAGTTCATACAACAGTAAGAGCTTTTGGTCTGCGTAAGTCACCAGCGCACTCACACAACCATCATTACGGGCGTCACAACCCGCAAGTTTAAACTTTAGGTTCTTTAGTTTATACACTGAATTTTTACTAGTACCTACTCCCACAACTCAACTAGTACTTCCACTTTCACAACACACGTCAGGCACGCCAAACCCTTCATGGAACGAAGGTTGCTCCTTTCCCATAGATTTCGAAACAAGTGACAGCCTGAAGCCAGTGAAGATACGTGTGCTGCAAGACGAGCAGCTGATAGGACAGACTATGTGCGATATCCCCTTGACACCGGTTAGCCGCATTTATGTGAAGCGAATCTACGACCACTCACACGAAGTTCGAGGATACATCTGTGTGAAAGTAGGCTTTGTCCCATTCGGATTTCGTGTAGTAGACCTGCTTTCGGAGACGGTCATGGACGACAACTCAACTGCAGATTTTCTCGGCATGCGACGGAAATATGCGGATGTATTCATCTTACTTGAAAAAGTGTAGAATGATGCTGCGAATAATTTTTGAGCACGTAATTTTTTCGGTGGCAGGATTCTTAGATTTACTATTTTTAAAAGATGACTTCAGACTTCAGCATGTTGTTGAACAAAGACGTCCATTGAAGATCGCCTTTACATCCTCGATTTATCGTCATTCTCCAACCTAAACAGGTGATTGCCCAGAATCACGATTTCCAAGATGCTATGGCGATGCTGCAGGACAGGATAGATGAATTAGAGGGCGTCCGGAAAGGCGGGGACGACGAGGAGGCTGGAAAAGAAGGCGATGAACGCCGCGAGAAGAAAGGACCGAGCCAAAAGGCACGTTGGCATTTTTTCGCAATGGCAGCTGAGCCTTGGTCAAAAGCCACCAAAGTCTCCGCATATAGACTGCGGGGTCTATTAGAGGAGAGTATTTAATATTATAGATACTCTGATACTGTTAGTGCTGTTAGAACCTCCATTTAGAATTTCAATTTCTTAGAAATAAGCACGTTGTTGAACCATCTTGATCACCACTGGTACTTGTGCCTAGAGTTACTGACTTTCATTCATAATCATTTTTGTGACTTCACCATGACTTCTAGGTCTACCCGACCGTCGACATCAAGTGGTCCCTCTCATACGTGCGACCACAACTTCGGCATACCTGAATTTTCGAGAGTGCAATATGGTTCTTAAGGAGTTTGACCTCGGATCCCGCGAATGGCGGCGGCTAGTGAAAACAGTAATGCGCCAGAATCTCGCAGCAGCACAAAGCCCGCCCGTAGAAATGGGAGAACAGAGCGAAGCCTTACAGTAAACTCTTACACGCGAACGCAACCAGCTAGAGATTTCTCGTTGTTCTCTTGACGGTCATATTATACTTGCGATTCACGACGACATTGTTGTAAGTACTAACTTGTACGAGGAAGACGAGGAGCCACACGACTATCAATTACATGAAAATTACATGAATAGCTGCAACATACGATCATATGTACTTCGATTTTGAACAACCGCTACCGAAAAAAAATGTAAAATTCCACTTGACTGCGATGATTGCGCACGAGTAGAAGGACAATGCCTCGTCCTTCTTCGTTTTCATCATTTCATTATATAAATATGACGTCTTCTTCTCTGTACCTTATTCCGACTTGTCAACCACGTCATATTCGTATTTGTCTTTCACCGTTACTTGTCATCGTATATTTTTCGATAGTGCTACCAAGAATAATGTCAGGCAGTCCATCCTTCAAATAGCATTAGCCTAGTACTCTAGTGTCATTGTCAACAGTCAAAAATGTTACGAAAGTACAGGAATGAATGAACATAAGAATGTACAATACACCATTATAGTCGTGCTCGAACAAGAAGATGAATCTAGCAAAACCTCTTCGAATGATACGATGACCAGGGCTTCGACCGGCATTCTAACACATTATTCATTGAAGATAACGAACTATGAAACAGCGCCAATGCAACTGTGCCCGAGCTTGCTTATCTTAATTTGGTCCTTAACCTGCATAGAGTTTCATAGCGAAATATGATTCTGGATGGTGTGTTCATCCGAGGCCTGAGACTCTTCCACCGAAATTATGTTCAGCATCTTCCAATTTGTCGATGCACAGGCAGCAGGTACGAATCCCGTGTTCTTCCAACGACACGACGGAGGATGTTTTTAGACTCGCTGCTCGCTGGGGTGAGGTCAACTTGACTCATGGATAAGCAAACTCAAGACAGATGGACATGTACACTCACAGTTGCAGAATCTGCATGTCATGGAAACACTACTAGATCAACATCACAGAAAAATACTGTGTGGATGCAATTCCGAAGTCGGAATTTCTAAGAAAGGAACTGCAATACTAGAATTAATTAGAAGTGGTTCATTCGGTCACTACCGCTAGCCCCCTGGTGTGGGTCCCCAGGGGAAGGATACGATGGGAACCGGAGACAACTGCTAGACAAAACACACGCACGGACATGCTTGAACAGGCGCCACAATTGAGGAAAATCCTGAGAGGTGTCAGCCTTGGCGGGGCGTCATCGGGTGCGTTGCCGCGGGGCGGCGAGCCCTAAAACGCGCGCCGCTTGCCTCCGGGGGATATGTGGACGCCTGGCAGGGGTGGAAGCGCCTGCGGGCCCATCTTCAAGCGGAAGGCAGATGCAGGCACATGCCACGCCGTGCGAATTTGTTCGCTGGGGTCTCAGGCATTCAGAGGCCACGCTGGTCCGCGGGGGTTCAGAGGTGTAGGGCGTTGCCGGTGGGGCGCGGCGCTGCAAGCAAGTGACGCGACTGCACGCAAGCAAGCGACGCGACTGCATGAGGCCGCCGCCTCGCACCATCGGGCAGCGCGAGCCGCGGGCCTGGGTGAGAGGAGAGCGCGGCGCCGAAGCGGGCGCCTTATAATATAAGTTTCAAAGCTCATGGCCTAACTGCGCGGGCCCAGGGCTGGGGGGAGAGGAGAGCGGGGCGCCAAGCAAGTGCGTGGACGCTTTAACTTTCAAACTCGTGCTCTAACTTTCGAAATTCATGGCTTAACTTTCAAAGTTCATGGCTTTCCAAAATTCTTGCCCTAAGTTCCAAAATTTTCGCCCTAACTTCCAAAATTCTTGCCTTACCTTCCAAAATTCACGCCCTAAGAAACTTTCAAAATTCAGGGCCTAACTTTCTAACTCGTTTCCTAACTTTCTTGCAAAATTCATGCCCTAACTTTCAAAGTTCATGCCTTAGCTCTCAAATGAGTGCATGGCCTAGCAACTTTCAGAGTTCATGTCTTAACATTCAGAATTCACGTGCCAACGTTCCGGATTTGTGTCTTAACTTTCAAAATTCATGCTCTAACTTTCAAAATTCACGCCTTAACGCTCAAAATTTACCTCTTAACTTTCCAAGTTCATGCCTTAACTTTCAAAGTTCACGCGCTAACTTTCAAGACTCATGTCCTAACTTTCAAACTTCATGCCTTAGCTTTCAGACTTCACGTCTTAGCGGTAAGCTTAAGGGTAGCCTTCGCGAGTCATTTCCTAACTTTCAAAATTCACGCCCTAACCTTCAAAATTCACGTCGGTCCTAACTTTCAAAATTCACGTCGGTCCTAACTTTCACAATTCACGCCCTAACTTCCACAATTCACGGCCTAGCTTTCAAAATTATTCATGGCCTAACTTTCGCAATTCATGTGCTAACTTTAGAAGTTCATGAGTATAGTAAAGCGCTGCGCGTTTTTGCGGTGTTGATTCCGTTTGTCTTCAAGATTCAAAATCACAATTCAAAATCAAAACTCAAAACATAAACGCTAAATCAAAACTCAAAACTTGCATTCTAAATCAAGGCAAAACTTTTCAAGTAAAGAGATTTTGAGAAGAGCTGAAGGATATGAGTCGCAACGAGCGTCAATGTTGATTCAAGCGCATGCAAAATATGGACTTATATTTTGGAACGACCCTTTCCCTTTAACAACTAACTGCAATTATAGCAAAAGCTCAAGCCCCTGGCCATGTAGTGGATAAAGTGTAAGTGTACTTTATTATCTGATCATGGACCAGTTTTTAGATGTTGAAATTATTTGTATTAGAGAAACTCGCTTCACTATTTGTTTAAAGCAGTAAGACCATCGTGCACTACCACTCCAGAAGGAGTTTCCAGAAGGAGTGAGGGCGCTGGGGACTCTTGCTACGGCCTCCGTAATATTTGGGCGGAGGTAGCTTCTTTTCCCAGGGTGGGCAATTTCCTTCTTGATTTGGCGACATGTCGCGGTATCAGGCAGCAAAATTATTTGTCGGAAATTTGAAGCCCGAAATCGACAAGGAGTCGCTAAGACACACTTTCGCAGAATACGGAGAAGTACTATACCTTGCCCCAGTACGCACTATCGTCACCCAGTACGCGGAATGATAGAGTAGTTGTAACTACTTACACGAGACTCACTTCTTGTTTCATATTTTGTTTGGACTAGAACTACTAAAAATAGTATCTTCTGCTGCATCGTCTTGTTCAAGTTTTCCGACACCTAGGAGGGATTCGTGTTAGAGCTCCACCTCCGCAAAAATATCAAGCTGCAAAAGAAACAGGTCGAATCGGTATGGGTCGCAAAAAACCCTCCTGGGTTCGCCTTCATCGAGTTTAGATCTTATGACGAAGCCCGCAAAGCTATCGAGGAGCTCAATGGGAAGCAAAATTCAGGTACTGAATTAGTACATGACCCAACGACAACAACAAGAACAACTACAGCTTTATTTTATTTCCATTAACTCGGGGGTAAATACAAGTAGTAGCTATTGGACTCTAGGTCTTCTATTATGATCAATATGATGAGGACGAATCATAATGGAAAAATCTGCGCTCGATCGATGCGATTGTTCCTTGCATCGATGGTAATTTTCCGAATCCGGTGGAGGTGGTGGTCAACTTCAACTTCATCTTCAGTCTCAACTTCTATCGAAATTCCTCGTCCAGAATTCACTGAGGAAACGGGTCCTGGAATGCGTGTGGAAATAAGTACAGGAGCAGGCAGGCGGGCAGACGCACCACGCGAAGACTCACGAGAACGCGGCTTCCGTCAATTTGCGCCGAGGAGAAGATCAGAGTACTGCCCGATTAGGTCCTCGGCCATAATATTAGTTGTTGTTCCAGGATGATGATGAAAGACAAAGATAGCTCTGGTTTCGTGCGTAGATGTAGATGAAGTAGGGTTATTCCTCCCATATACATTTAGATTTACAATTACATATCAAGCGAAATTTCATCCTTGACCACGTCTCCTGTAGGTCTAGACGACGGAGTAGACGACGGGATCGAAGAGACGATGGTCGCGGTGACGGGAGGCGAGACGATAAATTATGCCGAGTTCATTGAACTAGTCGTTTCATTTTTTCATCTAACGTGAACTTGATGTTGTTGTGCCAAGAAACAGATTTGATAGAGATTCCTAGGAAATTTATCTAAACGTCGAATTAGTAGAGGTCCACCCTTTGTAGTTACAACATAAAAGTACTATCCTTGGAAGTTGAAGTCCGAGTATCCTTTGAAGTTAGTGTAGTGAGATCGTATCCTTCTTGTCTTCATTATTCGGGTATGACGAATACAGAGGCAGCTCTAGAGGAGGCGGGGGAGGAAGAGGATACGACTCTAGGCGACCGCGGAGAGTACGCGGGTCAAGGTTCTAGACTTCTTGTTGAGGAGGAAAGTACATGTAAATCTAAGTACAAGTATATTAACACACTATCATCTAGTGCTGCATGATCTAGTATATGAGTTTTTTAACATGACTTACACTTAAGTTTTTTGCTTTAGCTTACTAGGTACAACTATTTTTTTAGGGCCAATTAGAGAGAGCTTTCAACTACCGCTTTATTTGGCGCTATAATAAGCCGCACGCTCGACTCGACCAATCCATCGTCATCGCCATATCAATGTATTGTGAGGCTGCGTCATGAGGATCATCATGTCATTAGATCGCAGAATCAAGAATGATATCTACCCTGTGCTACCTCTAGTTCTAGCACAGTCCTGGTGGTCTTGTTCTTCCCGTTTTGTTCACGAGACCCCATAGAAGATCTAAGATCATAAAATGAATCCGAATTCTTTCCACATGAAGAATGTCCAACATCAGACACTGATAATCTGTGTATACAGATGATACCCATTTTGCAAAATCTGCAACAAATGATAATGATGAATGCGTAGTTCGGCCTTTTGGAATAGGGAGGCTCCTTCTTGCTGCTAGAGATCTTGGAATCAACAATGATATGAATGTGACAGAACGAAGGACGAAAGTCAGAAAGTAAAAATTTCTAAGTACTTACATACTTGATTGTTGAGTGAATCTATTGGCATTATACTACAATAACAGTCCAGGGGTACGGAGCACGACGAGAGCACGATATCAACGAACTGGTATCTTTCTAACATCGCTGTCGTGCGAAAGCAAGAAGTGCAATCACGCCTCATTTTTTTTAGATAATATCTTCAAGTGCGACTACAGTAGAAGATATTTGATTTCAAAGAAGAAGCTCAAGCTTGCGTCAGATTGTTCTTAAGTCGTACAGCAACAACTATTTGATTGTCAACAATCATTATCCTCAAGAAGTACTCCTACGCGGTACTTGTTTCATCAGATAAGCGAAAAAATGGCGGGCCCTGGAGGAGATATCGATATCAACAACCTCAATATGGGGAAGATGATGATGGACGAATACGGTAACCCGTTCGTCGTGCTGGAGGAGCAAGGCGCAAAAAAGCGAGCACACGGTCTCGAAGCACACAAACAGAACATCATCGCCGCAAAGGTTATGCACAAGAACATGAACATTTGTTTCGTCAACCCTCTTTTGATTGATTCTCTGGGTCAATAAATCTACACGGCACGACGACCTACCTAGTCGTGATGAAGATCCTTAGAGCAAACGGAAAACGGCCAGATACAAATACATTAAAAGTTCTGTTATTTGAAACTGAGACCACACGCACGATAGAATTTTAAAAAGAAAGTTTCCCCTTTCATACACTCCGTCGCCGAGACAGTGCGAACGTCGTTGGGACCGAAGGGAATGGATAAAATGATCGTTTCGCCTGATGGTAATCTTCATGGAACCATTCAATTCTACAAACCCTACGGTTGTTATGCTTATTGTCAGAATCGATAATTTCTATTTTTATCACCACAGGACCATGAACAAATATTACCACCCCGCCCGACCATGAGCTTCACCACATCACCAGCCACACCACAATTCTCAAAATGATCAGGTGACGTTACGGTTACAAACGACGGAGCGACAATATTGGAGAAGATGGATGTGGAAAACGAGGTACTTGATTATGATTTTTTCTGACACAAATTTGCTTGATGTTGATTAAACAAACAAGCGGATGAATCAGATGAAGTGTTTTGATTTCTGTGACGAGTTTGCTAGAAATAGAGCTATTTTCTGTCAGACCGATTTCCATTTCGCCATTACTTCTAGGACAACTCTTCGAAATCAAATCCAAAACATCCGATCAACAGATTGCTAAGCTTCTGGTCGACTTGTCTGTTAGTCAAGACAACGAGATTGGTGACGGAACGACGGGCGTCGTGATTATGGCTGGAGCGTTATTAGAACAAGCATTAAAGTTGTTGGAAAAAGGGATTCACCCATTGCGCATAGCCACGGGTTACGAAAAATCTTGCGAAGTCGCAGTTAAGAGGTACTTATTGTGCTTTAAGATATACCTCTTGATCATGTTGCTTGAATTTATCACACCATCATTGAACTCATCATCATTATTTTTCGCATGAGGATCGTCAACCAAGTAGACCAACTGCTTCAGCGCCTTCAAGTTGATTGATCAACGTCCTGCAAAATTCAAACCAGGATCAATGAGATAGCTCGTGAAGTCGACGTGTTAAAGGATGACAAGGCCTTTTTGAAGAAGGCTGCGGCAACGGCATTGGGCAGCAAGATTGTTTCCTCGCACCAGCAGAAGCTTGCCGAAATCTGCGTGGACTCCGTGCTCTCTGTGGCCGACTTGGAGCGCAAGGACGTCAACTTCGATTTGATCAAGGTTGAGGGCAAAGTAGGCGGTAAGTTAGAGGAAACCTCGGTTATCAAGGGTATTGTTATCGACAAGGACTTCGCTCACCCGCAGATGCCGAAGGTCGTCCGCAACGCGAAGCTTGCCGTCCTCACTTGTCCCTTTGAACCACCAAAGCCAAAGACCAAGTACAAATTGGATATCCGCACTGCGGAAGACTACCGCAAGCTGCACGAAAGCGAACAGAATTACTTCGTGGACATGATCAAGCGTATCAAGGATTGCGGTGCCGATATGGTTATCTGCCAGTGGGGTTTCGACGACGAAGCCACGCATCTTCTTTACCTTATGACCGAAACCAATGAACATACAGAAACAAAATACCAAAACCAGTTGTACTAGTAGACGTAGAATCGGTATCTGCCACGTCATGATCTTGTTCTTCATAGGAGAAGGTGAAAATTAGTTGATGCTTACGACAGCGACATCCGCAGAGGATCCCGAAAATACTCCCTCTCTAATCTCTAGCATAACCTTCCAGCGGTGCGTTGGGTCGGAGGAGTTGAGATGGAACTTTTGGCCATTGCGACTGGCGCACGCATTGTCCCACGATTTGAGGAGTTGGCACCGGAAAAGCTCGGTTACGCAGGAAAAATTGAAGAGGTTCAAATGGGGACAAACCGCGAGCCCATGCTCGTCATCGAAGATTGCGGAAATAGCAAAACAGTCACCGTCCTGGTAGTGAGATATATATTGGAATTTGAATTTGATGTACTTAGTTGGAAAATGTCCAGTCGAAGTACTAGATGTGATGTGTATAATTTGCTCTCCATCGTGTCATTTTGAATGAAGAGCGAGGGAGAGGGTAGAGCATCCATTCTTAAGAAATGAAATAATGACTTACAACGCATCCCCTCCACCCACATGGTAAATGCTTTTGATTAATATGACCAGGTCCGCGGTGGGAACAAGATGGCAGTCGCAGAAGCCAAGAGGTGTCTCCACGACGCGAACTGCTGTGTGAGAAATCTTATTGTGAGCCCTTATGTCATCCCCGGAGGAGGCGCGTCAGAAATTGCAGCTTCTCTCGCGATCGTCGAGGCAGCGGACGCAGAACCCACAGTCGACCAATACAGCATGAAAGGTATATACTTCTACACGCATGAGTTAGATCAAGTGCAGCAGCACCCTGCTCTAGCAGATCGAGCTTGACTAATTACATGTTTGCATTCAAAAATATCAGCATTCGATGCAAAATTATGTTGTTGACAACTACGTGTACATTAAGATTTGATTAGATTATACCCACTGATGAAACGTCAACAACTCCAGCTTTTGCCGATGCTCTGGATACTATCCCTCAAATCCTTGCGGAGAACAGTGGTTTGCCGTGCATCCAAACCGTGACGGACTTGAAGGCAAAGCAGCTTGAGGTGAAGGACGGTTGGCATGGAGTGGACGCTATGAGCAATGGCACAACCAACATGTGGGACCAGAATGTCTACGAGGCGCTCTCTTCGAAATGCAACCAGTTGCGATTGGCGACACAAGTCGTGAAGATGATCCTAAAAATCGATGATGTCATCGCAAACGCCGACTCCTTCTAAGTAGTGGTTCTAACGGAAGAAGATGAAGGATGACGAAGTTGTGAGCAGAAGTAGTTCACGATGTTAGGAGCCGGGCAAGACCGCTGTGGGGGAAGACGAGGGTTCTTATATCGATGAAGCCGATGAATACCGCAGCTGCCGTGGTCGCCCTGTGATAGTGGACGCTGAAACTTCTCTCGGATGAATCATTTCAATAGCAGTACTTTATGAAAAAGTTGTTACAGCAACACCGATGAAGCTCGTCTTAAAGTTCTACCCCTTCTTACCCAACATGGCGACATTACCCTCCCTCATTTTTACAGTTCCTGTTTAGTAGGATGTGCATGTGCAATGAAACCGCGACCGTGCCATGCCCTGGTGCCGCGTTTGATCGAGGTCTTCTGAGTTCTTTTGTGTATTTCAACTTTCATGATTGATAATTCTTAGCCTGAGAACATCTGCTGGCTGTGTCCTTCTATGTCGACGTTCGTTCATGTCCTCGCTAAGACTTCTTACGTAGGCTTGAATGATATGCTTGAATGATATTGAAAGAGAAATGTGGGTGACAACATCAGACTAGTAGGTGAAAAGTAGTTGAAGATGTCGAAGAACAGTATCAAAAGAAGGGTGCGAGCGGCTTTGCTCAGTAGCTGAACCGATGGCAAGTTGCCGTTGAAATTTTGCCACGGAGCAAGGCGCAAAAATTCAACTCTGTTCTCCAAAAAATCCGAAAAGAGTACATGATCGATGAGACCAATCTGTTGAGTTGTAGAAATATCCCGAGGTTCCGCGCGGAGTTTCACCAGAGAAATTCGTACCTCCGCGTCTAGAAGAATGCAAATCTAGAGAAATTGATACAATTCTACAACATGCCTTCATCCAGGCATGATCAGTACAGAAGTAGAATCAACGTGTGCATAGGTCAACATTCCTTTCGGCGCATCAACGTGTCAAGAAATCCAAGTGCGATTCACACTCTTCTCGTTATTGAAAGAAGCGGTACACTCAGACTCAATCAACTTCTATAATGGCAAGTGATAAACTTGTAGCCATATAACAAGAATTGGTAATGGTAAATCTTGATATTTTTGTTAGTCATTATCTTATATCAGTATTAACATGAACATGATCATCTTCATCAGTATCACGAGAAAGATGGCGTCGTCCATTGTACACCAATGGGGCAGAGTTGAAACCGAGATGAACAAGCACAAAGTCAAAATGGCCCAATGCGTAATCCTATTGTGTTGAGCTACTCCAGGACAGGCCCTGATCCCTAGGCTGGAATTGGTAAAGAAACTATGGACTTAGTCACACGATTGTTGGAGTGCCTTCTGAGGATCATGGAATAACTAGTGGATATTTGATTAGAGCACAAACATATTGTTGACTCGGGATCAGGGGAACAAAATGCAGTTTTCTTCGCCCTTCATCTTCAGCATGTCTTTTGATGTGCAGCTACACAGCACCAGCAATCGCGGGTTTGACCCGTAATTCATCGGCGACTTCACCTCCCGTTAGGCTTAGTCACCACGCACGCACACGACCTCCGCTCTCCCGAGGAAAATTTTTTCTTTATGAACGACTCTGCGCAATGCAGCTGCGGAAGATTGCTGACCTACGCAGAGTAGATGAAGTACAAGGAAAAATATAAGACGCTCAAACCGAAACCGTCAGACCGAAGAACAGTAATAAGCACTAGAAACTACACCACTTGATCTAGAGAGGAGTTGTTTTCTCCGTTGGTATGCGCAGTAGCGCGGCTGCAGTGTCTTCACCGGACGATAGCTCGCCGCCTCTAGAGCGGGAACGACGAGTGGGAACATCCGGCCGAGTTATCAGTACTCCGTTTAACAACAATCCGAATCAAGTAGAGCAACATACGTTTACGTTATCTAGCACGACAGCCACATCCTCCTCTTTGTCCTCAACATCAGCGTTTTTACTCGAAGAAAGTGGCATTGAGGAAGCGGGGACAATTAGTACTGCAGCGTCTACGACCTCAACCACATCGGGAGGAGGTGATAGACAGGTCAACAGCATGCAGCCTGTCGACGCGTCGGAGGCTTCGTCTCGAAGAGCGAGAGCATCGCTAGACCAGCAATACTACGCAGCCAACCCCACTAGCCGTGGGACGCCTCCTGGGACAGGGTCTCCACAGCGACGCGGAAATGGTGGGGTGCCTCCATCAGCGTTAAGTAGCGGTGGCCATGGATCAGACCAAAGAAATAAGTACAGTGTCGACCCCGGCGGGGCGAATGGATTTCCGTCATCTTATCCCGGAGCAACAAGCTCAAGTGGAAGCAGTTACGCCCCCGAACCTCGCAACCGAAACTCATATGCACCTGGGGGGAGTCGAGCATCAGCCTCTACGTCAACAACACGTAGAGATGGAGGTACCAATACTCTTTATTTTGAATTTCGAGGTTCTGGTTCTCATTCTCATTCTCTTTTGTTCATACACTGTAGACCACCCTGGTGCAATAAAGATCAATTTGTTTTACTTCTTTTCCACTTTCGATTTCGTCAATAATCAGATCAAAGCTGAGGAAAACTTGAACCTAGTAGGGCAACTCCCCCAATAAAGTGCAGCGATATTCAAGCTTTGTTGTATTCTTTGTCCATGAGGTCATCGAACGCAATCCGTCGGAGGCGGTGCTTCCTCTTCTTCATCGATGGGTGTCACAGGCGAACCAGGAGGGGCTTCTAGCAGCCTCACAGGGCCCGCGTTATCGAGGCAAAAATGGGAGAAAATGCTCCACAAAGGGCTAACTGAAGAATTTTTGCGAGATAATCGGGAAACATTCCTCAGGCGAGTACGCCGTGGAATTCCGCCAGAATTTCGCTGGCAAGTCTGGAAATGCGTGATTAGCGATCCGCAATCGACGATCAATACTTCTAGTTCAGATATGACAGGTGGAGGCGGAGCGGCTTCTAGTACTTCCTCCACGACCACAGGCACGGGCATTGAAGACGAAAACTCTCGTAGTAATGGCGGTGGAGCTACCTCCGCAATTGGCACGGCCTCTTCGAAACCACCAGCTGCCAGCGGTGGCTTCGCGGCCATGTCAGCAGCTAGCAGGAGCTCAACCTACCAGAATTTGCTGAAGAAGGAAAACCGATGGATATCCTTGATCAAGATTGACATCTCAAGGACCTTCCCAGAAACCGACAAATTCTTATGGCCAAGACCTATGTCGATCTCCATCTCCTCTCTGGATCCAACCACCAGCACGGTTGTACCGATCATTCCCATGGTTTTTGACATTTGGCCAAGAAAACGGGCAGCGGGGTGCTTGGGTTGCAACCATTGTGTTGTTTTTAGGATTCATTCTTAGGACGATGGAATAACCGAATCACACCTCATCTCTAAGATTTGACGACAGCCACCAAAACAAGCTTTTGCGGATTCTTTCAGCATACAGCAATTTCAATATGGACGTTGGGTACTGCCAAGGCATGAATTTTATAGCCGGTCTTCTACTCCTGGTATCCGGCTCCAACGAAGAGGAAACATTTTGGATGTTTGTCTCACTGATGGAGCTACGCGGCTTAAAGGGCTTCTACAAAGACAAATTTCCCATGCTCAGGTACTGTAAATTAAAGTTCTCCCGAATGCAAATGCAAAACGATTCCATAGCTCTACTTGTTTCTTACGAGGCATAGATAAGGTGAAACCTGGGAAATTTTACAACAATCTTGATCTTCATCACATCTATTTCAACTTGAAAAAAAAATCACTTTTACAGAAGCAAATTTTTACATTGATAATCATCCATGCATTCCAGTTAGTAAATGTTAAAGAACAAAGAACGCGAGCAAACACCTGATGCTCACCTGAACAACAGGGTTTACCTGAAAGCTTTTGACCGATTGCTAGGAGAGCAGTTGCCGGAGCTCCGAGAACACTTTCAGGTTGAAGGGGTGCAGCCTGCGGTCTATCTGCATCAGTGGTTTCTTACTCTCTATATCAATTGCCTGCCGTTGCAAACGGTGCTGGTCATATGGGACGTCGTCGTCTGTGAAGGCCTCCACGTTCTACTCTCAATCACGCTGTCTCTGCTAAAAGTGCTGCAAAGCGTTCTTCTGATTATGAAGAGATGATTGAAACAAATCGATGTGCTAAAAATAGAAGTGGTGCTATTTTCGATTGTCCTTATGATCGTTATCACTCGAAGACAAAAACTAGCTGGAATACATTCATAGGTTCTGAAGTTGAGGCTGACGTCGCCGATGTAAAAATTCGATACGATAGTACAGTACGATGAAGGAACATGATCATCTGGATAAGCAGAGTAGAAACTTGGTGATTGTCTTCAAGCAGCGCTGTCAATTTCTAATCTGGAACTCGAGTTTGAGGACATCGTAAAATTTTTCAAGACCATGAAGACTGGCGACGAAGATTGCGACGCGACGATGATCGGGCAGCTGCTAATCCGCCAGTCGGGCCGCGTTGACCTGTCAAAGCAAGTGTTGCATATCATAAACCAGGAAGACAGTAGTGATTTTGTCGACTTCGATGATTTTTTCGCTAAAGAGACTGGCGCTAGTAATGGTTCGACTTCAGTCGGCATAGGAAAAGGTCGATCTTCAGCTGCAGGTAATGCTGGGAAAAAGGATGGTACTACATATACTTTCGTAGACAGGGGGTATCTGTTTTCAAATTCACACCCAGTCGTTAATTTCAATGTTTTGGTTTGTTGGAATCGTGTTGCTTATCAATGTAGAGGTCTTCGTTTTCCACCTTATTTCTATTTGCGTATAATTTTTCGCGAATTTTCATGTAGTTAGTCTGTCGGACTCAAAATAGTTGTTGTCGTAGTCCCTTCCGTGTACTTGTTCTACTACGTCGAGGAAATAGTATCAGCGAAACGACAAAAACAAATCTGATTATCAGGTGGAGACACCACTGCTACAGAGGAATTGGGCTGGTTTGAAAGAATGAGTAAAGACCTGGCTACGTTCTTCGACTCTAGTGGTGATTCGTATGGGTACACCGGTGCGCCAGCATCAACGTCAGCTGCAAGCAAAAAGGATACGCCTCCGTAAGACAATTCATCATGATCTTCATAGAAGAAGGGACGGTATGTTTACAGTATACGACATGATCAGTATTAAATGATAAATTCATCAACATCATGTGCTTGTGCTTCCCCAGAACGGAGAACGACAGCAAAATCAAAAGGCTAAGATGTTGGTAGCATCAACTCTAGTACAACTTTCTCATCTACGTAAGTGACAAGGTGTTGATTTTTTGGATCTAGAAATGACCCTTCGAAAAGATTAAGATTTTGATATTCAACAATCGACAATGATTTTTCTTCATGCTTATCCTTTCACCTTTGACCCTCCAGTTTACATTCTCTGCTACGAGAAATTATGGCTTGATGCTCCTCATGAAGTGAGATATTTTCAAGGAAGGTAGACGTACCGTTACCCTTCGATGCACAGAAATCGATGCTTAGATAACGCTACATGTCCCTGTAAACACCCAAGCCGTCGACTGAAGAATACGATAGGGATACGGACGACGCTCATGCAGATACTTAGGAAGAACGTGGTCCACTGAGCCTCCGCCTTCTCGTATGCGAGCCGTCTGTGTGCGAAGAGAAAAACGTCAGACAACATTTGAATTTGTTAAAATACATAGAATAAGTATTTGATGCTGAGCATTTCTATTGCTGTTATCATCAATTTTGATTTCTTCGTGACGAGCGAGTGGTGCGCACGACCTGACTGTGACATTCAACAAAGGTATCGAGAGAACTTCAGCTTCTAGGCTGACAATAAAAACTCAATCATGCATTGATGTTCGGTTTGAGCGAGAGCGGGCCTGAGTGATATATCGGTGAGGATATTCATTCTGTTCATCAATAACCGCGAGCGTTCTGTCTACGTTGCTCCATTAGCATTAGATACCTACGTGTGAGTTTGCTCTGAATAATTGCTTCTGAAATGAACGTAAGCTCAAAACCCCATGCTTGCTCAGGGAAATGAAGAATGCTCATTTGATTACTTAAGTCCTAGTTTGCAATGAGAACGACGTCCCTGTAATAGCAACGAAACCCAAGCCCCACGAATTCACTTGGCCTCTCATCAACGTATTGTTCTATATTTAACATTACCTTACACGTACTACGTCTTCATAGTTAGTTTGTTTTCTTTACTGAACATCCAGCATGATCATCACCACTTCTCTTCATCTGTAGGTCGCAACTGGTACAGCTCATTTTTTATTATCAATACCTATATCACAAAAATGAAGTTGATGTTGAGAATCAATGTTAGTAAAGATTTTTTTACCTTACTAAGGTAGAGGAAGATTCTGCATTACTCGATCCTAATAGGATACTTATCTTGGACGAGTACTACTTTAAACAACTACGAACTACTAAAGAATAGCACGTTTCTAATATTATGACTGAAACATCAAAGAGCAAAGAGTATCCCTGTTTCTATATGTGAATGCATGTAAGTAATCATCTCTTTACTTATTTTACGACTCTTCAAGAAAAAGTCAGGATGAAGTTGCTTGACGAAGATAGTTCTGTATCGAGGACGGTTGCAGAAGGAGGTGCGTTCGTCGAAGCAATGTCTCGCGCGCTTCCTGCACATGAGGAGTCCCCAGTCGGTAACACAAAAAATGTCAGTGGTAAAGCTGTCACTCCTCAAACGGCTGATGCTGGTGGAGACGGAGGCCCTGACCATTGTAAAGATGATCACGACCAGGAACACGGCCAGCACTATCGAGGCGATCCAGGAGTTCGAGAAGATGTTCAACACAATATGAATAAGACTAAGAACGTTTTTCATGTGACCCGAAGCTCGAAATTTCAAACTGAAGAGGATATCGTGAATGCATTTTCTGGAGATGTTCTGCATCTCGTCTTTGATGATTTGGCTTTGGAAATCTCCTTCGCTGGCGGAGAGCGTCAGATTCGCCGCAGAAGCTTCGAGGACGATTCTACTTGTAGCAAATTCCTACTGGATGGTGAAGCTGGTTGCGTACTTTTCGAGGACGATGATGCTCCTGCAACAACGATTCCACTGCCACCGCCAGAGATGACGAAAGAGCGCTCAGCCATTTGCAGGAATTCAACCTTATCTGAAGATGACGAGATTTATAAACCTATTGTTCCTGCTCCTGCTGCTCCAACTTCAACACGTGTTGAAGTTGAAGACAAAAGCACCATGAGAGATGCTAAAGCTGGATCGAAACAATCGTTTGGAAAAGGGGAGGACGTTCGTGGCGGTGCGGCGACTGCAAACGTGTACATTATAGATGGAGGTCGTTGCAGTGAACGTGATGAATCACGACTGGTGAAACGAGACTCCACCAGGAGTAATAAAGAATTTCTACAACTACCGCGTTCAATAGGTGGACCGCGACCCTTGAGTCCAATACTAAAGACCACTACAGCATCTACGCCACCAGTCATGTTCGCCGATTCGAGCACTCAGACCTTCGCCAATGAAGAGGCGGCAGGCGGACTCACGCGAGATTCTTCTGGACGTCCTACTAGTTCGCAAAGCAGTATGTGTATGCAGTCAAGAACTATCACTACAGGAGTCGCAAGATCTCAGGTGGGGGCTTCATCTTCAAAGAACATCGCTAGCCAACAAGAACAAGCACAAGCCGCATCTGCATCACGAAGACGTACAGGTGAAGTACACCAACAGCTTCGGCATCAGAATTCAGGAGTGACTTTTGCCAGCGAACGCGACGAGCAGCTTTTGTTTCGTACGGGAGAACTCCCAGAGCCTGTTCGGACGTTCGAGGACGACGCTGCGCAAAAACTGGGCAAGGTTGTGCGAGGAAAGCTAGTCCGGCACTCTGTTGAGCGGATGCGCCGCGAGATGAATCTTGCCGCAGCTAAGATCGCGGCCTTGTGGAAGAAACGGCTTCTAACAGGTCCACCGGGAGCAAAGGATTTTTATGAGGATGACGACGAATTAGACCCGGCGACGTGTGCATCCTCGACGCCTTGTACGCCAAGTGCGTCGCCCACACTACTTGCAGGGGCAAGTACACGTGCAGATGACGTCCACGCGGGTGGACAGTCAGTATCCTCTTCCTCATCGAGTGCAGCCCCTTCGATAGCGTTTGCACCATTCACCCGGTCTGTGGAAAATGTCAACAACGTTCGCACTCAATGGCGGGAGGGGAACAACAAGAACAACAACAACAATCCTGACCTAGCAGATTCTACGAGAGGTGCTTCATCTACTTCTTGCAGCGCGACGAGCGGCGTGAAGATGATCGGTCCTTTCATGGACAAGAAAGCTGTTTCAAGTACCTCCTATATGGACCTTCATCCAGGAAAGAAGCTGCTGGAACCTCCCACCAAGTACTTGGAAGGTGATAGTTGGGAAGTGGGAACACTACAAGATGGGGGTGAGACAGCATCCAATGTTGCAACGTCGAAGAGGTATCCCAATTCTCAACGAGTTGAGCCTTCGTCCTCCTCAAATAGGGCACAGCGAGGATCCGAAACATCTAGTGACAATCCGTTCAACTACACTTTTACTGGACGACTGATTTCTTCCGCAGAATCGGGACAACGTCAACAGAATTCCAGAGTTCTTCCAGCTGCCACTGAGCGTACGAAGACGCTTCCTCTGCTCTCAGAGAATATTGAGTTAATGCGGAAACAGATATTCGAGGAGACAAACATCGCCGCTAGCGATATCGAGTCCGAGTTCGCCCACAAGAATCACCTCAACTTTTTCCATTCGCCGGGTAGCTCCGTTTTCCATCATCATTCTAACCATAATATGCAGATGGTGGAGCTAAGGTCAAATCGCTCGGGGAGTGCAGATCTGCGGTCGAACCGGTCCAATCGGTCAGGAGGCACGGAGCAGCTGTGCTCCTCCGCGATGTCCATCTCGTCAGACACGAGTTCTCTCGAGTCGATGATGCGGGACATCCAGGAGATGGAGGATGCGGACCTGGAAGACTTGGGCGACATCGTCAACGAGCGCATGCAGAAAGCAGTCGAGAAAATTGTGGCAGTGATGCGTGGACACCTGGATCGGACGCAGACGGCCCAAATGAAAAGCGAGATGGTCACGGCAGCGAACACGATCACGGCCTACTTCCGCGGAGCCAGGGAGCGGGCCGAAGTGCAGCGAGTGCGGTCGGCGATGCAGACGGCAGCAACTAAAATTCAAGCGGCCTACAAAAGTCGAGCCGGTGCAGCTAAGAGTCTTCATGTAGAAGGAGGAGCCGTGGAGATCATTGAAATAGGTCTGGGAGGAGGCGCGATGAGAACCATCGCGGAAGAAGATGATGACGATGGTGACCTGGATCCAACGCCAAGTCGCATGCATCTTCCCAACACTGGTGGAGCTTTTCGCACGCCAAGTCGTGGGGATTCTCGTGGTGCTGTCGAAGTGAGAACAGTAAAGCAGCACGGGGCCGCTAGTCCGGAACAAAACGACTCTTGTGGATTGCCGTCTGCTGTGACAAGAGATGGCAACAACAACCATGGAACACCAGCAGCAGGATCTTCGTCATCCACCGTACTTTCTGGAACATCTTCACTTGTCAACCAAGTTCATCATCTTCCTGTTGAGGACGAGGAGGATGAGGAGGACGCGGCCGCTGGACAAATCAACAACGTGATTTCGGCGGAGATTGAGCGAGCCTGCGAGAACATTTCGCGTCAGGTTCCTTTTGTGGCTGGTGCAGATGATGATGCGCGAATCGAGATCATTTCCGACGAAACTATGGCAGCGGCGACGAAGATAGCCGCGTTCATCCGTGAGGTCCGTGCGCGAAACGTGCTCAGTGGAGACGCGGGAATTCATCCGCATTTTAGTGAAGCAGGAACTCTAATAGAGGGGGATGGAGATGGACGAGGGTTCGGAACCTCATTGATGTCATTAGCGGCAAGTGGCCATTCCCATTTCCTTCGCTCAACGACATCATCATCTCACTTAAATTTTACTGACGATCCGATTATGCGAGAGCGGGAACTGCATGAGGTGCAGCTCGAAACGGATAGAGTAAAATACGAAATGGGGAAGGCTGTAAAGCGAATTAATGACGACATCCGCGAACGCTCGCAGCTCCGCAAAAACAGGGCAGAAAGCTATCTGGCGTCCATGAAAAATCAAAAAAGTTGGTGATATGTGAGATTCCACGATAAGGACAACCCACCCGCATTGTTCTGGACCTGCTTCTGCCCCTCGACATTAAACCGGACAACTTGGACATCTTCCATTACCTCGTCCTAAGCGTCAGCTTCGACTTCCTCGATGAACCTGCTTCTGGAACAAGATTCCGATTCAGTTCCGAGACTACTGATTCCCCCTTATGCGCTGCTTTGCCCCAAAGAATCAACCTTGAGACTTAAGGAACACGATGATGTATACGTACGCGGGAACTAACTAGAACTAGTCTATCAGCACCACGTAAATCTAACATGCTCGTAGCCAGAGTTGATTTGCTCGAAGAGCACAATTACATACATATCACGGAGTATCTTGCATGCGCTTCGCATCTACCTTCATGTCAGACATGATTCTTTTTACGATTGTGATTTTATGATTGGTTGTTGCGTGTTGATACAAGATGAAAGAATAAATGAAGGAGACGGACGAGCTGGGAGCAAAAAAGCGACCTTTGTCGGTGGCGCAGGTTCGTTTCCCATATTTCTCACTACGTCCCTAGTCCTCGTCCGTGGAGTTGGCGAGGGGGATAAAGAGATGAGCGAATAAGAAAATTGGTAAAGTGCAAAAATGGAATTGAGCTAATGATAAACATAAAGACACAACCACCATCATGTTAGAGACTCGAGTACCCACGAGAGTTTCTGCTTGACTTTATTTTCGACAGGCCTCCATCATGACCAAAAACGGCTACTGCTACATGTGATGCTGCAAAAATATAGTCTCTCCGTAAAATGTTACGGCTTCACCTGCTACTTGTTGTTTCCGTGGTTCTCCTACGAGATGAACAGCATGCAGTAGGAGCAGTTGTGCGAACAGGTGGCATTTGCAGCCTGCTTTGTGGACGTGAGCAGGACAGAGAACGTGGAAGTGTCAATTTTAAGACACCAGGAGAGCGCATCTTCCTTGGACTTTCAACGTTGTCCTCATTTCCCAGAGAAATGATACCAAACAATTTTCATTCTTCTGGGGACAAGATGTATGGGTGTGGTGTCGAAATTGATGGCGCGGGGCTTTGTCATCATCCAATTGCATTTTAATCACTTCAAAGCCCAACCCCAAAGTTTGAAGACCGACATGGATATCTCAAAAAAAATTATTAGCTTTAGATTCATGATTCTAAGCAGAACTCTCGCTCCGGCGACGCCTCTGGGGATGCTACCAACCATGTCGTCGAAACTATTGACATTCCTCCACCTCATCACGAGAGTATGCCTCGCGAGAGCATGATGGCCGACTGCGGCTTCTGTTGTTCGTCTTCGAAAGCCTCGCAAATAAATTTCGTTCTAAAGTTAAGGCTTACCACATTATTGTCTCACACACTCTCATAGATACCCGTCATCTTTCGAATTACAACTACTAGAGAAAGGATGCGATTGAGGCATGGGCTCTAAGAAAGCGAGGAGACGCCGAGGCAGAAAAGCAGCTGCGCGACTTGCTCACTAAACGCCCAGGGAGTCTCGACAAGCCACTTGCCATTGCGGTAGAGCCAGCCTTTTTGCCTACTGGGCTTCGAAATCATAACTCTGGTGTTCGTGACCACAGTCCTCGAAATGGTGGCGCAGACCGCCTCCACGACGAAAGGGTGGCAAAGAAAAGAACTGCTTGGCCTCGTTCGGGCTTTTACTGGCCCGCCGCAACGGTTGTGTTCGCGGAAGGTATGATTCCGGGTAAGGTTGAGGTCCCTTCAATCTCATCGGAGGAAGCGCTGAACCGACCTACTAGATCGTCGTCCACCAGCACGTGGTCATCAGACAGTGCTACGCAGTCTCTTCCCGGAATCCGAGGAAGGATTTTCAGACGCGATTCTGTATCTGAAGCCATGGATACAAACTCAAACGATGATGCACATGCGGCATCTGACGAACCGCAAAATTGGAAGCAGGACCTAGTTCAACAAATTCGCGACACGTGTAAGAACGGCGGTTGCTGTCCTAGCACGTTGTCATGCTGTATCGGGAGGAGTAGTGCCTGTTCAAATACGAAAGCATCAGTCACGTCGCTGTAGATAAAAAATGATAAGAGGATCATCGGCATCACGGTCAATTTCGTGATGCAAATAATGAGAACTACTCAACATTAGACTATGAAGTTCATCGAGGGCGGCCTTAGTGTCCGCGTCTGCGTTCCGGGTGAGCGACAGGAGAATGAGTATCAAGTCAAAATAAAAATCATGAATTACATTTCCTGTGATCACCCTTAACATGAGGATACTTCGCTGGTTTATTCGGATGCGCAGCCAGAAGACTGTGACAAATAGAATCCCATGGTATTGTTTGACACTTGGATGACAAAATTCCAATGGAAAGGGAAATTGTACTGCGAAAAAAAATTTGCCTACCATGTTGAGAGATAAAACATGTCTATCAGAGCTGAACGACACAAACGAATGTAAACCACACGACGACCACCATGTAAAAGATAAAGTAGAAGTCTCGTCTGAAACGCTCATACGCTGTAGTCAGCATGGGTCATTGTTTCAAATTCAATCTGTTCCGTCGGCGTCGTGTTGCAAAACAGAATGTTGCTATCTTGTTATCGAGTCAATTATAGTGATTCATCTTGATGTTGTTTTGCACTTGATCGGAAGAGGAGGAGATGATCAAGCATATACCTCGCCTGTTTGAAGGTGAAGGAAAAACTACTTGAGAAAGAACTACAACAAAGATCAAAAAAAAATTAATGCGAACAAGAATATGTGTATTTGCATTACTAGTACGAGCAGGTTGAATATTTGATTGATGACAAAATATAATGGCAGAGCCATTCTGATTCTTACACTGACCCTCGTTGATGTAGAAAGTAAATAATCTCAAACCTTCCTATATGTACAAGAGCGTCATTCGCTTTCGACTTATTGGTTCTTTTAGGTAGTTAGAGTTCATTTAAAAACAAACATGGAGGCGATGACGGGACTGAAGCTCGCGATGCCGCATGAGCGGCCAAATCGTGGCCTTGAAGAGGAGCGTTGTCAAGCTCCGGTAACTACTACTGTTCTTTCAGTCACTTCTCATCGTCATCTTTGTCCTGCAAGGAGAACTTTCATTTGGAAAATGGAAAGATTATTGGCCTTTTGGTCGCAGACATTGAAAATGAAAAATTGTTGTACAGGTGAGATAGTGTTTATATTTTTCATTGATTCGGTCTGGGTTTGCTCTCTCTTTCCCATCTGTACTTTCCTATACAGCAAACATTACCTTCACAAAACGACAGGTTGGAAATATTGGCCAGCCAGATCATCCAGTACAGAAGATTCAACTACAGTCCATGCGGGACAGACTGAAGATGGAAGACCGACTTGATGGAATCGTCTTGGGTATCTACATTAGAATCGCTATCTTCGCCGTCTAGGTCTACTTTGTCCACAAGAAGCGCTTGAAAAATTCCCAGCAGCATTAGCATCTGCATCTCCACCTCATTGTGGTAGTTGACAAGTAAGCGCCTACATGCTACGATGAAAAAGATGAGTCGAGCACTCCTCCAATCTTCACAAACCATAACAAACCAATCAACTACAAATCTAGGTTCGCATGTACCAATGAGGAACCGAATCGAGCGAAACATTCTTGCGCAATATCAGAGGCTTCCGGGGTTACCATCGTCTTTCGTCGGACTCGAATCGCATCTGGATATCGACGAAACAATCGAGTAATTCTGATTTTTTTGTATGAGTAAACTTGGATCATTCTTGATGGTTGCTCATAAAATATATGATTACTTCTAGGTACATCAATCAATCATCAATCAATTATAGGAAGTATTCACTGAAGATGCTGATTCTACCTGGTCTTTACGATGATCACTTTCCTCGTCTTGTTACAACCCAAGAGAACCTTGTTTCGTGATCAGGTTTGAGGATTACCTGAACAGGAAAGAGACGTGCCCGATGCCAGAGGTCGGGTTCAATCATACTATGCACGACGTCCTCGAAAAGAAATTGGAGATGAAGTGAAGAGGAGTAAGAGCTGAAGGATGGAAATAGACTCGATCATGACATCAACCCATCGCATTCATCCCCACGGTACTCATCCCTCATCAGTTTTATGCTGGCAGCCCCCCTTCGAGTTCTGGCAGTAGGACTCCGCTTCTCTGCCATGATGACTGCGCGCTGACCACCCAGACATCAAAAGACAAGACGGCTACTCGTGCGAAGTCCTAGGCCTCCCACAAAATCCTGGAACCTAAATGTGAGCCCTGGCTTTCTTTCGCCCTCAAGATTAGCCCTCGAAAAGAACTACTTCTGGTGTTCCTCGATTTGAGCCTCAGCGCTGTTTCATTTTTTTTGGACGTCTCCGCATGGAGTATGAAAAAACAAGACAGGTGGAAGCCACATATGATGAATGTCTCTAGCTGTTCACCAATGCAGTGTTCGTGAGAAACTGGAGGTGCGGGCGCTTCTACCTAGCGGTACTTCGACTTAGCCTTTTCTAGTAAAAACGGCGCAAGAAAAAAACAAGTGACGCGACTTTCATCAACTAGCCCGACTCGAGCTCGAGGGCGTAAGTAATAAAAGAAAGACTTGATCTAGACAAGGTGCGCGAAAATGTCGCTGAAGAGAGAGAGAGGTGGAAGAGATGGACCAGAGGGAGTAAGGAAAGAAGGAGCATGATTAGTAACATATTCATTGATGCGCCTGCGCCAATGCCATCATGCTAAAAGTTGTAGGTCAACATGCGTTACCGTCGCAGTTTTTATACATAGTAAAAATGAATAATTACCTTTGAACAATCTCCAATTCGAATTTGGAACCATAACTACCATGCACTAAAAAAAGTTTATAATCAAAGATTTCTAGCCGCCTTATTTTTGAAGCAAAATAACAGGAGAAGCAACCACTCCCACGTCCTTCAATTCTCTCGCCGAAGGCATGCCACTGGCAAGCGCAAAAAAAAGTGTGCCGCGCCCGAAGGGCGTAGTCTTCGATTCATCTCGCGTGAGCCGCACTTTGGAGACCTTGAAACGACGACTAGAGGATGCTCACGTGCAATCCGAGGGAATGCGAGAGCAAATGCAGCGGGTAGGATTGAAAATGAGATACAACTGATGTTGGCACTTCTTCGTGTGATTCACTTCTTGGAGTCGTGAATTTGAACCTTCGGAGTTCGGATCAGCTACTTATTTTCGAGAACATTTTGAAAGAACTATACTCTTTGTTGTAACACGCGTAATGGCATTAAATGCCGATGCGACTCTACAGGATACTGCGGTTATAACGAAGGCACATGAACGGGCAAAAAAGCGTATCGCAAAGCGACTAGGTGGTCGGTTTGTCGATACGAGTATTCACGCAAAATTACCTGGGACCCAAACTCGCGGACGCGGACTCGGAACCCTAGGTATCGAACAGTCACCAGCTTTCTCGTCGCCTGTAGGAAGGCCACGACGAGAGTATGACGACGACGACGCGAGCGATTCGAGGTCAGATACTGAAACTTATGACGACGACATTTTGCTCGGTCGTGCGGGTGCGGCCTGCCAGCAGCAGTACCAAGAGGCGAGCGAAGATCAAGCAGATCCACAGAGTGTGGACAGGTTCGGGTTCAGTCCGGAGGCTCGTGGAGATCAACTAGCAGCTTCTCCAAAACAAGCGTGCTTGCAAACGCTGAAACAGCAAATTTTGCGGCAGCACCGCAGAGCCGAGGCACAGGAGAGACAGCAGCGCCGCGAAGAGCGCATGCGACAACGCGAAAGCGAAGATGCCGAGGTCGCGGCTAAAAGTAACTACATGCATCGGCCGACGCGAGCAAGCGAGGCGCGCATGCAAGGACAGATAGAAATGCTGCAACAGCAGTCTGCGACAGTCCAGTCCTCAAAACAGTTAGCCGACGGCGCGCCTCCAGGTAGTACGACGAGCACGTCTAAGTTACGTCCATATGTCCATCTGGAATTTGTGCTACTTGTTTTTGTACACTATCCTCTTTAGTTTTTTTATATAGTGCTTCTCTAATTCGAGATCAAATCGCCAAAGATTTGAGCAACAAGGTCCGAGAATTTCGAGAGGATCTTGCCGAGAGGCGGAACTGGGGTGCTGCGGGTAAATACCAGCACCATTTGAAAATGACGAAAGGTCAGATTTCCCGGAAAGAAGCTGTTGAGCATGATCACCCAGAACTTGCACACGACAAGGCCCATCATCATTTCACTAGCGGACTGCGTAGCGATCATGGGAAAAGTGGAGCTCTAGCGGGAGGAGGTAGTTTTAACATGCAGCCGAAAACAAGAGCACAGTTAGATAGTGAAGTCATTGGATGTTTAATTTTGGGAGAGTTTAAATTTGTTCTACTTGCTTCTTCAAGATTCGCGTCATCCCATAACTACAGCTTCTTCGAAGTCGTCCACTCATGATCATGCGACTTCAATGCAGTCTGGTGCACACGCGTCAAAAGGAACCGGTCATGCGGCGGATTCTGGCAAGTCACCACTCTCGGACTCTCTGCGCGATATTCGAAGGATGCGAAACGAGCTCGCCAACAAGGACCAGTCGCGCTCTGGAACCCTAGAGCAGTTGGAGTCGAGCTTTCGGGAATATTTTATCGGTGGGTCAACTTCGGGAAGACCAATGCAGGCAAACGACCCAGCCACAGCATCAAGTGGTTTTTCTGAGTCGGAACACAAGCAGGAGCTAGAGAAAATTCAACGACAGAAAGATCTCGTTACCAAGTGGTTTCTAAAGACAGGTAGTCTCTCTCGTCGCTCATCTTCACTTAATATTCTTGGTCCCGCTGCTGAAGGCCTTTCTCAATTTTTGATGACCACTTCTGAATGAAACTCAGAACTTGTTTTGGTTTCTGATATCCTATGGTCTTGCTCGCACATTTTCTGGAATCAGGTAATACGGACGGAAAAGTCGAACTTGCCGGTGCTTCTGGGTACAAAGCGTTGTTGAGCAGCTTGAACGGCCTGAAAAGTGAAGTCGCTGCGCTAGTGCAAGAAGTAACGCCAGGAGAGCCTTCGAGTGGTTTCGGCCAAGATGTGATTGACCCTGAACAGCTAGAGCGTCTGGTTGATCCTGCTTCACCAGAGCACGACGACACTTCCTCGCCGCTGCATCAGAAATTGCTTGCGGGTGGTGCGGATGCCATCACGGGTGGCTCACCTTCGCCGCAAATGATGGAGATCGTACGTGAAGTGGAATCACTCAAAAGTCAGATCGAGGAATACTTCAATGCTGGAGGAGGAGCTGGGGGGTCCTCTTCGTCATTTTTCTCGAGTGGAAACGGACTGCTGGGCTTGCCACTGGGTGGAGGGTCAACAACAGATCCTTCCATACTGATGAGTGCCCGCTTGAATCCAGAAATTGCGGGAATACGAGACGAGCTGCGCATGCTTCGACAGGAAATCGCCGCGGCGGCTTCGGTGACGGACGATAAAATGTCCTCCAAGGTACTTATTTTGCCTATCAATTCAGGTGGCCTAGTAGTGTTGATATGAAAATTACTGTGACTGTGGTCTGCTAGTTCTTCACCATGCCACTCTCATTTAAAATGACCCACCAACCTCTACGTCAACGACCTGATGAAAATGATGTTCATGTTGATTATGCTGCAACCCGCATCAGCTACTGTACTATGCAGAGCCTGCTGGTGCATCAACCGCGTCATTTGCTGTGAGGGATTGCGCAAATGGCCGTAAAAAAGAGCAACTTTCATCCGCCGCATCGTCCTCATCAAGTTCGTCAAAGAAAACTGCAAATGTCGCCACCGGTAAATGTGAAACTGCGTCTGCAACATCGAGTTTGAGAAGAAGTTCGAAAAATGATGATTCGTCGAACGACTCAAAGCAGCAGCCCTGGTCGGAGGAGATGGCCCAGGTTTCTCTGCGTGAGCAACAACTTCGACGCGCGTCGCACGAGTCGAATCGCAGCATCGGCAGTGAGAGAACAACGCTGCATCCTCAACAACTCGATAGTGCGCCGCCAACAGCTTGCGATGCGCACCATCAGGAACCGCAGTGGTCGTCGACAACGTCTGTCGTCATTGCGCCACAGGGCGGCGCAATTTCTCGAAAGAGTTCGCGGAAATCGACGTCGTCGAGCAAGCCTCCTCCCGCACCACCTTCGATAACGAGCTACAGCTTGGTTGCCGTCGCGAAGGACGTTGGCATACGTAGAATTTCCTCGCATGGACACCCGGGAGGTATGTCTCCTTCACTGGGTGCAAACTCAGTGTCTGCTTCGCGAAAAAACGTTAACGTAACGAAAAGGACACTGCAGAATAGGGAGCCAGACCTGATAGAAGACGCGTGTGACCAGCAGCAAACAGAAGCCTTCTTGGAACCCGCACGACGCTCTCTGTCGCATGGCATGGCACCTACGCTGCAGCACGCTGAGGATGCGTCGGCTTTATCGCATAGTCGCAGAAAGGTGGAGGAGCATGGACTAAGTTCCTCTAGTTCTGCTTTTTCAGCAAAACATTACCAAGAGCAACGTCACCTCGACGCAGGAATAGCAGAGCGACACCAGCATGATCTCCCGCCTTATCACACTCATAGTGCGATCTCAAAACTGGAAGAACAGCTGCAAGCGCAGAATATCCTTGGTGATGACTCAGTACGGCCTATCGGCACCACCAGTGATACGACCGCTTCTCTAGTGACAAGTTTTCCGCACAGCGCTCGTGGAGGTGCCCAGGGTACGCAGCATCATCGTGCAGTACGTGGAATGAGTAGGCCAGAGGATGTTTCGAGAGTGAAGCCGGACGATGGCGGGGCTCCATTGGGAGGTGTGCCGGTTACAAGAGGATCTTCGTATCAGCAGGCCTTCAGTTTTGGTCAGCCTCCTGGAACACAACACCTCTTTCCCGCACCGATGGGTTCAGTAGTGCTAGCTGGAGCTGGAGGTGGCGCTTCGGTGTGCAACAACTCGATGCCAGGAATCGGGGGATCAGTCGTTGGAGTAGGGACACCAGGCGTACCGCTGTATTCCTCTTCTTCTTCGGTTGTGGGAACACCGGGAGATCCAGGGCAACTCCTAGGAAGCGCGATTGATAGAACGAACTCAGCCTGGCGTCGATTCGACGCAGGAGGAACATTGGAGTCTGTCGGAGCCAAGCAGCCGCAAGAACGAATCATGCCGTCAAGGCGACGAAGGCGGTAGCGTTGAGGCCTTCAGCTATGTAAAAGCGACGAAGGGGACAGCTTTCATGAGGCCTTTTGCAAAATTGAGGCATGAATTGATGTTCTACTTCTAGGTTGAAGTTCTTTCACTACAATGTTTCTTGAACAAACTGCTATAGAATAATACACCGGGGGTTTTGTGTCGATTCGGTGTCCTCTAGTCTGGTATTCATTCACAAAACTGGGACGATCGGATTCAGGGCAGCAGGGGTTTCCTACTTTGTGCGACAATCATTTCGCATTCAACTGTGGGTAGCATGGGACATCACATGATGAAGAGAAAGCTCGTTTCGCGCTTGATTTATCTGCATGATCACTAGACGACACTGTGAAGAAGTCGTAGGGGTGTTGGGGTGGATGGAAATGGATCCCAAACGTTTCAGCCCCAAGGTTCAATTAAGTACAATTTTATCACGAAGATCATCATGAGAACAGAAGCACTAGCACGAACAAGGCTGCAGACATCATGAAAACAGAGAAGTATCGGTAAGTATGTTTTCTTATCAGCGAAGGGGATCTAAAAGTAATATGCCACCTCCATTCTATCATCACATCACACATCAAGCACCACAGATATAGAAAAATGAAGGGGTCTTGCTGCAGCTCTGCCGCGCGGTCGCGGCCTACAAGTGGGCTTTCGACGACAACCACCTCGGGGCCAGGAGGCGGAGTTCGCGCAACCGCGTCGAGCAGCATCTTCTTAATGTCATCTAATACTAATACCGGCACATCAGCTGGTGCTTGTACCTACAGTCCACTTACGATGGTTGCCGGGTCAGCATCGGCACCTTCCACCAGTTCGTCATCTTCGTGCACGAGTTATCGTACTCGGAGAAGATATTTCTCGAGTGGAGTGGACCGCATGCGCATTCCTCGCGTGTATATCGAGAAGCGGCCAGTCGAGGAGCTAGCCCGTGTCAACGAGCAGGGACTGCCACGACAGCAGCTTGAGAATGCCAACTTGCAGAGCGCCATCCCACGAAGACTCGCAACTGCAGCTGAACGCAACGCCTACACGCAGTTGTCACCTCTTCCGTCACCAAATCTTGCGTGTTCACGCCTAACAGACTGCATTTACCGCGGACAAGAGATGCTTGAGGACACTGCGAATTACAAGCATGATCCGTTTTCACCTCCAGATGTTGATGCAACGAGAACAACGAGTCTCACAGACCAAACTGTGAGTCTGAAGAACGGTTCGTACCGCATTTCTGCGACGGGTGTACGCATGAGTGGGAGCAATACCCGGTTCATTTCGGAGTGGTGGTATCGCCACGGAGCGTCTGAAAACTACAGCGCTAATAACGCAATGCTGGCAAGTCAAGTTGACAGTAATGGAGTTGGCAAGGCTCCATCTGTTCTAGGAAGTGGTGGACCCGAGAGATGCGTTCTAGGTGGTGCTGGCCTACAGAGCGGTGTTCTGCAGCATGCTCTCAATGATGCCCACGCGCATGATCCTAGTGTGGTGGGTCTGCAGGACCAGGCAGCCTCTACCAGACAGCTAGAGCAGTTGTGTGTATTGAAACAACAAACGCAAAACGCAAAGAACGTTTCTGGTCCAAACACGACACACGATGGACCGAATAGCATGACGGCTGCTAGCAGCACCTATGCGCGTCCGAAGAGAGAACGTCGGATCTTTGTAGCGGACCTTCTGTCACCCTCAGTGTCCAGTCTGTCCGAAGAAGGTGCAGCAGAATCAGAACAACGTGTTCCCGGAGCAAGTGGTATCATACCACCTGCTTTAGATTCACTTCTGGACGACGAGGGAAAGTCTAGACGTAGTACTGCTCCAAGTCGAAAGGACGCGACCAGGAGCATTACCACGTCGAGAACTGTAGTGGCGTCTTCAGCCTCGATTCCACCCCCGCTGCAACCGATGCGCCCGAATGAGGACAGGCTAATGCACATGGACAACAGCTTCGTTACCAATCTCTATCCTCAACACCCTCTGAATTTTACGTCGTTGAGAGCTGTGACGCAAGCAGGCATCACGCCACTGGACCGCGCTGTGCGCGATGTGCCTTGGGAAAGCCGTTTTGACTTGGTGAAACGCATGATTTTTCCCAAATACTGCGCTCCAGTTGGTTATGATGATTCTGAATACTGTGCTCTCTAGCACTACCAAACATCATAGTGCTGAGTTCTTAGACTTTCCTGTTCCACCTTCTATTGAAGATCGACGCGACTCCGACTTCGAGCAGCATTTGCTTACCACAAAGAGTGCTTCAAAGGCCATCTACTTACTTAAGTTAGATTTGATTGATGTACGACAGTACCGACTCCGACTAAGTACGTGGACTATGACTATGTCATGAAACAAGTCGAGCCATTTTTAGGTAGAAGATTTTCTCCATCACGATCTTCATTTTCTCGATTTCACTCGTGGTGCCATTTCACGCGGGACTGGCACACCTCGACGTGCGTACCAAGAAGGCTGTGTGGAGGGCGTGCGCGTGAGGCCAACATTCAACCCGTTCGTCGACCTGAGTGACCAGAAGCGGTATGTCTTGGACAACTGGCCCTCTCGTAACTGGTTTCAATGGGAGCCCAACGACAACGTGAAAGTTCGTGGCGGGCGACGCTCACACCAACTACCCCGCGACATAGCCCCGACAAAAGACGAACTCGGAGAGTGGCACCCATGCAAGGTAGGAGTTGTTAAATTTTGAATGTTGAATGGATTGGAATTTTTTTTCTGTGTGGGATTTTTGGGTACTCGTTCATCTACTTACTTAGAAGTGCTACGACAGCTACAGCCTGCATTACTAGTATTTCCATTTTTTGTTGTTGGTCATTGAGAAAATATCACAGCTTCCGGGACGATACAAAGCGGATATTAAGAAACAGTATGCTTATTTCGGACTGCCATGGGTATGGGATAACAACTTCATGAACAAGGGACGACATATTTACGACCGAAGTGCTCCGCGCAAAGGACGGGGATTCTGGTATGATTCATATGATCAACTACCTTGTTTTGTCATGCTTCTTCGCCTGTACGTCACCGGGTGAGCCTAATTGATGTCATGCGCATGTGTATCAAGCGTTTCATATTTGTATCAGAAATAATAATTATAATAAATAAATAATAATAGAATAGTCCTCCTAGTCCGAATACCGAGTTGCCACGAGTTGCCGGCACTCATATGCCAAAAGCGGGCCACCTTTGTACCGAAGAGGTACGCCCCAGCCGAGCCCTTCAGGGCTTGGCGAGAGAAGGCAAAGGCCGGGCTACTTTTTTGAGGATTGAATGGCGCGCGCGCATGCCAGCCTTGCGAGGTGAAGGGCTTTGTTTTGTTGGGTCGCTGCCTCTGCGTATTCGTGTCTTGATGTCGGTGATTATCTGGCCGCCGTTTTTGTTTCTGATGAGTGACTGCCAGGCTGTTCGACTTGAGGGCGGCTGAAATTTAGGAGCGAGGGCGCCTGGCCTGTCTCTTAGAACAGTGCCCTCTTAAACAGCCAGGCTCACTCTGTGCGGCGTATTCGCCTGCGCTGTAGTGGATTGCCATAGTAGCGCGCGGCCTTGTGACGAGTAGCATACGATGCCTCCTTGAGGTATCTTATGACACATCAATAACTAATACTAGGTACCCGTGCTAACAAAGTAGTCCCAAACTACAAGAGCAGGGCCGGGGCCCCTAGAAGCGCTCGGCGCAGTTCCTTGCTTCCCGCAAGCCACACGCGCTCCTGTGGGGCGTGTGTGGCTTGCCTGCGGTGAAGGTACGCCCTCGGGCGCAGCGAAAAGATTTGGAATGGAACTCGATCAACTCGAGGAACTCGAGCAACTCGATCCCATATCGGGCGAAAAAAGTCTAATTCTATATAAAATAAGAACTAGAACGGCATCGGTCAACATAATCGTAATGCTGCTGATATTAGTACTAAACTCTGGCTGACCCAGTCATGCACATGCTCTAGTTATCTCTACCCGACACGGACACCAATACCACAGGCGCGCACGCGAGTACCGCAAGCTGCGCATCGCGGATGCCTTGCGTAAGATGCCTTCTCTTATCGAAGAGTATCGTAAGGAGCGTCGTGAGTCCAAACGGCTATCATGGTTCGAGGACATGATGGTTCGCTTTTGCGGTAAACTGAATGCTCACGCACATATCCGAAAAAGAAAACGAGCAACCTTTTAAATCAAGACGTGGGGGTGAATTACGATACCATTCCGATTACTCTTCATCAAGAGGTAGAGTATGCACATCCATCCCGAAAATGTCTGAAGCCTGCGCTTCTTTCTGAGATAGAAAGCAATTAGAAACAACTCAATCTTGTTGTGATGTCGTTTGTCTTTGATTATACAGGTGACTAAGTTCTGCAATTCAAGGTGCAATTAGAATGAACACCCCGGGGAGTAACCTTCTTACTTTGCGCTGTACTGCCAAATTTGAGCAGAGTAGATAGTTCTGTAAAAAAATTGCAACCAAGACTGCACGTGCTTCAGAAAATGTAATCAAGCTCTAGTATTCGCATTGTCAATGTGCTGGTCAAAGATGAGTAAGTAACAAAGTTAGAGATGGCCATGTTGAACAAGTCACACTCCTTTTTAAATCCCATTTTAGCAGTTCTGCAGCACGTCTTGGTCTTTAATTTGTAGCTGGATGAACACCGGAGGGGTAGGCAAAGTACTACACCACTCACCTCCTCCACGTCGTAGCACGCTAGGAAACTCGTCTTTATCGGCAAGATGTCTAGTTCCGTTACGCCACCGAGTTCTTCAGGAGGACTGATGCCGCTGCTTAGGGCGCAGCCACCATGGCTTATTGGCAGCACAGTTGCTTTGGTGCTTGGTTGCATCATACTCGACGTGGACAAACACCTGGTTCCACCCAGAGACGCGCCGTTCTACGAAAACGATGCACGGCTCGGGCATCCAGTAAGGCATGACACAGTGCCAGCGTGGTTCGTCATTGTCTTCGCTTATTCCGCGTACCTCCCTATAGCTTTAACGGCAGCTATGGGGGCCGTGGCTTCGCGAGGCCATAACTTGCGATACTGGGGCAGCTATGACAGGCCAAAAGGAGCACAGCCGTACTTGGCGCTATTATCAACATACGCAATTCTTTTGGATTGAAGTATAGGACTTGATTTGGAATAAGCAGAAAAGAGAAAAGGACGTCTAGATCTAGAAGCAGGTGAATCAGTGCTTCTCCATGATTGTCCTCCTCCAGGTGTCCGACGTTGCTATATTACATTTTTGCGGTCGCTTTGGTGCATTTCCTGACATCCGTGTCTAAAATCTACGTTGGTAGAAAGCGACCAAACTTCTTTGCGATATGCGAATATGATTTTAACGCAAGCCCAAAGGTCCCAGCTTTTCCGGGTAGCAGCCTCATTCCAGCAAACGTGAAATACTGCAGAAGAGATCCGGTCGGAGCGATGGTACTTGCTATCATGATTTTGTTCAGCTTCAGAACAAATTTTTGTGGTGCAGACAGATCGACAGTGGAGCCTTTCATCGACTTGCTGGATTTACTTACTGAAGACAATAAACATCTTCTTGTTATTCCACTCCCACGACCTGTGTCTGTGGCTTGACAATACGACTAGTACAACAATTTAGATCATGCATTTTGGTACTACAGTTATCTTTTCCCTCCGGACATTCGTCGTTATCATGGGTTTCCAGTACCTGGCTGGCTTTGGAACTGAACGCCAGGCCTCTGGCACAGTGCGGCTTTCTACTGTTTGCGTCTTTCGTCGCGTGTAGCCGCGTGGTCGATTTCCGGCACCATCCTGAGGACATAATAGCAGGAAGCGTCTTGGGTGGCCTCGGCGCATTCATGGTACATCGGCAAATGATACGTGCGCATTTCGTGCTAGAATCCGGATTGGTTTCACCACTAACTGGAACACCCCCAGGAGGAAAACGAAGTGCTCAGCTGGCAGAATAAGCGGTCTCTTGATTTCTGGGGCAGAGATGAAATTGGGACAGATGCACTTTGTCGTGAAATAGCTGGGAATCTGCTACGAATCATGTGGGAGTAGAATACAGTAGATAGATGTACGAATGATCATTACAGTAGATGCTCCTACTGCAGTGTTCTAAACGAGGCAGAAGGCTTTGCAAACGACCTGTCATATTCCGAGAATTCTTCGAACGCACCGGGTGCTGGGCAGTGGACTCGTTGTCGATGTAGCTTCACTGTGGCCCGAATCTTCTGTTCTACTAATTTAGCGTGACGATCGAAGATCAGATGAACAAACTTCACTTATATGGTCATGAAGGTGCATGTGGCTTCTGTTCACTGTCACTAGCCACATAAACTACTGGGACCACTAATTTACTTATGTATTCGTCCACCTGAAAATTCTTGATCCATCGATTTTCAAAAATGCTTTTTTCGAGATATCTGTATGGTAAACCTGTTACTTGGGGGAAGAAACTTACTAGCTAGTATAATTATCTCACCGAGGGGAAATTTCTTTGGATAATCTACTTACTAAATGTAAAAAGAAAAACTCATAATACGTCCTTCTAGCACTGAAATTCATAAAATGGAAATTCGAAAGCTTAATTTGAAAGCAACAAAATGGAGGCGTGATGGTACTGCAGCAGCCTTGGTAATTGAGCCATCTATCTCTACCTAGCATGGTCGATCGCCTTTTTCTGCAGATAGATCCGCAGGACCCGAAGAGCCTCGACACCGATCAAGCACCCAGCTTGCCGCAGTCTCCCGCGCCGCTCCTTGGGAAGCCCTACGTTGATCACGACCTCATGCGGCCGAGACCTGTTTTTGTTTCCGTTGAAAACGATCGAACTTTGATTAAGGCTGGCATTCGATATTTTCCTTGTTTCGTACGAGGTCTACACCTAAGTCGAGCTCGAGCGTAATAAGCAGAATGACAGTTTCATCTTTTTTGTGAAGCAACTATTTTCCTGCACGACCGCTAAATTGAGCATGCCCGCGAGCAGCACAACAAGACCAGAGGACAGAAGCACAGGTGGCACGGCGATCCATCGGAAAGGAAAAGAAAATCATGAATATTTCCCCATAGGAGAAGTGGCTTTTGTGCTTTTTTCAGCAGGCCTGTTTGCTTCTGTGACTTGGAAGTACACCCGCACAGACGTGGCGCTGCTCCCTCCAACAGTCCCCGACGACCCAAGACTGGGGGACCCAAAGCATGCTGACACAGTTCCGAATTCCTATCTTTTGGTCATGGCGATCTGCGTGGGTGTCCTGTTGCAGTCGGGTTGGCAAAGCGAATTGTCGCGAATCTGCGGCTGGGCAGAAGATAGCGCTGTTGCGTGTGAACAAGAAAATCATGGATCGGCTGGACCACGACGTCAGCCTTCGAGTAGCGCCCCCTCTGGTGGATCCGCGACTCCGAGCACCACTAGGGAACACTCTGGCTCAGAATTTCTGCGTACTGCAACACATGCAATAGCAATTGAAGACGGAGAGCAAAAAAGAAAATTCCAAGCCGGTGACAATGCATATCCTAGCATGGCGCGACTCAACGACGCAGTCAGTGGTGAACATCTCAGGCCTCCGCATCGTTATGCGAAAGCATTGGTTTGCTTCTATTTTTGGGGAGTCATTTTAGTTGCCGAAGCTCTTCACTTTCTGTTCAAGCTTTACGTAGCAAGGGAAAGACCTTGCTTCTACGAGATGTGCAATTATGATTTTGCGACGCAAGCATGTCGGTTACCTACATCTTCTAGCACAGGCGGGACTTCGTCGTCTCTACATGATCGTGGCGCTGCTCCCGGACCAGGAGCCCCAGGGGCATATTCTTGGTCAGAGGTGCGTCATATTGTCAGCGCGCATCATTCCTTTCCGAGTGGGCACGCGACGACGGCTGCGGCAGTCGCAACTCTGGTAGTCCTAGACAGCCGCAGTGGTCCTCTCCAGGCTCTCGTGTCTCTCGCAGCGCTTTACGTCGCTCTTTCGCGCCTCACGGACAATAAGCATGACTATGCAGACATTCTATGTGGTATGGGTCTTGGAGTTGTCACTGCTTCGCTAGGTTACAATTATTTCGTTGCCAAATTCGCAGCAACGACCACGCCTTCAATTTCAGAAAGGACTGCTGAAGGTCGACCTGCTCCACTGGACGAAGTGATTGAACTTGAAGAAAAAACGTCTCCATTTTCGGGAGCCTTGCTTGCTGGTTCTGGTTATAGCTCCGGCACAGATGCAAACTCAACAACAGGATTACGAAACTCTCAAATGACAGCTGATTCACATAAATCTACACGAGAACAAGAAATCGAAATGACAACGAGGTAAACCTAAGCGAAGACTCCAGCATGATTAGGAGCCCACAAAAAAATATTGCTGTCACAGTGCTTGGCGGCAGTGGGCGTGCGTCTGCCGTGTTGGATTGCCCAAGTTCCAAATTCTCGGTGGTTGTAATGTGGAATGATGTTGGAAGCCACTCTCTCTCACAACAAATGGTACTTTTACTACTTGTGACGTTTCTTCTAATAGAATTTGCGCTTGAAGTAGATCTCAGTCGAGCTGGAAGCTGCTTCATCCTCATCATCTTCCCTGATGCAGGAGAAGATTGTCCACTTTATTTTATGCATATTAATGTGGACGGGCTTTTAAAGGAAGTCTAAGTCTGCCGTTTCCAACCACCCTTTCGTGTTTCTCCTAGCTTTAAGCGGCAATTTCTTCTAGCTCTCGTGTGTTCTTGGCATCAACCTTCTTGTACCTTCGACCACATAGTGAAAAGTTAGAGATGACAACGACAAGAAAGGAGGTACCAGTATTTCTTCATGTTCCTCATGTAGAAGTAGGAAAATTGATTTGAACTACATCAACAAGAGCGCCACGAGCAGAAGGCAGAAGTTGGTGCTCGTTGATACCGCAGACAAGGTGGACTTGTTGGACTACTTTGACTTACTTTGAATCACAACTACTACTGCAAAAATGACAGCCGTGAAGTCATGCTCCGAGAGCGCTCTGCAGTCGATTCTGAATGATGTCTACGATCCAGAACGATTGAAGCGGCAGTGCCAAAACCGTTTGAATGCGCATCTTGTCAATACCGTGTGTCTCTGTCTCGAGAAGGCTGCAAGCAAGAGCAACGACGTGTTAATATGATTATGGGTGTAGGGAATTCATCTCCAAAGTCATCTGGAAGAGAAAGACAAGAGGAAAAAGGGGCCCAGATGATCCCTGAGATGAATTCGACACTATAACTTCAACATTATAACAGAACAGTTTATAAGGTTTCCGGGGGCCGGTTGGCATGGCACGAATGGAACGGTTGGAACGAATGGCAGGCATCCAATCCGGGGCTTCAATGTGCTCCGCCATTCGTGCCATTCGTGGACCTTTCAGACCTTCGAGAGCGGGGCGCCCTTCGGGCGCCCTGCGTTTTCAAGCGGTACCTCCCCCGCGGCGTTGCCGCTCTCTCCGAATGCTGCGCACATACTTTGGGAATCCCACTCGGGCGCCCTGCGACCAATCTGCCACACCCTCCACGGCGTTGCGCTTCAGTAGGCTCCCCAAGCCCGGCGCCCTTCGGGCGCGTTGCTTTTGCTCCAGCCCTCCTCTGCCACCCGCGATTCGAAGCTGCCACGCATCCGACCCGCCCCCCAAGCCACGGCCCGCCCCCGTCGCCGCTCTCCCACGGCGGCGGCGCGGTGGATCAGCTGAGCACCCTAGGGCGGAGGCCGCATGCTAAATCACCCGCCTCGCCGCAGCATTCCTCTCGTGGAATTCCGCGGGGGTCATGCAAGTCCACCAGAATTTGCGTGGCCCGCGCGGTAGTTCCAAGAAAGAAGCCAGCCCTCCGACGGTCAGCCGCACTAGGCTCCGCACTCTTTAGAGAGCAGCCAAGTCGGCTTTGTTTCTGGCTAGCTCCCTTACCATTTTGAAAATGGCAGGGGGGCTTTCCGTAGAATTGCAGCCCTTCGAATCCCCATCCCTGTCCGCTTGTGCCAACGCCAACCGCGCCATTCGTGGCATTTTTTGGCTTCGTTGGGTTGTTCCAACCGTGTCATTCGTGCCAACCGTGCCAACCGCCATTCGTGTTATAAGCTGTTCTGTTATAACCTACATTTTGGATGAACTTGCCACAACATAGCAATCGCGATGGCAGCTAACTTGAATGATTGACAAAAAATATAGAATACAGAGATTACAGATGAAGTAGTCAACGTCGATGTTACAGCAGACATTCGGGCTTGGCTGCCTCTGGCATTATTGCTGATGCTTATATTCCCCACTGTTGTTGGACACTAGCAGTGTTCTTCTTCCTGTTCTTGTTGTGCATCCTCATCCATCGGTCCTCCCATGCATTGTTTGATCGTGATGATGCCTCCGAGGCGGGAGGCTATTCAGATTCAAGACTACGATGAGAAGGTTCACATAGGAAGATATTGCCACCATGGAAGAAGTTGATAAAAATTTATAAGGACATTCCTCTTTGCAAATATCGGTTTTCTACAAGGGAACAAACTAACAGGTTGTCGTGCGTGTCTATACGCCACCTCTCGGTTCGTCCACATCCACGTACAAACATTCCATAGCAGTTGTTCTGTTGATATCGTTCTTGTATCCATTGATTTCGGTTATGGTCTTCTGAGCGCCAGTTCTGTCATTCGGTCGGTCATACTTACAGAAGTAAAGTCCCTCTACCAAGCACCTTCACGTCCCCCATTCCAGAAAGAAACATATTCTCATCCTGCTTGTTGACTAGTTGTTGGAGTTCGTTGTCATTTATCTTGCGTTTGATTTGATAGTTTTCTTGGAATCAGTCTCGGACCGTACTCTGATCGTTGGATGAGAAGAAGAGCTTGAATCAGCGTGAATGTAAACAAGATAAAGTCTTATGAAAAATTGTCGTTGCGCCTCTAATTTTTGTACTCTCTAGTAAAGTGAAATATGACGAGAATCTGAATATCGAATCAAAAATTGATTGTTTGTTGTGTTTGTTGTTATTTCCTGGGAGCACGAAAAAATGTCATCTTCGTCGTCGTCTTTGTCCGGACAACGTGCTTACACTGTTGGCGATGTGGTGGAGTTCCGGACAAAAGTGCTGGCGCCACACCAGCCTCGCCATTTCTACCCATACTCGCACAGATACAACAGTCAGCCATCGTATACATTTACAGCGTGGCAGGCTGGTGCGATTGTGGGCGTGTTGAAGAAAGCCGACCACCCTCAGCAGTCTGGTCAAACTCTGAGGATCATAGGGCTATCCGACACGAAGGGAAACGATAGCGGAGCGGGGTCGGCATCCTCCAGAAATTATAAGAAAACGACTGGGCAGGTTGTCGAAGTGAACACAGATGACGGCTGTGTCCGATTTTTCACGCGCGGGATTTCTGGCAATAGTGCGGCACCTCGTTCGGTGGTGAACATCGAACGACGGTGGGAAAACTACGCTCTAGCTGAAGACGCTCCAGCAGACGTCGAGGTGATACCGGAGGAAACTCCGTTGAGGTCTGCTGGTAGTGTTGTTCTGATGCAAAGCGGAAAGTTCGTGGACGAGAGCAGTGCCGTAGCTTCGTCCAGCGAGTTTGAGAACGTTCTTTTTACAGGAAATCAGGCTGCGGCTGCCAGCTACATCGGTACACTGCAGCGCAGTACTCGCGTAGCAGAAAAAAAACAAATGCAACCGCAGGATACGACTCTGAAGGCGCGTTTCGATAATTACTCGGCTGCGATTCGTTGCGGAAGCGGTGGTGGGAACACGACGATCCGCGTGAAGGGGTTTGAGCTGCCCCCGTCGCTCTTTAACGAACGACGGGCGCAAGAGCCGTTTTTACCGCAGTACAAATTCAAAGCCGACTCGTCCCCCTGCAGCTTGAGCTTTATACCAAGACTTCCGGGAAATCGCTCCTGGACCGAAGCCAGAAAGTTTCACAAGCTGATCAGTTACGAGACTGGTCTGGAGCTTCGGGCGAAGATCGAGGTTGAGAGTGACGGGAAACGCTCTGAGCAACTGCTTCTTTCTGGAGTGAAGAAGCATTTGGAGGGGATGGCAGAAGATGTTTTCAGCACCGCCGTTGCGGATCTTACTGTGTGCGCATCTATAAACATCATTCCGGAGTGTCGTACTGTTGGCTTGACGGCACAGCTATCCGAGGACACGCTTGAGGGCCGCTACCATCAACCATTGGAGACGAATGACGAGGGCTGCGAGCAGGAGCAGGAAGACGAATTTAGTGACGATGAGGTGAACAACGAGGATCCAGATAACGGCTTTACGATTCCCGATAACCGTGCAGACAAATTGGCTCCATTGCCTAAGAAGTGGGCGAAGGCGAAAGCGTTGCAGCTTCGGCCAGACCAGCGTCGCGCGCTCGGGTGGATGCTTCAACGAGAAAGTGATCCGGAGCCAGTAGAGATTCATCAGCGGCAGCTAATCAACATGGGTGATTTGCTACCTTCCGAAAAGGCCAGCAAACTTGTTACAAAGCCATATGGCCTCGAGTTCGATCTCCGCTACTCCTATCCGGTACCAAAGCTAGATTCCTCATCATGTCCTGCTACCATCCGTAAACGTAATCTGTTCTGTAGTATCAAACGAGAACAAGAAGCTGACACCGCTTCCTACTCGGATCAAGCGCAAGACCATCATCAACTTTCCTTTCCATCAGCGTATTTCTTGATTGAGTTCTTATTTGACACCAGGACTATTTGAGTTTGGCTTCATGCTCAACAGGTTGAAATCGTCATTGAACTGCAAAAATCTTCACTCATTTTTTAGATTCGCGGTGGCGTCTTGGCTGACAAAGTGGGGTACGGAAAAACGGCGACGCTTTTGGCTCTCATCGCCAGCGGCAAAGATGGGGACCGAGATTCATTGGAAACGCGCAGAGAAATTGGGTGTGCCGGAGCATGACGAAGGTGCATTCTTTGAAGCGCTCGAGACAACCCTTATCATGGTCCCTTCTCATCTGGTCGATCAATGGGCTGCCGAGGCCGAGAAGTTCGCCAAATCATACAAGCTGGAAATCCTGACCTTATGACTCATTCTCCCACGACAGGCGTTTTTTGCAAGAATTGAGAGTACTTAGTAGAGTATATCATCATGAGTAAGAGTAAGGAACTTGATAGATAGAAATTCAAATTTTTCTTCGATGGCACTACAGTGGAGCGCGGCAGAATTCAACAAACATGAGAAAAATATATCCCTTTACGCTGTGAAAAGAAGACGCTGTGCTAGATATTTACTCCGTCTTTTTTATCGTGATACCGATACTTTTCTGTAATATGTCGAAACGGAAGGGGAAATTGTCTCGTTTCTATGCCAAGAATTTCTATTTCCAACAACAAGTGTTGAAAAAGTCTCATCTAATTCCGATCAAAACGGTTACGCACTTGGCGAACGAAACGCCGGAAACTCTTGCGGAATACGATTTGATTATTTGCACTTACGCAGTGTTGTATTCCGAAAAGTTTCGCCTTCGTGTTGGTGACTTCCTCTCGTCCGATCCCGATCGAGCGTGGTACAAGTCGCGTGAAAATGTCAAGCGCAATGAGGCCTACAAACTGCAGGAGCTCAAGCGAGTCACTCAGAAATTTATCGAGACGTGGGATAATGGCGAGATCGAGGAACGGGATAACTACATCGATAGTCCGATCTTCAAGGAGAGCGAAGCACTATCGAGCGCGATTGTAAAGGAGCACTGCAACCGCAAAGCACTCAAAAACAAGAAGCACAAGTCGATCCAGGTGCCGTTTCCGCTACTGGAGCAGATGTTCTTCGGTCGTGTGGTCTTGGACGAGTTTCACGAGGCTGAATGCTTTAATTATGCTGAGACAATACGCAGCATATTTGATTTTTCGATCTGTCTTACTTTGCTGCTGACTGTTTTTCTTGGATAGAATATACCTTGGCGTCACCAAGTAAGCACTCAATTGAACCTCATTGAGGATATCAATATACGGCCTAAGTACAATTTTTTTCGCTCGGCTTCTAATGCCTAGGAAGAACGCATTGTTTGATGTGGTTGCGTGGGTTAACACGATGGGGATTGACTGGAACGCCGCATGTTGGCTCTGCGCAATCCGTTAAGATCATGGCCGGACTTTTTAGCATCGACGTTGTTTGCAACGGTACTTCAGTATTCCCATAGTTGCAAACTTTTGCAAAACTAGCACTAGCAGACTCTTGCTCAACCAATCTTTGATCGTTTCCTCATTCTTGATTCTGATCTGTGATTCACAGCACTGCCCTAGAAGGTTTTTCCTTTCATCCCGTACGTGTCAACAATTCTCTTTATCTTTTCCAACATTTCACCGCCAGGCGTCGATGCGGCTTGGGCACAGCCTCAAGGTCCTGTTGAGCGGAAGCCTTTTCAGAAAATTATCCCGCATGCCAACGACGACAATTCAGACAATCCAAACTTCGTACTACGTTCCCCGTGTGTCAGCAAGACCATCCTCGATAACTGCCAGAACTTTATCAATGTGATGGTCCGCCAGAACAGCCGCAATCCGGACGTTGACTCGATTGAAATTGTGCTCTTTCTTAATGCCAGTCTCTCTGGGTCTTGTTGCGATCTTCATCTTCCTATCTCCATCTCCATACTGATTCGCTGTTCATCAGAAAATTTTTTTCGTCTCTCTCGCACGTATCTCCGCGTGTATGAAGATCAATGATTGACAGGGAGTAGACGATGGAAAACAACAACCTCTTCTTGTATTACTTTCTCTAACAAATTTTGAACAAACTTTGTTTTTCATACCTCTCAGGTGCCGCACTCTATTCCAGTCGACTTCACGGAAGGTGAAAGAATCCTCTACGATGCCACGAAACGCAACTACGAGTATAGCGGGCCGCTGGGCGAAGCTGAGAAGAGCGATTTGATTCGACGATGCTCGCACTATGCGCCGTCTTCAAATGAAACCATCGGGGACGAACTCAAAAGAAAGGCGGCAGATGCCAAAGACGTTTATGGCTCTTCATGTTCCAACTTTTACCTTATTTTTTTCTACTCGACAAAAAGCGCCTTCCTTTCAGCTAAGTCTTAGTCCTCGCAGAGGAATAATGTGTTTTTGGCTGAGAACTAGAAGATCACGAGAGCAGTCTCTGAAAATTGTCACTGAAAATTTCCAAAGAGCTCTAACATGCAGTGGGAGATCTCATTAAAACAGTGAAGCAGTTATTGGCGCAGGCCGATGCGTTCCGGGCGGTTCTGGTTGTAGCTGGTGGCCCAGAAAGCAGAAAGGCACTGGAGTGCCCGGGTACACGCAGCTACAGCTGCAGCATCGGCGTGCAAGCGCAAGACGATGATGGCGAAGAAATGAGTGAAAATGCCACGAAGAGGAAGAGCTCCCAAAAAACTGCGATGAAGAAAGCCGCCCCGAAAAAACCGGCAAGTGGTAGCAAAGGGAAAGCTTCCGACGGTAAAAAAGAGCGGGAGCCGCAAGACAGGTCTACGGCATCTTCTTCTGCAGCGACGGGCGGTAACGCCACAGCTCTTCCTGATGCAGATGCAGTGGTACCGATTTCAGCACCTGAAAAGCAGATGCGAACTCAGCTCCGCGCACTGCCTTCGGTGTTCGACGTTTTTGGAAAGCGAGAAGCAGTGGGCGTGCAAGTTTCCGAGGAAATGCTTCTTGGTCGTGAAGATGAAGCCGAACAGGACCAGCTGCGGCAAAAGGTGGAGAAGAGCACGACTAAGATGGCAACAGCAAAAGCGAAGGCGACAGTGATGAAGCGGGCTCCAGCGGGCGGAGCCAGCAACACCAGTAGCAAGGCGCGCCGTGTTGGTGCAGCAGCAGCCTCGAGCACTCGCGAATCTTCATCGAAAAGCGAAGAAGACGAGTTGTCGGGAGAGGAGCTAGGTCTGAGTATCGTACGTGGGGCAGCAGCTCTACCAGACTTTTTTGGAGATGCCGTCACACAAGAGCTGCGCGCTCTTCTTACAGATGTGTCGACATCGGCGGAGGTTGACACTCTTCGTGAATTTATGCGCAAGAAGCTGGGACTCGGCGCTGACTCTTTCGGCAAGACTCTCTCACTTGCGTTTCCGACGCGCCTCCGCAATGACGAAAACTGGAGTGAATCTTCGGCCGAGGCGCGACACGCCTTTTTGGACTCTGGCTGGATCAAGACGCTGATGACGGCGGAAGCAGCGAGAAAGCTGAAAATTGAAAAAGCAGAAAACGCTCAGAAAGCGAACAACAAGCAGGAAGCAGTGGAAAAAGTAGCCGGAGGAGCAGAATACGAAAGCAGTGACGACGAAACAAGTGATAGTGAATCTTTAGCCGAGCACGCGCAGGCGCAAGAGAATGCTGGATCACCGGATGCACAACCGCGCCAGAAAGGAGAGCGCCTTCTCCCGTTCGGAGATTTTTCGCCGGAGCGTCGAACCAAGCCAATGCTCGCTCGTCCGGCAACACCCCAGAAATCGCCGGCACGCGCAGCATCATCGCGCACTCTGCAGGCTGCTCTTGCGCCGCCTGCACGACCGAGCGCGGAAGTCGCCAAGCCTGCCGAAAGTATGCGCCAGCAGACTCTGGCCGAACTCGCAATCGCTTTGGCGGCACTCCGCCGACAGTGCAAGGCGTGCGCGTTCCTTGCGACCGCTGCAAAACTCTTCAGCTACGACTCCGCTGCGACTTCGTGCGCGTCGTGTGGTGCCACTGCTGTCGAGGAAGGCTACGGCGTCTTGCAAGCGTGTGCTCACGTGTACTGCCGCGAGTGTGCAGACAGGAAGCTCAAGCGCGGCAAAAAGTTGTGCTTGACTTGCGGAGAGAAAGTGCCAAAGCTAGCGACCCCGTTTATTTGCTTCGCTCCGCCAAAGCCGGACCACGAGCGCGAACGTGAAGACTATCTGATGGTATTATCGCTCGAGTAATTTGGTGGAACTAGAAGTACAGGATGGTGTAGATGCAAAACCATTTATCGGGAATCATGTTTGATGTTCGTTTTGAGTTTCAATCAGCACTCACACGAAGCTTCGTCGTTGGGGGGATCTTTATTCCTATGAATATATACTCCTTTTCAGGGTATCGCCAGCCCAAAGCGGAGCGGAGATGCGCTTGTCGTTGCTCCGTTAACGTACGACCAGTTTGGGTCTAAAATCCAGTGCATGTGCGATACTTTGCGAGAGATCAAGAACAACGACCCGAAGAGCAAGGCTATCGTTTTCTGCCAGTGGCCAGATCTCTCGAAAAAAATTGGCAACGCGTTCAAGCACTTCGGCTTCAAGTATCAAGTTCTGAACAAAGGCAACGCACTGGTGCAAAACAAGATCATCCGCTGTTTCCAGCGAGATGAGGCTTGTGAGGGCGGTGAGTCGCCAGAGATTCTTGTGATGAATCTCGAAAAGTCCGCGTCTGGTGCGACGCTTACGAGGGTACTACGATTGCGTACCCTGTTGCCTCATCTTTCTTCGACTTTGTTTTTGTGTAGGTGTGCAACGTTTTACTCATCGATCCACTTGCTTCGTTGAGTTTTTTTTTTCCGATCACCATAGCCATATCTCGTGAAAGTGAAATTGACGCTGAAAATAGTACTTCAGCTTGCTAGCTCTAAATTTTATCTCTGCCTCGGCACCGTACGCATACTTCAGCATTCCTCGTTGGTCTTTCTAAAAGAAGACGTATCACGTTTTTTGTAGCATAACAAGTCAAATCCTCCTGATCCAGTACCTTCTCAGGCTTCGCATGTCCTGTTCGTCCATCCGATGGTCGCAGGATCAGCTGAAGCGGCCCTTGCCTACGAGGAGCAAGCAATAGGACGAGTGCGCAGGATGGGACAGCCCAAATCTGAGATCCATACTTATCGCTTTTTTACGAGGGCAACTATTGAGGAGGAGTTGCACACCCAACACGCACATCTCATCGAAAAACGCCAGCAGAAGCAGAAGAGGAAAGCAAGCGCGATGCAGGACGACGACCCCATGGACGTCGCCGACCAAGAGGATGACCTTATGGCGGACTAAGTAGAAGATGCAGAACCGTGCTAGTACAACTAGCATGATAACCATAACGGCGCAGTTGAAGAGGACTTCAACAAAAAAAATCGGTGAACAGATCTCACATACACTACAGTGACAGTGAGTGAATAGGTCATGATATTACACATACATGTGGATCAGTATGCGGAAGAATGAAGATCGATCATCAAGATTCAAGTAAGTATGTAAGTAACTCGAAATAGAAAAAGATGCTAGCCATCAACATCAACATTTTTGTCATAGAAACCAGGGTGGCTAGTCAGAAAATTTCCTTGAGCTTTGTTTTATCTAAGGAGGCGGTACAAACATTTATCTTCATAGACTGATGCTGTTGTTGATCCACAATAAGGAGCTTCCAAAGTAGAGGCTACTCTATGTTTCAACTATTCAACACGACCGAGAGGTCACAATGAACCATAAGAATATACATAAATTTCTAACACGGTCACAACCAACATGATTGATGTGCGTGGCTCTTAATGTTCCATCGTCCTCGGGAGGTATTTATGTGTGTAATACTATTCAAAATCGAACCAATGTTTTTAATTTTAATCCCGAAGATAAATACCATTTTGCTTTGCGACTAAAGTTTATTGTTGCATACGCAATCCGTCGTTCTTCTCTACAAGCCATATGATGTTGATCTCTTGTTCCTTGGACATAAAACAAAGTAAATTATCTGCATTTCGCACCATTGAGTAAGCGTCTTGATCCCTGATACTACAAGTGTCAACTGATCGTCGATAGATATATTTCAAATATATTCCCGAAGATCAAATCCGTTTCGTTCAGCCCCCTGACCATAATAGATGAACTCAAGTTTCTTAGCTGAACTTAGACACAGACACAGACACTCTCACTCTCTCAGACATGGTTTTGATTATCGGTTAATAGAAGTTATTCACTTGTTGTAGCCCACTCCCACATTGATTCCCCGATATTACTTTGACTTGTCCTTTTCTTCGGCCCAGTTACCTTCCCTATGGTACAAATAGACTGAACTCTAGCTGCATTCAGCATTGTCAATGCATGATGGATTAACGACTTGATTGTAACATTTATTCTCTCAACGTCTATTGACACTGACAGTCCATTAGTCTACTCCTAGCATTGGAAAAAACCATTATGATGTAGTAAGTAGATTCGGTCTACAGAAACCACACTCATCCTCATACACAGACCCAAGGCATCCTCAGAGAGCTATCTTTTTCAAACAAGTCAAAAAGTTACAGTTCGTAGCGTAAGAAGTTACCACAACCTCGGACTTCCACAGTCTATTTCATGGCCCAGCATGTCCGAAAACCTTGATCGTCTGGTGCTTTCTTGTGGGAGGGTCTGGGTCACAGATAGAACGTGGTTTATGACAATTACTCTGCGAAATGTGAAAAGAGAAGGTAGTCGTGATGTCTTCTATTAGTTGTATCAGATTCAACACCAGTAAAGCTAGAGCGAGTGGGATTGCTGAGAAAAATGAGAAAGGAAGCTGGCAAACGACGCAAAAAAGGGAAAGAAAAAGGCAGCATAATCAATTTGCAAAGGGAAGCTAAAACATGGCAAGAGGCACGAGATTTCGAACATCAAATGTTTTCATCGGGACAATCCAATGACGATTCAACTGGTCTCAGGCGATCACGCTCTTGTACCTAAGCTCATGAAAAATGATGACCTGCATCTCGAAGTCTACATCTACAACAATGATTGTTCCGAATTCAAGTGTTGCTAGCCCTGGCTCTGCTAATTGCAATCCGAAAACAGGCTGTCGCCGGCGGAGGAAGGGAGCGGCTTGTCTAGTAGGCCTTTTTGGGGTGGTGTGGCTTTTCGGACTAAGAGGCGCGCATGGTTGGCTTTCCTCGGAGTCAGAGAGCGGGTCCAATTCGGTACGCCAAAGTTTTTATACTCCAGCAGACCTCCATAACTAATGCTTGTTGGTGTCTTCTTTCTAATTTCAGTTATCCTTTTGATGGTTTCTGGTAGCATCTGTGAGTGCTGTCACTGGTCTTTTGAAATCAAGATTAATGTATTAATCTGCATGGACAATAAAATTGAAATTCAGATCGCTACAGTTTACGAAACAGCCGTGGTATTGTCAGAGTATCTGATACGGGTCGCATCTGATGTGCGAACCGAATGTCTTGTGTCTGCCGACAAGCTGATATCACTTGCTATGGGGTAGTCTTTGTAGTCGTGGTCAATAGTACTAGATTGTCATCAACCTCTTTGTACTTGCAAAAGTGACAGGATGGCATAGGCGTCCAACCTTAACTACTTATTTGAGACAAGAAAGGATGACTGGTAGCCATGATCGGGTACCTACACCTTTGTTTCCCTTTGCTTCATCAATCATCTTATTTTGTTGCATCCTTCATTGCATCCGCTGAGAAACGACTCTATCGCGCAACTCAAATCGAGACGGCAGGAAACTCAGCAAAGCGCGAATGCGATGCAGCATACGACTCTTCTGTCACGTCGCAGGCTCAAGCGAATTCACTCGACATTCTCAAGTCGTTTCTCAAGATATGAAGATGAGAACAACTGAACGAAGATATGATACGACCAACAGGGTAGTTGAATAATAAAGATGGAAGGTGAGAGAGGCGCTAGAAGTTGATTTTGAACTTAGTACTTCTACGTACTAGACTTGAGCGCCCGGTAGCACTCCTCCCACTAGGATCATCCACCCCCCGCACGCACTTCGCTCAACCCCGGCGCGATTTCCCTGCCCCGGCTCCTCCCCCGCCCGACAACCGTCCGGCGGCGTTGGTCGTTGGAACAAGAGCGGGGCGGGGGACGGCGTGCGGCCATGGATTAAAAGGGCACAGATCGAAGTCGTTGGCCTGTCGGTTTGCTCTTCTTTTGGTAGGTTTGGCCTTCTTTGCGTGCAAGTTGCGGCGCTCGAGTTTGCAACTTGTGAAAATTCGCCTTCTTGTGATACAATCAAAGGCTTCGGATGCGAATTTTTTGCGTTTCTTTTTTATTAGATAAAATCAAAAATTTTGGATTTCCAGCCTCAAGCTTGAAACTTTGAGACACTGGGGCTTAAGCTAGCGCTCAGCTTTGGACCTGTAGCCTTGGGCTTTCAGCTTCGAGCCTTCAGCTTTGGGCTTTCAATTTTGAGTTTTCAGCTTTGGGCTTTCCACTCAGTTTTGAGTTTTCAATTTTGAACTTTCGACTTTGGGTCCTCGGCTTTGGGCTTTCAGGTGTGAGCTTTCAGCTTAGCGCTTTCAGTTTTAAGCTTACGCCTTCTGGCTTGAGGTTTCGGATGGGCCTTTAGCTGATAGAGTCAAAAGCTTAGGCTTTTTGAGCAAAATTTTCGATTTTAACGCCCACGAATTAACTTAAGTCGCAGCGTGCTTTATTTTGATAAGTGCTCGATGTCGTGCCGGCGCTTAGTGATAGTGTGTTCGTGTGTTGTGCTTGTTGGTTGATTAGAAAAGGAGCGGAAAGACTTGCGATGGGGGTCGCATATTTTTGGTTCAAGTGCTTTCGGCTCAGGTGTTTTCGGTTCGGTGTGTGTTGGGTTCGGATGTTGGAGGGGTGGGTGTTGATTTTTTATCTATCTCTTTCGTATTATGGTTTCTGTTCGAGTGGAATATTAAAATTTCTAAACTTCTACTTGGCATCGCCATGAATTTTCGAAAAATTACTAAAATTTTTTGTAAAGTTAACTTTACAAAGTTCAGAAGTTCGCGAGCTCGTGGGTTCATGAGTTCATGAGTCAGAAGTGGAACTGGGAGCGTGAGAGTTTGGGGCTCGGAAGTGGAAGCGTGAGGGTTTGGGGCTCAGAAGTGGAAGAGTGAGAGTTTGGCGGGGTCGTTGTTGTTTTTTTTTAAATTTAGCTTTTTTATATTAATTTGATATTGGAGCTGAGACTACACTTAATCTTAGTTCTTGTTAGCTTGCATGCTTCTCCATCGCCTTAAACTTTTTCTTTTCTTGTGACCCAATAACTTTTTCTAATCCGCACCGCACAAGAGGAGGACGAATTGTTGGTGAAGCAGGCCCAAGAGGAGATACTCGGTCGTGGCTCAATGCAGATTCAAATGCCAAGTCCAGTTACATCGTCATTGTTGGAGCTGGGTTCTGATGAATCCAACGCAACCATTATGGCTGGAGTTTTTGATACATCGACAATAACAGACAAAATAGAGGAACAAAAGAAGTCAACAAATCTGTGGTACATATCACTCTTGTTCGAGGTATCGGATAAGGTAAGCATCTTTTTCGTATCGATGCATATCAGAGGCCGGGGCGTTGAACAACATCTTTTTCTAACTCTTCGGACACAACGACAACGACGACGCGAATCACTTTGGGAATGCTCCACCAGGTCGAAGAGAAAAACAAGAATACTATTATGGATGCTGACTGCTTCAGCTTTCTAGTGAACATTTAATTTCGTTGTGTCTCTCGTGTTCTTTTTTCACTTGGTGTTTCCTTTTCTTCTGATGAATGATGCGTCCTCTCCTTTAGTTCGTTGTCGTTCTCGTCCTCGCTATTCGTTGGTCAGAAATGAGGCTCCTTGTTATTTTCTCTGACCTTTAAGATCTTAATTAATAGTAATCCTTGTGTCTTAAGTACTACATTAACCTTAACCAGCAACATGAAATTACATTATGTTAATTATGCCTATGAGAAACCAGATGAACAAGCAGAAACACTACTACCACAACATTTGGTCAGAACCACAAAGGCTTTGTTCCTCTAATATGCCAGTTGCCATTGAGAAAATGGAAGAAATCGTATCAGTTTTGGACCGTATGTCCGCACAAGTGGTAGATGAAATGCAACCTGTTCCAGTGGGTGCAGCTGGTCTCTTCAACTCTGACACGACTGGCGCAAGTATGATGGAACTAGGTGAAAAAACCACAAGACCAGAAAGCAAAAGAAGCGAGCGAGATGCAGTGAACCAACACCGTGATGTTGGAGAACACGTACACGACGATCACCATGACATGTTCCAAGAACAGAAAACTAGTAGTACCGCTTTTAGTACAAGAATCTCTTCTAATTCTAGTGCAATTCACAGGAATCAACATCAGCATGGACATCAAGGCGAATCGACAATGTCAAGTCAAGTAAAAACTGTCATTGGGAGTATCGAGTCTTCGTTGGCCTATTTCGGAGTAGCATCGGACGAAGAGGTAAGCCATGATCGAGAGAGCAGCTCCCCTGCTTTGAGACCAGCTGCTAGTGGCGGCGCGACTTCCTTTATTGAGACCGGCGGCAAAAGGCCACAAGACGAAGACGAGCCGCAGTTCTTAGAGAGAGAAGTGAAATATACCGGAATAGAGCAGGAAGGGTCGGATGATGACAAATCTTCATCAAAAACAACAAGCAAAAGCACGACAAGTAGCAATGTTCAGCAATCAAACGTCGAAGATGATGGCATGTACCTTGACGAAACTGGTAGCATGATGTCGCTTCTTGAGTACCGAGCAGTTGCACGGGACGAGAAAACAAGACGTATTGTCGACGCACTATCACTAGAAGATGAAGAAGAACATGAGGACGCTGAGGAGGATCTGCTCCACCAAGAAGCACCACTAGCGCGAGAAGCTCCTTCATCTTCGATTCTGCTTGAAAAGCCGCAAGCTCAAGCTGCGCAGGAGCGAGCTGAACAAGGTAGCGGCGATCAGTCAAATCGTCCAGCTTCTCCGGATGATGCAAATGAGGAAGATAACCACAACGCGGACGAATCAAGGGTAGAGAGTTCTTTTGGTGAAGATGTTGGTGCCGAAAAGACGATCACAACAGCAGCTTCTACCAGCACTACAGCGCCCAGGCGGAATGGACACCCTGCTAACTCGGACTCGCAGCTACTTCGACGACAGGAGGCGAACAGTGATCCAGCAGAAGGAACATAAAAGTTTCTCTTCCATCATCAAGTTGAAAAGAAGATGTCTATCACTTCTATGACGCATCCCTGATGTCATATTTTGATGTTGATACAGCATACCCACACATCTCTACTGATGTCGGACAAACACAAAGTCACTTACAACACAATGAATACTGCAGGACCACGTCAACGCTACGAACAAATACAAATACTCACTTCCTGAAAGAAGTTTGCTGGGCAGACATGTGGGTAGACACAGTCACACAGGATGAAGATCGTCCTTTGTTTCATTCAAGTAGATGAGTCGATTTTATCTGGCCCATGAAAAGGTAGCTCAGGCTCAGACAGGTCAAAGGTACGATAGCGTAGCATCATGTTGTCCTACGTTATTCCACGACTAGGTCTAGGACTTTCCTTTAGACAAAGTTCATCTCCTAAAGAGGCAAGGCCAATGTCACAATACTGAGCACCATCACAACGTCGAGTCGCTCTCGCTATATCTAATACTCCCTCTGATTGAAGAACTTCAGAATCCAAGAAGATTACGAAAAATGGTGGCACTATCAGTACGTGCTATGCTCCTCTGGAGCAGCTTTCTTGTTGTTTTTGCTGCCATATCCCTGACATTGTTCTCGCCAGAGCTGATCGAATTGACGTCGGCAGCATTTTTACCCGCACGAGACCTTCTACAGAAGGTGATAGAGCCCTTGTTGCCGCACCTTAATCTCCTCTGGGAAAAGGGCGTTGCGTTGTACCAGGAGTTAGAGCAGAATGCAGGGATGCGTTATCGCGTGGAGTGCGCAGCGATGACGACGCCGGTCGTGAATGTTTTGCTAGGGCCTTTGCCGTCTTTCATCACTGTCGTGCAACGGCGTAGCATAGGAAATTTGCCGTGCTTTCCGTTTGCGTTCCGCCTCGGTAACAACTCGGTTTGGCTGGCAGCTGGGGTCGGCCTTGCTAGTCCAACGGTGTGCATACCGAATGCCTTTGGTACGTGTGTGGGTCTGGCCTTTGCGCTGCTGTACCTGTGGGCGATCGATGCCGAGGAAAAAGACCTCAAAGAAGCCGCTTTTGTAGACGACCAAGGAGAACGAAATGGCGTTGAGGACGCAACATCAAGGACGATGAACTCGAAGTCGACAGTAACCACATCTCAGATGAAGTCTTTTGGCGCAATCACGAAAGACATTGACCACCGCAAGACAAGGTTAGCGACTCTCCGTTCGACACGTAATACGTTTCGATGGCAATTAACATTCGTAGCATTCTCCATTACGGTGGCGACTGGCTTGGTCGCTCTCAGTAGGAGTGAAACGGCAAAACCGAAGCTCCGCTCCGCTTTCGAACGCTTCCTAAACATGGTAATGGGTGATAGAAGAATTAGTGCTGAGTCTCCTCTGCTGACATCATTCGACGACTTTGATTTTATCGACCATGGCGTATTACCCCTTGCTTCTGTCCTGACGACGCTTGCGTTTGCTGCACCAGCAACCAATTTGCATGCTGCTTGCAGCACCTGGGACGCGAGCTACATGGGTGGGGTGTTCATGCTCTTTTGTGGGCTCGGAAGCGGAACGGCGTGGTTCCTACTAGGTGCGATTTGGATGAAGAAGAACGCGGTGGTCATTCCGAATGCTCTAGGAATCCTGACGAATTCTACAGCACTGCTGTTGTACCTGATCATCAAGGCCTTTCCCCGATCGTCGATGCCTACAACTGCACCAGGAGGAAGTTCGTCCACTTGTAAGCGGACGAGACAGAATATTACGTCATTGTCGACGAAAGGCGGCGACGGGGAGGGTACTGTTACAAGCACAACAGGAGCACTCCTGAAACAGAAGCGTCGGGATCCTTGTGTCATGAAGGGCCTAGATGAAGAATCCGAATCCTCCGAAGATGGACGCGAGAATAGGTCTGGGAAAGGGAAACCACGGCGACGCCAGTTGGTTTCTTAGCAATTGCGCACGTGCTGGCTCCTGCGCTCTTTCATCACGTTCTTGTGACTTTATATATCTGTTTTAGGGCTGCACGGTGCCCCCCCTGTGGTATGGTCGGTGGTGGCGCTCGCGCGCTCTTTTCCGCGCTGATTTTCGCGGATTCTAGTGGTGGAAGGCGTCAGAACTGGGCCCGGGCGTCCCCTTGCGCCTCTCTGCATGTTCCTCAGGGACCTCCTGGCCTCTGCTGACCCTCGCAGGCCGGAGGTCTCCAGGTTAGGCCGCCGAAGGCGGCCACGGTTTCAAGAGCAAGCAAGCCGAAGCCCAAGGGTCCGGAGGGTACAGGCCGCACGGCTCAGGCGGTCCAGCCCCTCGAGGGGGCTGGCAGCCTTCCACATCCGGCGCCTTCGGAGGCCTTCCACATCCGGCGCATGTAGGGCACTCGCCGGCAGCTGGAAGGGAGCGGAGGCGGCCCCTTGGGCCCCTTTTGCAGCCTTCCACCTTCCTCGGAGGTCTGTAGGGTGCCGCCAAGCAGCTGGAAGGGAGCGGAGAAGGCCCCTGGGTCCCCTTTTGAGGCGTTCCACCCCCGGCAGACGGCTCCTGAAAGGGTCCGGGGCTACCCGTACTCCCCCCCGCTAGGGGGGGGACCGTCGCCCTGCGCCTTGGATCATATGTTCCAGGGCTCAGGGCGGGAGGCCCCCCCCCCCGATCTAACTTTTTGAAGGGGGGGGGGCTTGCCAGCCCCGGCCCCTCTTTTCGAGGGGCTGCCGGGCGGGAAGGCCTCAAAGCGCCCACTTCTGACCCCTTCCCGCCTTGTTGCCTGTACCCTACAGACCTGGCAAAGGCAAAGGGGGCAAAGGCAGGGCCCCGCTGGCTTGTTGCATGTACCCGACAGACCAGGCAAAGGGGGCAAAGGCAGGGCCCCGCTGGCTTGTTGCATGTACCCGACAGACCAGGCAAAGGGGGCAAAGGCAGGGCCCCGCTGCCTTGTTGCATGTCCCCTACAGGCCTGGCAAAGGGGGCAAAGGCAGGGCCCCGCTGCCTTGTTGCATGTACTACCCTACAGATCTGGCAAAGGCAAAGGCAGGGCCCCGCTGGCTTGTTGCATGTACCCTACAGACCTGGCAAAGGCAAAGGCAGGGCCCCGCTGGCTTGTTGCATGTACCCTACAGACCTGGCAAAGGCAAAGGCGGGGCCCCGCTGGCTTGTTGCATGTACCCGACAGACCTGGCAAAGGTGGCAAAGGCAGGGCCCCGCTGCATTGTTGCATGTGGCCTACAGACCTGGCAAAGGGGGCAAAGGCAGGGCCCCGCTGCCTTGTTGCATGTCCCCTACAGGCCTGGCAAAGGCAGGGCCCCGCTGCCTTGTTGCCTGTACCCTACAGACCTGGCAAAGATGGCAAGGCTGGCGCGCCCTCTGGCGTATTGCGGTACCCGACAGAGCTGGCAGAGGAGTCAAGGCGGGACCCCGCTGCCTTGTTGCCTGTGCCCTACAGACCTGGCAAAGATGGCAGGGCTGGCCGCGCCCTCTGGCGTGTTGCGGTACCCGACAGAGCTGGCAGAGGAGGCAAGGCGGGACCCACCCCCTTGGCGTGCTGCATGTGGCCAACCATACAGACCGCGCAAAGGTGGCCAGGCTGGACCCCTCTGGCGTGGTCCACCCCAGATCCATCCACAGGGGGGGGGCCTCCCTCCTTGGTACATATATAGACTTCGCGACCTCTATGACATAGTTTGAAATTAAATGCAACAGGTGTACTAGAAGGCTGGCTCTATTTTTCGACCGCGCCATAGCTGTGGTGCTGACTAGAATTTACAATAGATCTCTGAAAGCTGATGCGCCTTTTTGAAGATCATAAGGCGCACCTTACACTAGGAGATCCAAAAACTGATAGACTTCGTTGAACATCGCCGGAACTGGAGCTGGTGCGGAAGCACTACTCCTGAAACGTCTCATCATCAACGCAGTTCTCTGCGAAGACGGTATCTGACAACACGTCTTCACTGCTGAGAAAAGTTCATCTTTAAATAACTGAGCTACTCTACTCACGGCGAGTTATGTTGACTGATTCCGCGTCAGCGTCTACTAAATCCTACCTTGTTCTGTAAAACGAGTTCAGTGATGATCTTGATCTGTTTTTCGATGAATGTCGAGAGTTCTAAGACCCATAAAAGATGAGTTGCATCTTCATCTATCTTCTTGTACCGAGACGATTTCGTGCATGAGTCGCTTTGAAAAGAACTATTATGTGTCTGTCAACAACACGTCGACCTCGACCACGACTCGGTTTTCTTTGGAGGCAATAATTTGTTGATGAGTTCTTGTCTGCGCTTAGGAAGGATCATGGCACGCTGCCACCAACTTCAGGAAAAGACGCATTGTGCTCTGGTTTTTATATCATCGTGGCGTCATTTCTTTCAATGTCGCCGACTTCATCCACGATCTCGATACTTTTTTTCCACTATGAGAAACGCAAGTAGCGAAATCAGAAATGACCATTTTTATGTCAAACGCAGCGTGTGAGTCTAGACATACAGCAGAAGTTGTGATCGAATCTACTACCCGATTCCCCGTTGTCTACGTCTTTTTGTTCATATTTATATATTTCCGTCTCAGTCTTTGTCTCAAATTCATTAAATCAATAGTTTTAGCATTACCGTTATATAGATGTCTACTTCAGCTCAATATTGAAATTGATTCCTACTCCCTAGCCTGAAACATTTTGTTTTTTCTCTCTGTTTGTAAGTACAACTTTTTGGTTTTGAGACCTTGTAGTTGTATCTTGGAGGACAAACCGATAAAATGATGAATTTCAACAACAACATGAACAATAATAATGGTGATCACGGAGGTGGCTTCGTTCCTATTGCCAAACGGGACATGAGTGTGCTTATTGGGGGAGATCGCCCTCTAGGCAAAGAGCCTGCGAAAGGAGAGTCCATGCGTGTTCTCTACGACCGTTTGTACGCGGAGGAAAGCCATAAGGTGAGTGCCAGCGCTAGCCGCCGGATGCACAAGTATTGCATCAACGCATGGGAGTTCTGTGTCAGTAAGAAAGCACTTGAGCGCGCGGCCGCTCCGCAAAGCAGGTCTTCGACGAACACTAATAAGAAAACAAGTCCAGTCGCTGGTTTTGGTGCTGGAAGTGTATCATTGTCTGCGTCAACATCGGCATCTTCCTCCTCGACGTCCAGACGTTCCGCATCTTCATCCTATCTCTTTGGGCAAGATAGAGATAGAGATACGCAACAAGGAGCTTCCGCTGAAGAAGGTCAGGACTCGACACTCTTACCAGGGGGCCCACTTCTCTCTGCGTTGAATACAAGCTATCGACCGATCCGGGGCGGAGGTGGATCTTCGTCTTCCACCACAACTGCATCGCCCATCGGAGGAATGATCCAACACCCGCAACCACGGGCTTCACAGTCCGGTCCCTACACTCGCGACCATGCTACCTTTTTCCAAGAAAGCGAAGCAGCTTTGAGCACGAGAACTACATCAGCCGCGCAGATGTCTTCAATCGTCCCACAAGCAGGGACGAAAACTATTTTATCGACTTCCTCCACTTCCTCGTCCTCCTCGACAGCGAGAATGGCACCAGGAGCAGGCAGGGCTGATTTGGCTTTTCTGGCACAGTCGTATCGACTTGACACGTCAATAAAGGAAATCATCCTGTCGTTTTGCAACACGACAGCGCCCTTGGTTACATTCTTCGACGCGCGCATGGCCGGATGTGCAACAGCCGCGCTGCGCCTGCCCCACCAAACAAAGCAGCTGGAGCATATTCTTTCTAAGGTATCATGATGGGGTATGGATTTTTTCATTGTCTACCGCGTGTGGAGTGTCGCTTAGTTTCCCTGGTGATAGTACAAGTACATCTACATGTAAGAGTAAAACTATGTGAGACCACTTATGCCAGGCCATCCTTTATAGATGCTGCGTGAATTTGAATATGATGTCCTCGTGGTTAACACTGGCGTCTATTTTCTTGACCTTGACCTGTTGCCAAAACGAATAGAAATAAAGCCAGCATTCTATTAATTTTCAAACATGAACCTCTTCCAGGTAAAAGAGGCTGCCGAAGGTGGGCATCAGTCCATAGAATTGAAGCCTGACGCTTGGGCTAAGGAAGCTTGTCGGGGGACAGGATGGTGCTACCCCTTCCCGAACGCAGAGATGCAATCTCTGGGTTTCGACGTAGAGGAGTTGAACAAGGACGTCGATCGAGCTCTCAAAAACACTAAGGTAAGTACCATATATAAGTCCTTGTGCTCGTTGTTCTTTACTCATTGATCTGAGGTTCATATTCCATATTCAGTAAATTTGAGAAGTTGTAGTTGTAGATTGACGAGTAGTTATTACACAACGGAAAACAATATCAACAACAACGACAATAACACCAGAAGTTTCTTGAACGTGATGAAAACCTTTCTAAAATGATTCTGATTGTATGATCTAATTACAGGAAAAAAGCGACTGGAAGACGAAGACGTGGATAGTGCGCTGGTCGCCTGCTCCGGTTGACGTTTTGTGTCGGAAGTAAAGTAACGAATACATGACTACACTTGCTTACACTACGCTGTCGATGCTGCGAATCTCTAATGAAGAAATAATACGTAGTCGCTCCCGATACTCATGCTGGAGGAGAACTGAAAATATACTACGCACAAAAATTTACTTACGTGTATTCCTTTTCCTTTGAATTTGCGCTACTTACGGTTATGATCTTATTGTTGCTTGACCTTTATTCTATCATGCCAGAACTTGTTCTACCCTTAACAAGGCCAATTTTTTCATCGGGTGAAAAAGAAAAAAAAAGATGTAGATGATTCCTTTGAATGACATCAGAATTGAAATTCAACGAACGTGGACTTGATCTATGAGTTGCCCTTGATGTTATGCCGAGAGAAACAGTATGGTTTTACGACAAGATCCAGTCGTGAATCAAAGCGCAGGCGAAATGCTTATGAATGAAATCACTGACTACTGCTCTCATCCGAATGAGACATAGGGAAATCAAAACAATCTACCACCATCGCGTGGGTGCTTGCGCAGACGCGACTTCTCGTGGCGGGTCAAGATAGCCCGATGAAAGGCACGATGATCAACAGCATGTTCAGTTAGAGTTTCGTGAGAATCCCCGTTGATGGTGATATGGCTATGGTCTTTATGAGAAGGACAACATCGATTTCATGCCATAATGAGGAATCATACAAGAGCTACAGGAACTACTTATGATTTTCCTGGGTCAGAGAGAGAGAAAGTGCGATTCTTGTCACGATCTAGGAGTTGTTGGAGATGTAAGATAACGTTTTCATCAGTCATCATCATGTACGAGAAACGGCAGAAGCCAAAAACTCCTGCTAACCCAGCGCAGATGAATGACAAACACGACATCAAAATCAATGATAATGAATTTATATATATATAAATATATATAACACGGCTTTTCAACACGACCACGTCAGCGCACAAAGAAGATGATGGCCGTTTCATCAGTCGGGATCACCGAAGCAGCGGAGCAGTGTTACTCTAAGGTAGATTAGTCACACAGCGACTACAGGTGTGACTCCTCCTGGACCGATTTTTGTGCGGACTGTCGTCGAGGTGCTCCGAAACAGAGGCGAAAATGACAGTCGTGTCACGCCGTTTGTCGGATGACGAGATGCCGCGTCCTGCCGCGAAAAGACATGATGAGAGAAAAAAGGCAGCAGCTGCTCGACAGGTTGCTCTGGTTGGAGCTGAGGAGGATGCGCCAACCGTCTCTGGCGGGAGCGTTTGCGCTTCGGGGCGGTCCTTCGCTCCTCCGTCGTCGCCGGATATCGTGGACAAATCACAGAGCTGGGGTGGTCACGCGGCCTCGCCGTCAACTGCGCTAGATGAAACTCCTTGCGGCACAGGTGCACAATACCGTAGGATGGACGACCACAAACAGACAGAGCAGCCTTTTACGCAAACCTCAGTGCAAATACATGGCGACTTTGTAAGTGATGTTGATACAGAAACAACTTCTTCATCAAGATCGACGAAGCTGTTGACAGGCGATGCTGATGTAGCAGAAGCGTCTGTGGGTCAAAAGATCAATCATAGTACTTCGTCTAACGGTCACCTCTATCTAGACGCGCACGTGCAAGAAGAACGAGAAGGACGAGCTCCTCACAACCTGCCTGATTATGAGGAGGAACAACCATCATTGCCTGCGCCCGAGGAAATTTGTGAGCGTTTCGGCGTCAAAGATCCTTCGTGTCTGCTGTGGTCGCACTGTTGCAACACCCGTCGTCAGCTTCGGGATGTTTTGCATTTCGCAGATTCGCACGTGATTGAAGTGGATGTCACCTTTGGCAAACTCCTCAAGGATGGACGGGAGCAAGTGATAGTTGACCTCTCCATCTTCAATTGCGTCGGTGCTCGCAGCAAAAACAGAAAGGGCGGCTCTTCGGAGGAACTGATACTCTGTCACTTCCCGTATACGAAGTCAGATCTAAGCCTCAAGGAATTCTTACAAGTAGTTTGCGAAGAAAACGAAACGGCACTAGCGCTTGCGCAGGGAGATGCCGCTGTCTCTGAGGAACATGAGATACAGCTCAATATGGTAAGCTCTTCCGAAGAGGGAGTGGAACGTATGCTTTCCACTGAGGACGAGAGCGAGGTTGCAGATCGTGATTACGAGGATGCTGCAGCTAGGAAAGCAGCGACGGTTACGCCCTCTTCGAGAGACTCCAGCAAGGACGCACCCAGAAGAACGTCTGCGTCTCGTCGATCTCCGATTCGAACGACGTGCGTTGCTGGCACCCCCGCAGCAACTACAGGAGATGCGAGGAGTCGTGTTGCCGAGACACCTGAACAAGCACACCGAAGAGCGCTGGACTTCATGTCTCCTGACGACGAAAAGTGCGCATCATCGCCGCGAAAACGCGCTGAATCAGATGGCAGCTGCGGTTTCGCAGCACATCAGCGTCCCCTGTTGCATCGTCGGCACAGCTGCACAGCGACGGGAACGCCCATAAGTGCTGCTGCAAGTACCCCCGAAGCTAACCAGCGAACACGTCGAAGAAGCACGTCACGGACAAGCGACGTCGTCAGCAGCACGTCAAGCACTAAAGAAGTTGGGATGCTGGAAACAGCCCATCCAGTGGACCTCCAAGGAAAAAATGGAGAGCAATGCCATTTGAACGCGAAGAGCAGCAATATTGATAAGCAGAAAATCTTTCAAGAATTTTTAGCGTGTCAGGCACGACCAAATCCCAATTCATCTTTATCATCTTCGAGCTCCTCATCATCATGTGCCGGCTCCGGCTACAATCGTAAGCCACGAGAGAATGCGTTCAAGCGGGTGCAGAGAACTATTTCGCAAACCGGTGGAAGTCAAGTGTCCCCCTTTCTCAGCGATGACAGCCTGTTACGCATCTATTCGCAGCTGCATCAACAATACCCCTACTACAAACGCCCACTCGCGTCGCTGCGTGACTCTGCACGCCTCCAAGAGCAGCAAGCTCGAGAACATGCGACTGCGTTTCTCCCGTCACCGCGCTCCTCTGCATCATCTTCAGCCAGAACACTAAGTGAAGGTGCGGACGCTGCTGGTGCGTCCTTGCAGCAGCCTGCCCAAGAAGAAGGCGCCGCCGTTTGCAGCACGGGTGACACTACAATTCAGCGACGCCAGGAAGCTATCGTGGAGCTCGATACGAAGAAAGCTATCGCAACGAGTGGTCGAGGTTCAAGCGCGATGAGTGGAATCATGAGTGCCATGATGTCAGCAGGTGGCTGCGCTGCCTCGCGTCCGCGACGCTCAAGTGCATCGCCAGCATCTATTCAGCGACAGGTTGTAGGTAAAGGAGGACATCATGGAAGCGAATGCGAACAACAAGCACCAAAACCTCGAGACCACGCACAAGAACCTCTAGATAACAGGAGTAAAGACACTGGTAGTGCGGGTTCGACATCCTCCTCGTCTACACCTTCAACAAGCACTGCAGTGAATTCTAACGTCCCTCAGGAGTCCAAGCAGAGCGTCATTTCCAATCCTCATTCTTCGGTTCTTGGTGGAGGTTTGGCAGCACCCGAGCCGGATCAAAGGAAGCCGGTTCCGCCTCGTTTCCGTGGTGTCAAGCTGGATTTCAAGAGTGTCAGAGCCATTCGTCCTGCCATTGACCTGCTTCTTGAGTTGCGCGTTCCTTCCCGTGTTCCGGCTCTGTTCCTGAACGCTGACGTGATACAGGGTCCAGCGTCTTTGAGCTGGATTCCAGTGATCGACGGACCAACCTTCATCCAGCAAGCGGCGCGGATCCCACAGGCCCTTGTGAGCCTAAGCTGGCTTGCTGGCGATCACGCTTATTCCTCAAGACGCGGACTTGTACAAAGTCTCAACCCACTCAGAAGTACTGGCTCCTCGAACAACTTCCTCACAGCTCCTGCGGGTACAACATCCGATCAGCAAGTAGCGAGTGCTAGCACTAGTGCATTAGTATCTACTTTGAGCACAAGAAAAGTCGGCACTGCCAACGAATCATCACCTTTGAGCAGAGGATCCGCCTCTGGAAAACAGTCCATCTCGTCCTGTAGGGCTAGTAGAAGTAGTTCTACTGCCCAAGCAGCTGCCGTAATATCACCTTCGAGCAAAAGTGATCGAAATACAAGTGCTGATCATGCGTCCTCTACGGCACAGAAGAAAAGTGGAGTAACGGAATCTTTTGCGAGAATCTCAGTTTCTGAACAAGGTTTTGTAGAAGCTTCTTGTAGTAAAACTAGCACCAGATCTGCAAAGAATTTTGGACCACCTCCAGCAGGAGAAGCAAGTGGACGAACAACAGGAGCAGCGACGCAAGACCACGCGACCAAATTATCAACGCGGCAGGAGCAGACGAAGTCAGCATCCGCAGCTGCAGTACAATTTGGTGGTACCGCTTATTCCCAGAAGCAGATTGACCACATGCTCGGCCTCGTCCTTTTTCCGCTTGTAGACGATGGGTCGGGCCTAATTCGCTCGCCAGCCAATGCGCTGCATCACATCACCTTCGCAGTATGTGCCCAGTTTGCGCTCGCTTCCAAACCGCTTCTGCACAGCCTGCTTCAGCACGTTCCGTCGGCGTCGTTCACCTTCTTTTCCGGTTCCTGGAGCCGCGGCATTTCCTACGACACCTATGCTGCACTACGCGCCGAATTTCCCAAGGAAAAGTGTTTCTTCGACGTCAAAATCGCGGACATGCAGCGACCTGTAGACAATATCCTGAAAATGCTCGCGGAAGAAGAACATCAAAAACACTCGCAATCACAGACGATGGCACAGAAAAAACAGGACCAGAAAGAACAATCTGCGCGGCCCCTACCCCGCACAGTCAGTGCCATCCCGACTTGAAGCAAGGGCTTAACTGCTCCACTATGTGGTCGCGAGTAAAAGAGCTGACCTCGTGCTCAAACAAAACGCGATGTGGCGCCGCCTAGGCCTTTACTTCCTACAAATTTCTGCTTTTGCAATTTCGTTTTCTTTGCCTTGGTCATTGCGATGAAGACCAGCATCCGGCTTAGGGCACGGTTAGGTTCGGCGATACAGCCTGAGTACACTTTTTTTAAATGGAACTTCCCATCTCTACACTCAACACGAGTCTCTGGAAATGCAAGACTCATTCCTTCATACCTAAATTTTCTATTTAAAGCTTGATCTTGTACATCTTTCCCCATCATGCCCACAGTCGTGACAGCATACCTGAGATTTAGTTGCTTTTCATCAAGAGTCTTGATTCGGAATCTTTGCTTCCTGGTACTCTTGTTGATCTCGTACGTGATTCTACATCGAGATGTTGAAACATGTTCAAGCTATTTCTGTAACTATCGACTACAACAAGTAGATCAGTTACACCACCCCTAGCCCATCTCCCAAATGTTACACTGCTGTAGTAAGTGTCTGTCTCTGTGTATATTGTTGTGAGCGTCTTGATGGATCACCCTACACTTGTGATATTAATCCTTCCTAGAAGAAATTTCCACCAGCACCACGACTTCCTAGCACGGGAACAGTCATGTTCAATTTTCACGGGAAAGACAAGCAGCTGAAATTGAAAAGCCTGTCCAACATGACAACACGATCTTTGCAGAAGCTCAGCGCGGTTGTCGTTCAAAGATTTCTGCTTGTACCGCCCACGACAAATAAATATACTACAACTTCTTCCCTTGTTGAGATGCGCTACTAATATTCATATTGTAGGAGATGTCAGGCTGAGATGCTGAGACGAGGAGATTATCATAGGAATTTCTGAGTCTAGTACGGAACTGCCGCCTGAGTGGAACTTCAAGGCCTGAGCGTGTAAGCAGATCAATTCAACAAGTGCATGTTGTACTTAATCGCATTAAAAAATGTTACTTTTTTAGGGAGGGAACAAGAAGAAGATCTGCATGATTGTTGATTTGTTCACCGTCAAGATAATCCACGAATCTGCGGAAAGAGAAGAAAAAACAAGGAGCCTCTGACAAGCACTGACAAATCATAATTTACCTGTAAGAAAGGGAAAGCGTATTTTCGACTTGGTTCATCTTCATAATAAACTTTCCTCCACCTGGTATATCATCAATCTCTTACTATTTATATATAGTATTAGTTTTGCTCTTGATAGATGTTGAGGTCTTAGTTTTTCACTGAATTACCTGAGAATATAGGAGCACGACCACCTTCTCTTGACATGTAAAGATGCAGCCATTGCTGCAAATGGACCTCTCGCACGCGCAAAGAACGCGGAGCAACAAGAAACGGGCTGACGGCAGCTCCAAGACGAAGCGGGCAGCTGTCGGGAGCAATGCAGCCTTCGAGCCTAATGGGGGACCTAATGTGCGAGGCTTTTTCGCAAAATGGGATCGTGGTCTATCGCAGATCCGGAAAGACCTTCATGACGAGGCGTGCTTGATGGGCCAGGAACGCGAGAAGATTGGCCGCGACAAAATCGCTCTTGGAATGGCACCAAGTGATGTGCCACCTCAAATTCTATTTCATCTAGACAATGGGCCAGGTGGTGGGAGTGAAAATGGCGAACAAAAAGGTGGGGGAAGGGGTTCAGCAGGTGAATCTTGTTCTCCGGATAACCGAGCAAAGCGCTTTTCATCCAAATATGCGGCATATTATCCCACGACATCTTCTACCGGTGCACCCCCACCTCCAGCACATGGCAGCAAGTTCCCGACGACCGGAGCAGATGACTCAGAGTACAGCACGACGACGTCACCGAGACCACGACGGAAAAGCGTCAATAGTTACAACTACGACGAGCAGACTCCAACTCGCAAGCCGCCTAATGTCGGAACTTCATCAGGAGGAGCCACTGCTTCTAATTTTTATCGACATGCTACTTCGACGTCTGCAAATCGAGGACAGCATAAAACCACAGGCAGTAAAAGCACTGCGAACAATAAGGCGAGAAGTTCTCCGGCAAATAGAAATACTGGTACCAGTGGCGCTAGTACTAGAAAGACTAGGCGAGGACCAGCAGCGCGAATGTACGATTTCGATCACGATTTCCCTGACGGAATCGGTGACACCATTGGCGATGACGATGATTTTGGCCTCTTCTACGACGACAATCCGTATCTCGGAGGCCCCGATCTGGCATCGGCAGCCGAATATCGCAGTATGTGGCGTGAACATGATGACGATTTTCGTAAGTTCCAGGAACAAGCGCCTGCGCCGGCTGAGCCCGATATTCAAGATGGGGAGAGGCCGAACAATGTTGTAGCGTCGTCACCACCTCCAGAATCGTCCTCCACAAAACTTTCCGCTCTTCGATACGAGGACGTACTTCAATTTGATACTACGACTAGAACTACTCGAAAACATACTCGATTGATTGAATCCTACCATCTGCCTTACATTTCATAATTTTCGCAAACATGAACATGTTATGTCGAGGATCTTGCTGAATTGTAATCGCAAACATCCTGTTCCCCATGCATTTTAAGATATCATCGACAGATTCCGTGGCCTCCGGTGGCGAGTGATATATTGGAGTTTTGTGAAAGCATCTGGTCTCCAGGGCACCCAAAGCAGGCATATCGGATTGCATGCCGTCGCTGGCACCCAGACAAATTTTTGGCACTTTACGGTCACCGTATCGAGTCTCCTGTCGAACGCGAGAAAATTCAGAGCAAACTAACTGAAGTCTTTCAACAGATTCAACAAGCGCACGAAAAGAGAAGTCGCCATATTGCAACTCGTGTCCGCGGGTCATGAATCTTACTTTCATTCAATGTATATAGTCGAGATAGATTTTGATTTTATTTTTTAATATTCTTGATTCACTTTCACATCATCATCATTGATAATGATATTGCAACATTTTATGATTACTTCTAACCAAGATTATTGTCGCTGTAGTGGAGAGAACAAAATCTGATCAAACATTAAAAGACGGAGTACTCGGAATAGAAATGCACACTTTGCAAAACCACTATCATAAAAATGATTTCGAATGTCGTGTTTGTTCCGATGGTGACAGCGACGCCGTGGGGCACGTGCGAGCGATTTTCACCCAAGTAGACACATATCACCTAACTTGTCCTTGTTTACGTTTTGCAAAGACTTTGCACAGGTTTTTGCCCCAACAGGCTTTTAACGTACCGACGAGACGCCCCCGCGATTCTCACCCCGCGCAAGAAGTGCTCCTCTTCACCTTCTTGTTTTATCTCCACAAGCAGCGATAACGCACCAGATGCAACTCCTGCTTGAAAAAGAAATTGAACATCAATAAAAATGACGGCACATCTTTTTTACCGTTTCTTGCAGCAAGCGTTTTCAGATGGTTCTTTGTGGGAAGTGGACATGTTGTTTCGTGACCATAGTTCGAGTTCGAGTTCTGCGACGGATCCAGCTCTTTGTGAAGCCTGTTTTCCCGTTTGTCTTTTCTTCTCGCTTTTTTGTATTGCACCATCTGTTCGTTTTTACCTCTAGCGTGTAGCCCTTCCAACAATCTACTGCGCCATCTGTCTCGACTCGCTGAGGGTGGAAAAAACGAATGAAATGTTCGTGACCTTTCCTGTCAGGTTTCTCGAACTTCATCTGAGCTCTTCATAGAAATTTTGGATTTTGCCATTGGAGATTGCGTTTGTGTTTCTTTGAGGATCCACGATCGATTTTGATATGGATGATGGACAAAAGAATATGTAGGAGCAACTTTTCAGCCGCACGAGTTGTATGCGTGTGGCGGGGACCAGGAGAGACGTTTTGGTGTGGTCAATATTGCTAGCTGAAATGATCATAAAAGTGTCGTGGAGATCATCATATCCTAGAGTTCATGTTTCGAGCTGAAAATCTTCTAACTGTACTTTTATTTGTTTCATAGGCCTTGCCAGTGCTAGTAGTGGTACGTCCGCCGTCCAACTTTTTTCAGCGAGAAGATAGAAAAAGAATGATGAACAACATGAACGTGAACGGTGCGAATAACAACTCCGGCAATCCAGACTTTTGGACCCAGCAGCAGCCACATTCACACGCTAGTATGCAGCCAGTCGTGGGAAATAACCCCTTCGCGACTTCGCAACAAGGTCCTTGGGTTCCAAGTGGAGGCAGCAACGGCGGCCAAGCACCTCCGCAGATGAGCCCGCATAACATGTATAACGGTGATGCAGCCAACAGCGGTGCTCCAGTAGGTGGTGGAACCGCTTCCATGTGGCATCAACAGCAGCCGATCATGATGAACAACATGATGATGTCCGGAGGGGCACCCCCAGGAGGGAAAATGATGGGCATGATGCACCAGCAGCCTGGAATGATGCCTCCCAACATGGGTGGATATTGGCCGGGCGGAATGTCGCCAGGTTATGACGCTTCTGCTTGGAATCCCTACTACAACAACAATGTGGGCAACCAACAGCAACAACATACAGGAACGGGTCCTGGCGTTGCAAGACCCTACACGAATCCGTCGTATCAACAACTAAGTCAACGGAGAGCAGAAATGAACATGATGATGAGCAACAAAACCTTCACGAAGGGTGAGACACAGCAGGTAGTGACAGCTTCCAGCACAACGGGTAATACCGCTGCAGCTGTTTCATCATCTACGACAACTACATCTACAGCACCTAACAAGATAGTTGCTGGGAGCAATAGCAGCACCGCTGCGGGAGCAGGAGGTGGAACTGCTACGAAAAGTTCCACAGCTTCCAAGCTAGTAGGGCCACCCAAGAACTCCAACTCGTGCGCGACAACTGCCAATGCCGGGTCCGCAAACAGCGCGAAGGTATCAGCAAACTCGGCACTTGGCTCTGACTCGCCTGCTATAACATCAACCTCCGTTCTCGCGGCCAAAGGTAAAGCAGTTGCCCCGCCTCCAACAACAGTTTCCAGTAGTGGTGCTGCTGAGCAAGCTACTGCGGCACAAAAGTCTGCATCCGGTGCCACAACTGCCGGGGGAGGCCTTTCCGTGTTGAGTAATGCCACACTGAACAAGAAGGGCTACAGCTTTGCAAGTAAGGTCGTACCTGCTTCAGAAGGAGCTCAACAGGGAGAAGGCGTTAATAAAAAGAGTACAATAAAATCAAAAACAGGTACAACAACTTCTTCTTCTAGTGCGGATCATAAGACAAGTCCGATGATGAAACAAGATGAAGGCAGTGCAAGTACTATGGCTCCTTTGACTAAGTCGATTTCGACCACTTGCGAAGGAAAAACTTCTAGCACAGCTGCTACGTCCTCGTCCACCTCTGTAAAGGACAGGCCAGCGCGACCGCCACCGCCGAAATTTGGCTTTTCCGAGAAACAGCCAAATCCCTTCACGACGAGGACAACGATAAACGCCAGGTCTGCGTCACGCTCACGCAAGCGGGAAGCGTCTTCTGGAAAAGAAGATAGCCGGGATGGCAAACGTAGAAGAAACAACACCTACAGTAGACTAACAAGAAGAATAAGAAGGAGAAGTCGTTCCCGTTCTTCTTCGTGGTCTTCTCGTTCTAGAAGTAGGAGAAGGAGGAGTTCATCTTCTAGATCTAGAAGAACTGCAAGGGATAATCGGGCCGAGGGTTCATCGCGCTTTATTGAGCAGGGGGAAAGCGCCTCATCTCGCTTTCCAGTTAGTGCTGTGAACGTCGACCGAAGACCACCAAAAAGAATCGCACAAGATCGACGAAGAGCATCTTCGAGTCGTGGTCGAAGAGGCAAGGAGGACGATAAGCGATCCTCGAAAAAGCCTGCAGAATCTTCCACTTCGAAGAAATCCAACGAGGACCAACGATTACCGGAATCTTCACCACTAGCTGGCGCTGCTGCCAACAATCTTCAGAAGGCCCTTCCTGATCTGGATATCCTTCGACGGATGTGGACCAACAAAGAAGGCACATCATCAACATCAGCTTTCTCGTCAGTCCTTGCTAAAATTCCGGACGGTCTTCGAGAGTACGTCGCGCAGCAACTCGGAGGACTGCAAAGAATAGTCAAAGAGTGGCAAATGCATCAAGAAGGAACAGACTTCAGAAGTGCACATCAACATGGCCCTCCTTGGCACCATGGAGGTTATCATGAAGATCAGTGGGATTGGGACGAGTCTTCATGGGGATGGGACCCAGCATGGGAGGACTGGAGGAGCGGGGGTCCTCCGGGGCAACGGTGGGGAGCGCACCCAAAATGGCATTCTCAATCATCTTCCTCTACAACACCATGGCACGGCGATGCCCATCTTGGTGGCGATCCGGCTTCCTCATCCTCTTCAACATCCGCTCCACGCCCTGCCCCGCAGCCCCAGCCAGCAGCGAAAGGATCGGCGTGGGCCGCCTTGCCTGAGACAGAGAAGAAGGAGAGAATCAAGAAGGTGTTGAGCGTGTTGACCGCGATGAATCCGCATCAGGCAATGACGATCTGGCAAAAATTAAGGGCAGACGGAAAACTTCCTGGCGACCCCACGAATGCTGGGACGACGGAAAACAATAACAATGCTCTTCCCTCAACCTCTTCGTTATCTTCATCCACTAGTCGTGGCCGTCAGCCCGTCGTCTCCAGAAGCGTCCTCCAGCCGCCACAAGGAACGACACGGCGAGAGTCGACTGGCAGTGTCAGCGGGGGAAGCAAGAGCGATCAAAAGAACTCGCGGGACTCTCCTGCATCTGGTAAAGAGGTGCTGGCGCAACCAAGCAAGAACACGGCTCCTGTAGGGAGCGTGACGCAGACCACGACGCGACCTCTGCATGAGAGGCTGTCTGAGCACCTTCAAAATCAGTATCCCGCACCCCTTACCACTGGATCGCCAGGTGCTCTCATTATGCCACCAAAGAGCTCTCTTTCAACAGGTGGCCTCATTGCGCCACCTAGAAGCGCTTTTCATACGAGTGCCGGTGGTACGACACGTTGTATTACTAGTGACATAAACGTAAAGGTAAAGGCAACAAGTACGGCGAGAACTATTCCTATTTCGCCGTATCAAGCATTTTCTGGCGAACCGGCAGCGGGACCTGCAACTGCCGCGGCACATCCTGTGGAACCCGGCTCGACTGCAGTTGATGAAAAACCTCTCTTTGAAGGCGGGCCACTTTCTGCGACAATTCTACCGGGTCCCGGTACAGTTACAGCACCTTCTACAACTAATACATTAGCCCGCAATGTGCTGACTGCGACCGAAGGTGGCCTTCTCGACTACAACGCTCTGACTCGAGCGTTCCAGAGTACGAGAGCAGTTGCGAAGCAGGATACAGAAGATAGACATAGAACAAGTACAACTCCTGCTAACAGTTCTGCTCTTGCTGCTTCTTCATCTGCTGCTCCTGCAGGAGCAGCTGGAAATCCACCAAAGGCATCTGCTTCGACTTCTTCCAACGCATTGGAGAAAAAGAAAAAGTATGGTCCGTGTAACAAGAAGCAAAAGAAGGCACTGAAGATGAATGAGGGTGGAGATGGAGCCGTCCTCCAAGCAGGCCATCAACACTCAGTAGCAAACAAGACATCTTCTTCAGCCTCAGGCATTTTTGCGACCGTCAAGAGTAATAAAGCCACCCGCAACGCCAGTCGAAGAGCCCGATATCGCATCCGAAAAAGGGAAATCAAGCAGAGGAAGATGGGGGATGCGGTTGCAAAGAGGGAGAAGAAGCTGAGCAAGAAGAAAAACGGACCGAAACAGCCTCTAGCACAGCACGAAATGATGAATCCGTTCATAGATAGTGGCACGGCTGATGGCGATGCTGATCAGCAGGAGGATGGCGACCACAATAGAGACGGATCTTCGGATGAAGAAGAAGATGATGATTCTAGTGGGAGTGCGAGCAGTGATGATGACAAAGGAGCAGAAGACAATGAAGACAACAGCTCATCCTCCTCTAGTGACGAAGAGGAACAAGAGGGTGGCAGTAGTGGTTGTGCCGAGGGAGCTGAGCCTGCTGAAGAAGACGAAGCCCCCCTCGATGATGATAGCAGTTCCTCTGCTAATGAAGCAGAACAAGAACAAGAGGCCCCATTACAGGACGAAGCAGATGTTGCAGGAGGGGCAGCGGGAGACGAGGTCCTAGAAGCCGAGGGTAATAAGAATATTGACGATGGTTTCAACCCGTTCCAAGATTTTACCACTTTGGCAGGCATGTTCCCAGCACAAGAAGATGATGAAGGGTCAGAACTACATCTCGATGGTGCGCCTCAACTTTTACCAGCAGAAGCAGTAGAGAATAACAAAGAAGAACAACTACTTCGTAGCGATCCCGGTCAACTACAGGAGCAAGAACAAAAAGAGAAATTATTCGGTCTTTTCGACGATCGACCATTGCTAAATGAAAGTGGTGAGGATGGTGATCTGCGACTTGATGACGACGAAGATTCTCTCGGCCCTGACACCGCCGCAGGAATGGCGGCTCTTCTTGGTGGGGATGTTGGACGCAAAACAACAAAGAAAACTACGCAAAGAGTAGATTATGGTGCTCTTCATCAGAACAAACATCCTCCTAGCGCAACATCAACATCATCTTCATCAAGCAGTAGCCAACCCCAGCTGGCCGTTTCTGGTCCTGGTGTTCCAGTCCCCCCGGGCTCCTGTCCTCCCGCCGTTGGAGCTGCGCTACTTGCATGGGGTGGCGTTCCTGCTACATGCTCGTCGTCATCATCGGCATCTCATCCTGTATTCCAAGCGACATGGCATGCTCCTCTGCAAGGTCACGCGCCGTCCTCCACTTCGTCTTCACCGGTAGTTGGTGTCGTTCCGCAACCTCGGCATGGCGGGCCTGCTCCAGTCGGAATGGTCCCTCAAGTAGGAGCGGTGCCGGTCCCAGTCGGTGCTCCGCCTGGAGTCGTCCCTCCAGGAGTTCGAGTTCCTCGAGCGCCGCTCATGGTTCCTGTGCCTGCAAAAGGTGGAATGATGTTCCCGCAGCCGCAACCTCCGCGACCAGTAGTGGTCATGCCGTTACCGGGTACTGTTGGGCCGACGTATGTTACAAATTTCCCTCCTGCTCCCAAACTCCCTTCTCCTCCCGCACCGACGCCGTTGCCGCCCGCTTTAAACACGAGGCTGCAGCGGTTGCTGGCGCATTCACCTTACGTGCAGGACACCTTCAAGACCGGGCCAAACTACCGACATGACACAATGACGAAGCCCGAAAAAAAGTGGCTGCGCGAGAGAACTGATGTTATGGCCAGCTTTTACCCACCCTTCTCAGCATCTAGGTATCCCTCTGCCTTGTATTCATAAACAATACAAGGGAAGATAGGTGGTCGAGATGAGGGGACCGAGATGAATACGCGCTGCCTCTAAATCTGACCAGCAAATCCTCAGACGAAGACCGAACCTGAGGTATTTGGCGAACAACAAATACCGTGAGACGTCAGAATACGGTATGTGGGTCGAGTCGCGCGAGAGGCATCTCACCGATGGCCAAATCCTCGATGTGCTCAACGAGTTCTGGGAAGTCAAGGAACACAAGGCGATGGCTTCAACAGAGTTGGGCGCAGCCCTGTGTGTCTTTTTGTGCAAGCATCCAGTAACGAAGGACTTCTTGAAAACAGCCGCCATCTTGTGGGAAAAAGAGCGCACCAAAGTAGGGATGACGGCCCGAAGGGATGGCCGCGGTAACCACCTCTACCAGACTATGTGTACTGGCAAAAATGCCCTACCACACCACAAACAGCCACTTCCGGTGTGGGATGCGTTGCAGGACTTTTCCTTGGATTTGAACAAGTGGGTAGCAAGCCGGAATATTAATGTAGTTGTACCAAACGTATATGGACTCTCCAAAGACATCCAGTGGCTGCACGAATTCCCGAAAAATAAGAAGGCCCCGCTAAGACTGGCCGGCCATGGGACTTCAAATTAGGGCGAGAACGTAGTCTCTATCTCTTTATATAAATATGTACCAGGGAGGGAGGCCCCTCCCTCCCCCCTGTGGATGGAGGTGGGGTGGCGTCGGCGCGCCCTTTATTCCGCGGTGGTGTGGGGATTCCCGGTGGCGAAGGCCTCAAAAAGCGGAGCCGGAGCCCCCTCACGGGTCTCCGCGTGTACCTCACAGGCGTCCCGACGCTTGGAGCCTATCAGGGGGACGGCCTCCAGGGGTAGAAGGCGGCCGCGGTCGCGAGGCCTGGCCCCTTTTGCTGGGTTGCCCTCATCCCCCCAATTTGCGGCAGCGTCAGCCGCCACCAAATGCCAGGGGGGTTGCGGACCAAAGGCGAGGCGGAGTGGGGGCAACGCGTGCCCGCGTGGGTTCTGTCGGACACATGCAGCACGGCGAAGGGGGTCAAGCCTTGCCACCTGCTGCCCTCGAAGGCCTCCCATTCCCCGGGAAGTTCCCCCATTGAGGAGCCCGCACACCGGGGGGAGGTCGGTCGGGGACATGCAACACGGCAAGGGGGTCAAGCCTTGTCATCTCTGCTGCCTTCGGAGGCCTTTCACTCCCGGCCGTCGGTGCTTGAACGGCCTCAAGGGTTTGGGCTCTGTAGGGTACAGGCAAGAAGCCGCGAGGGCGTGAAGGTGGGCGTTTGGAGGCTTTCCCGCCTGGCAGTCTATCGGGGAAAAGGGTCCGGGGCTGGAGGCCCCCCCGCCGCCTCCTTAGCTCGGGGCGCGCATTCAGCCTTGAGCCCTGGAACAGATGTAATACCCTCGTCTTTACTTGTTGCATTTGAATGACTATGACTCTCTTCATCCTTGTTCTTCAGTGATCAAATCTCGAATTTTGGAGATGTGTATCTGTGTACGTGATTGTGATTCTGGTTACTAATCATGAATGATCCTCACGCAGTGCCTCTGCCTTCTCAAATACTAGATGTTACTCGATCCTCAGTTCAGACTCAAAATGAATCATCAAGCTTGATAGAACGCGCTAAGTAGAGAAACAAAAGGGAGGAAAGAAGAACAAGGAAAACAAAGCGGGAAAAAGGGGCGGAAAAGGCGGAAAGAAAAACAAGAAGAACAAAGCTGTGGCGAAGCCAGGAGCTGGAACGAGTTCGAATTCTTTGCCGCTCGGTGGATAGCGGCCTGCCCACTTGGATAGCGATTTCACCATTTTTTGATTAGACGACAACGAGACGACTCCGCATGCTTGTGCGCTGCCCGTATCCAATCATGTAGTGAGTCTCTAGTACAGAATGAATTACAAGGGAGCTCCTTGAGGTCGAATCTGCGTTTTTTTTTCGGTGTGAAGCAAGCTAAGTACTTAATTCTTGTTGCGCAGATGTGTCTTCACTCTTTCTATTGATTCAAACAAGAGAGGAAGTCCTAGTCGACGGAAAATCCTCTGCGTATTTGGTTATGACGAGGTCAAACTCGAAAAACGCGATTGTCTCTACATTGACCGATTAATGTTCGCTTGCAGTTGCAGGAAAGAACCTGTTCAAGAATGTGATGCGTTACTTATTCGAGAAAATGAAGATGATCATATATAAATATAAGTTTTAGCATACAGGAACGAATACTGCCGAATAAGATCATCTTGAAGGAAAGATCCATAGGTGCTTCTGCGACCGCTGTGCAAAATTAATGTTGAGCGTCAAAATCCAGATGAAGATTGCGGAGGCAAAAATGATGGTGCACATGCATATAATCGTGAAGATCCTCGTCTGAGGCTTCCTGTCAATCTAGCAATCAGAAGAACCACTCTGGCGCAACTGCTCGGACTTCAAGATCTGCTAAGCACTCCGTCCGCTGCTCTACAGAAACTTATTAACAGAAAAGGGCGTGTCTGCGTTTCTTCTATTGCAGTGTACCAGCATGTGCATATTTATCCCGCACGACCTCCGCTATAAGCACATTTTGTTGATCTAAATCCATAGATAAGAATTAGAATCTACTTGGGTTAAAGTTAAACGACTTCTTCGAGCACCCAAGCTTCACGCGTATCCTACTCCTACACCGCATTTTCTGTACACATCGCTTGATTCCTGTCGCGATCTTCATGCCGTCATCTACAGAACTCCCTGCGCGCCACCAGCCTGCGTTGATATTCACTTTTAGAGTCGAACCGTCTCTCGCGATGCCCGCAACATCAGTGTCGCTCTTCGCTTCGTCGAGCGGCATTGTACATTTTTGAATTTTCATTTCTAGAACAAGAATTATAGGATGCAGATTCTATGGTGTTTTTGGAATAAGAATCGAAGTTGGTCATGAAATTTTAGAGGATTTGAAATTTCCTGTTGCATGATGAAGCAAGCAAAGAAAGATGTCAACTCAAAAAATGGTTAATGGATGAAGATCATCTCATTTTCGTATCATCTTTCTTGTTCTTTCTCCGACATTTGCATTGTGGTTTGGCAAAACAATAACAAAATCAATTTTTTTTTATCCTCAGCCGCGACTACTAACGGTGTGTGACCGCGTCAATCTTCGTGTGCGCCGTCGAATATCTCCTGCGGCGTCTTCCTCCGTTCATCACAATCTGTTCCCCTTTTGTCGTCTGCGTACGTACCTCAGCTGACAGCGCTAGAACGCACCATCTATTTCAGCAACGGCTTCTCCCGTCAACACCTACATTGACACTCTCTCGTTTCTCCACATCCAGGCAGAGCATGAACAAGGTTTAGGACAGCATCTAATGTTGTTGTGACGACCGCACCCCGTCAAGATCTCATCTTCTACGTTTTCCACGGATATTTTTGCGCACCATCCATTTTTTGATCTTGTTTGAAGAAGTAGACACCTCGTCGGTCTACGTGTACGTCATCTACGTACGACCAGTGACATTGTAAACAAGCCTTCAACGAAGAAAACCAAAACGAAAATGGCCGAATTTTTGGACGCGGAGACTCGCCGTCTCGCTCAGGAGAGTGAGCGTCAAGGAGGAAAAGTCTTCGTCGGAAACATCAAAAAGGACGTCGAGAAAGACGAAATCAGCGATGTCTTTGAGAAATTTGGCGAAGTACTACAATTTACTTACAAGTTACTTTAATCTTGGACAAGAAGGTGATGTAGCATGGTGAAGATCCTAAAACATTGTGTTATACTAGACTTGAGTACATACTATTACAAATGAATCGAGGTGAAATTGAAAATGAATTCCTTTATCAATCTGATGGTTCTGGTTTAACACTAACACGACACATTCTAATTATATGCCTATCCGATTACAACATATGCAGAGCAAAAATATGTATAAATATTCTTCCTCAGATTCTCTCCATCTGGGTGGCAAAGCAACCGCCTGGTTTTTGCTTCGTGACCTACCGGGATCCGGAGGATGCGAAAAAGGCGGTCCAAGAAGTGAACGGCACGGAAGCATGTACCATTAGGATTCGCTGCATTAGCAATGATGATGGAAGCAGATATAATGATGTTAGTAGTAGTAACTTAATAGCGGAACTCAACCGTGTTTACAGCAAATTCTTATTTTTGTTTTTTATTGGTAAGAAGGAGCAATGCCGCGATGGTGATTCTGAACAAACTCTCGCTATTTCTATTCGCACAACTGCTACACGATCACGACTCACAGCATTTGTTGAGGACAACGGTAAGGGACTCCGCGTCGAGCGCAGTACATACGCAGAAAAAAAGTGGGACCGTCGCCGTCGTGAGCGAGACGATAGCCGAGGCCGTGGTCGCTCGCCGCCGCGCGGTCGCCGCGACGATAGCCGTCGTCGCGGAGGACGCCGTGACAGTCGTGAGAGAGGCCGTGACCGCCGCGGAGGTGGCCGTGAACGCGACTCCCGCCGCAGAAGACGTTAGATATTGTGTATGAAGAAGAGGATCTTCGTGAACTTGATCGGCGAAGATCATGTAACTATGATTTTTAGATTACGAAATAGTTTGTTGTAGATGCAAGGCAGACAAAAAGCATCTGCCCCTTTTTTTATTCCTAAAATCTTTTTACTGTATGATGCTGTGATTCTGTTGGGAGCAGGAACATCATCATGACCATGATTACCAGTTTTTCAATTTCAAGAACTGGTTACCAATAACCTGCATATAATACATTTCGGATTGTTCATGTGATTGGTATGCCTCGTCTGAGAGATATGTTCAAAAATGTTGTCGCCTGCTGTAATATTTATATGAAAATTGGATTGGACAAGATCTCTTGTTATTCACGACAATGCCATCGCGCTTGGCCATATTTTCCTTTGAACTACGATACCGAGGATGGATGATCGTAGTAGAATTTATGACTTGTACTTTCACGCATGCGGAAGCGGAAGATGATCTTCATGATTGTGAGACGCCTCTCCGCTACCCGCATCTTGTTCATATTTCACTTCTAGAAGCATCGAAATAAACGGAGAAGACCAACAACATTATTTTTTTCGATCTCGAGATGGAAGCGATCCTTTGGTTAGTGGCCAGATAAAGCTGAGGCCGCTCTTTCAGTAGCCCCAGGATACAAAAAAAAAAGAAATGTTTCTGAAATCTCCAAATCCAAATCCAAAGTGACACCAATGAATCATGAGGTAGATGCGACCACTTGATGATCATGCTCCACCGAGAGACGAGTGATGAGGGCTGCTTGTCCTTGTGGTTGTACCGCGCCAGTTTAAGGCTATAGGTACAAGTAGGTTGTAGAAGTTGTATTAAACATAGTAGACAAAACGAAGCTACTACTACTTCCTTCGCTCTACAACTGACTCTAGTTCCGCCTATTGTTGTAGAGAAAACCTCCAAATAGGAGTTGTAAGTAACAAAATGGACGACAATCGTGCTTTGCTCTCGTCTGCGGACGAGAGTCTGGACTTTCACCAGCTCTTGGGCGTGCAGAAGGGTGGAGATCAAGCCACCGCGGTTTTCACTTTCGACTTGTCCTTGCGCTCAATGCTCCCTCGAATGGGGAATTTTTCAGCGCTGCGCAATAAGCTCTGGACCAAAGATTCACGCCACAGTGCTGCGACGACGCGGCTTCAGCGCAAGGAGGTCTGGAAACGCTACGGCAGAAGCATGCACATCCTGACTCTGGAATTTGCGTCTGATGCGGGTGTCTGCCCCGCGACGGGAAACCCACGAGAAAAAACGGTTACGGAGGACGACTACACAAGAGATTATCTGCGAAGAAACAAAACGTCGGCAGAAATTGGGTCCTTCGTTTTAGCCATAGTGCTCTTTGTGTGGTCGGTGTGCAGCCACTTTGCACTTCATGTGAATAACCACTTCGTGAACTCTGAGGACTACTACAATAACCCTGGAAATTCCGCATCCGGGTCTGGTGGCGTCCCAACGACACCTGGTAGCGGGTCCTATGGACCTGGACCCTACTCAGGGCCGAAGAGTGCCGGACCAGCCTACGCGCGTGGATATGGAGGCGTGGGTGGCGGCCAGTACATGGATGGCGGAGGCCCGGCTGCCGGCGGGGGAGGTGGGTCGTCGTATTACGGCGGTTCGGCTGATCACGGTGGCGGTTTCGATGGAGGCGCTAACGGGTACAACAATTACTACCACGGAGGTGGTGGATCTTCCTTCTATTACGGCGATGCTGGGTATTTCGACTATGCTGGATCGAGTGCGACGTCGGGGATCGCAAGCTTGTTCGGCGGTTTGGGTAGCATACTGGGTTCCCTCACTGGCATGATGACGACGCCTCGTGGTGCAGGAGCAGGAGGACCGAGCGTTTCAGATCGTGGATTTTTTTCAGACCCTTTCGGAGCATCGTCGAACACCGGACCGTCCGCCGCTGGTGGTGGCATCGGAAGCTTTCTTTACCCTCCGCGAAGCATTGCATCAAACGACGCAGCGAGCGGAGCTAACAATATGCAACCGGTAGTCGCTTTGTGGCCTCTCTTCGCACTGCAGTACTGTTGCTTTCTCGTTTGCCGACCGCTCGTTTACCGCCATTTCCAGCTCTTCCTCTTCTTTTTATGTGCGGTCTTAAACCTATTAATTATTTCAGAATTATAGCCGTAGATATATTAACGAGCACGAGTCCAATCAAATACAATAACAATTAAATAAATAAATGAATGATTGAGTTCGCAACCGTTCTTACGGTCTCTGACCTCCTCCCCCCTAGATGAAGTTGAAGAGCACTAGTACCTAGTAGGCCTACTAGTATTAATCTGTTCGTGCTCCTCCTCCATCTCCTGTCCTCTAACTCTTCATGATCTTTTGCCAATTGCGGAGTCATATCCTTGACCATGTTAAATTCGAACCTTGTTCTTGCGCCAATGCCCCAACCAGGCATGTCTAGCGACCCGCGTGGTGCCAGCACAGGCAATAGCCGGAGTGGCGGTTCGGCCACCATCAGTGCTCGAAATTTGCCGACGACCTCGGCTGACGATAATCTGCGAGGGGGGCCCGCTGGAGCTACAGGTGGAGGAAGAGAGTCTAGTACGATGCTTTCCAGTGTAGGCGTGGGTATGAATGGCGTTGCGAATGGAGGCGGCTTCCGAACGATGAATTCCAGAGCGGGCATCGCCGCGGATGCCGCAGCTGCAGCGGCAGCGCAACTCAACCCTCCAGAGAGTTTTTACGATCGAGAGGTCGGAGATGAGAGTAACAATCTCTACGTACGGGGGTCAACCGGGCCAGATAAGATGGCCATGATGCAGGCAGCGTTTCAGCATACTCCTGGTGCTTCTTATTCTGCAGCCGGAACAGGTATAGCGACCACAGTGTTCGGCGGTGGAGGGGGAGCGCCTCTTAGACACCTCACTCCCGGAGTGGGTGCCGCGTCTCCTTCGGATCATTACTTCATCGGAGGACCTAATGAGCACCAGCAACAAGGTGCGATGAACGGATTGAACAGTGGTTCTACGGGAGTCCGTGCCGTTGGCGCAGGAACAGTCGACGGCACCAGCCAACATCTGCACTACACTTCTTTACAGCAGCAGCATCAAGTACATGGCGGAGGAGGAGGTGGTCGCGGCCATGGTGGTCATTCATTGCATCAGCGAACGCGGCCAGCGGGTCCTTGGGAGCTCGCTTGGTGGTCCGATTTGATTTGCTTCGACTACTGGCGGTTACTTTTGACGAATCCTACATGTTGGCTTGACCGCGAAGGAGGCTCGAACTGCATGCTGGTTTTCCTAATCATCCAAGTGGCTGTCTATCGTGTACGGTTTATTTACTTACTCCTGTTGATTCTCCTTTTCTTCTTTCTCTACTTCGGCGAGGATTCCTCCACCACTGGTGCGGCATCTGCAGTCTCTGACACGCATCCTTTGCCATTTCTTCTTCCCGGACGCAACCTTGCCACGGATCATTCTCATCATGTCCTTCGCACGTTATCCGAACGCTATCCTGGTCGCTTCTACAACGACGACCACGGCGGTGGTGCGGGGGGAGGCGACGACGACTCCACCTTTTGGAGGATCATCCCTGGCGCTCAATCACTCTCGAAAGGGCTTGAGAGTTTTGGCAGGTTCCTCTGGTCTGTGCTTGATTGTGGCACGTCCTTTCCCGGGGTTTGGACCGCTGAGCCGTGCACGCAGAACGCGTTTTTCGTTTCCGTCTTGTTACTGTGCTTTTCCTACACTCTGGAAGTATTGCAGCGCAAAGACTTTATCCAGGCAACGATGGTTTTCCGGGAATCCCGTCGTAGCGAGCAATTGCTACTCAACATTTTACCAGAAAAGATTGTCGCGAAACTGAAGGAGTCTTACAGTAGCACAAGCGCTAGCTATGAAGACGTATCGATTCTATTCGCGCACGTGGCGCATTTCGCGGAATTCGCGATGGAAGTGGAGCCGCAAGACCTCGTCGACTTTCTGAACATGATGTTTGGACAGTTTGACCGCATCGTGGAAGACAATCTTAAGGACTAAAAGCAGTGGGGGTCTAATAAGTACATAATTAATGGTTTTGCATTTGAAGTGACCTCATCAAGAGCATTGAGGCACCAGTTTCTTGTTGTCCTCTTCAGATTTCTGCGAACAGCAGAAGAAAAAATCATATCATCTAAATATATTTATAAGAATGTTGTACTTCGGACAATAAACATGATGAGTAGAGTGCGAGGTAAGTGTACTTGGCAAGAAGGAGGCAAATCTGTAGGGGCTACATGACCCTCTGTAGGGGCCCCTCGGGGAAACCTATGGAGACACTTTCAACCCCCACGAGATTCCCGACCCTCCCGCCCCTGCGAAGGGGGGCGGGGTATCTCATGGGCCTCCTCCAGGATCTCCACTGGTCTCCCTGCAGCCACGCCGCGGCCCCATTTGCAGGGGCGGAAGGGTCGGGAATCTAGTGGGGGTCGAACAAAACCCTCATAGGTTTCCCAGTAGGCCGGTAGACTATAGCGAGCGACGTCGCCCTTAAGGGGAAAGTCTAGTTGTGGCGCTGATCACTCCGCGAGATTGTAAATTTCAAAACTCAAGGTCAATGTCAACATATTCTAATAGTCAGGTCGAAAAAATCAAGACAATTGGTGACGGCTATATGGCAGCTTGTGGTCTTCCCGATCCGAATCCACTGCACGCGAAAGCTGTTGCGCGAGCAGCTATTGGCATGATCAAACTATCCACTCTGGGCTTCTTCCGACATCCAGGGTCTAAGAAGAAAATTATATCCGCAACGACGGGCGCCGGAGGCGGACCTGCTCCTGGAAATAATATGACCAAGAACGCTGTTCTTGCTGGTGCGGGAGTCGCATCGGCAGCCGGAGGAAGAGGAAGCGGCGGAGGTGGCGGCATCTTGTTTCCTAGTCGAACAAACACGCAGACGACGCAGAATACGCAAACAAATGCGCAGCACCAACATCACAGTGCTACTGCTTATCAAGAACAACCTAGCAAACGCCAGTCCTCAGAAATACCTTCTTCGGGAGAAACGGAATGCGGTGGCTTCAGCGCTTTGACTTTGTCCTGTGGTAGCTCGTCCAGCACTTCGTCGTGCGGCACATCGTCACGGACCCCTTCCACTTCTGCGGGAAAGGAGGGAAATCATATCGCTCTGAGAATCGGCATCCATTCTGGGCCCTGCGTCGCGGGTGTGATTGGTGAAAAGAAGTTTGCGTTTGACGTCTGGGGCGACGCAGTGAATGTCGCTTCGCGGATGGAGAGCAGTGGCGAGGATGGGAAAATCCACTGTTCCCAAGCCATGCGCGATCTACTGTACGACGACTTCGAGTGCGTTCCACGGGGACGGATGTATGTGAAGGGCAAGGGCGAGATGAATACCTTTTTCGTGAGTCGCCAGTACAATTGCAAGAAGCACTTCGTGGTCGCCCGGTTGGATGAACTGAACACGAAAGCCCTAGCCGACGCCCTGCACAAGGCGCGCAACCATCTTTCCACGCAACACATTAACACTCTGATTGCTGGCTTCGCGAAGACGCTTCGCACTAACCAACTGTTTCGCGGCCGACGGGACATTGTGCCCCCGCCGCAGCCCCACTCACATGAGACGGAGCAGGTGCTTGGGAAAGCAACCTCAGCCGCGACAGACCTTGGTGCAGACGTTTCCCAACACGGCTACGGACAAAAAGTAGAGCTGCATGATGAAAATAACGTATATGATGAAGGTGTAGATCAGGACCAGGAGCACATTCTCATTCATCAACAGAGGAATCAGAGAAATTTGAGTGTAGACGACGAAGACAATATCTTCGACAACCACATTACAACGAGCCCAGAGCCTGAATGTAGAGCCCAACGACTTAGGCAGAATCGTGATCCTCGTCAGCTCCTGGGGCAGAAAGATATTCCGAGTAATATTGAAATGATGACTATGAACAGTCGGCGTACTGGTACGACTGGTGCGAACAAGCAGGATTATCATAGGACAAAATTCAACACGTCGGCAACATCCAGCTCAAAGGTTCATGAAATCGAAATGATTGAGAGAGCGAGCGGTTCCTACTCAGCAAGCAGTACGTTCTCGAAAAACCATCCGTCGAGCGATTCCGGAGGATTCAGAAAGGCGCCTCAGTTCTCGCCTGCAGTATTTCGAGACCAGCAACAAACAAGTGTTGGTAGAGAGAGGGAACCTCCACAGCTTCCTCAGGATCCGACGTGGCACGCAGCGGCCATGACAATAGCCTCGTCAACCAAGACTAGCACTAAACTCCAGCCCAATCGGTGTCAACTCAGTCATCTCCCTGCGCCTGCCTACGACGATACTCTGCCGACGAGGCCAGCTGTGAGCAGCACCACTATAAGTGGCCAGGAGGCGGGTGTCGACAATTATGACTCACCTGTAGGAGCACCGGTAGTCGTGCACGGCAGAGCTTTTCGCGGAAGCCCTCCGGCTGGCGAAGGGCACAACATAATTCCGACAAGGATGCCACACGCAACAGCGACTTCTGCGCAACTCGATATAAAACACAATAATCATGCAACTTCATCTGGTACTACTACAACAACTAGTACTGCCAAGAAACCCTCTGGTACTTCAAGTGCCTCATCGAGGAGGACACAACCAGAAGCTGGACAACAAAGTCTACATCGAGGAGAACCCTCTTCATCCTTCAGCGATCCGAGATATTATCAACACATGCATGGACAACATCAAGGTCAATATGAATTACAGCATCTTCGAAGACCACAAGAAACAATCAACATGGCAGGGCTATCATCGTCCTCATCTCGAGATATGGTTCCACCACGACGAGAAGCCACACATCAAGAAGTGAACCAGATCGTGCGGAATTCATCGTTACGGCTAATGAGCTTGTTAGTTGATGTTGATACATGAAGACTTGAATAAAGAACTAGACTACTACTTGAGTTTCTCAGCCTGTGTCTGTTGTTCCTTCTTCTCATAAAACTTGCTCTTCTTGCCCTCGTCCTGTGACGAGAAAATGGATCATCTAAAAGATGTAAATCTAGATGAATTCACGCGCACTTGTTCCTTGTTCTGTTCCTGTAGTAGTAGTTGATAGCCATGTTCGTTGTAGTTGTTGGTCCTAACTCTAAGATCTTCTAGTGCAATTCCATTCGTTCCGCGATCGCCGTCCACATCACCCGGTGCATGCCCCTCTTGGCTGCAGAACCCTTCGGATGATCGTGAGCGGATGTTTCGCCCGCTCGCGCGTGAGGGAAAGCACCAAAAGGACGCGGTGTTGTACTCATCATCTTCCTTAGCATCGTCCGGCTCAAAAGGAAAAAGCCGTACTTTCACTGGGAACCAGACGTTTTCTGCTTTCCGGCAAGCAAGGAGTAAAACAAGCGAAGACGACCAGCTACGAGGAGGTTCAGCTGCTGAAAGTTCGACTAGAGTCGACGGCGCAGATATCGAACTATCAAACCGTTGTGGTCCGTCCTGGTCGTCAAGACTATAAGCAGCTCAGCAAGACGAGGAAAGGTAAGATCGATATCGATATAAAACAAAAGCAACCCCTCACTGCAAGAACAACGTGAGAGAATTCAAAATATATTGTAATAGTACAAGAGCGAGAAATTTTCGGTCTTGTATTTGCTTTTTTGCGACGTCCTTCACTCAAAATTTCAATTTCATGACATTCATCACACTCATAATTCTCATATTTATTTCTTGTCGTAGTACCTAGTATTTGTGACCACCTGTTTCTGTTACGGGTCGTTCTGTCCGCATCGTGTGATGTCTTCGACGAGCAAGATACCTTAGTCTCTGTGGCTTTGAAAGATTACGGATACGACTTCTTCAAAATCGAAAATGTAGAGGATAAGCACATCAATTTCTTTGATGCTACTGCCTACCGAGGCACTTTCATGCTTGAATTAATGTTTAAAATTTTAGAGCGACATGTTGTACCTGTTGATGTTCTACGACTTGTGTCAGCTGGCTTTTCTTCTAGGAAGTTGTGTATTCGACTGAGCGAGTGAGACTTATGAAGCAAGCAACTGAGTGCAACTGCATTCTCGGAATAAGCGAATCTGAACCGCTGTTCTTTCTGCAGGTTAATTCAATGTTCATTAAGAATTCCCTACCCTCCTGCGCGACCTGATTTCAAAACTCTCAAATGCACTGAAGAATGATTTATGGTTGGTTCGTTCCAATTCAATAAGAATGAAAATATATCTCCATCTCCAAAAATCAACCTCATGTAGATGGTTCCATCATGCATCATCATGTACTAGGAGGTTCAAATAGTTGATAGAGGTAGATGAAGAGGCCTGCGTCTTTTTCATGATAATCTTTCATTGTTCCCTATCCCCTGTTGTTGTGATCACTCCGCGCATCTTGAATATTTAAATGGATCCAAAATGGACGTACTTTCTAGGAAGGGTGGATCCTTCCGAATTAGAATTAGTTATCGTTTTCTTTAACTTTATATCCAAATATTATAGTGGTATCCTCTTGTCTCGGGTCATCTTCTCACGGAGGTCCATGCTGGGGTGCTCTCGGCGCCTGGCAGTGCTCCAATAAAACAATGCGCATCATCAAAATGTGCAGTTATACATGGACATGGACATCATGTACTTAGCAAAAAATCTTGACTTGTTTCTTCAAACAAGAAGGCTCGTTTAAGTGTAGAGTGATGTTTTGCGAGGTTGCGGGGATTCTAGCAATCAAAATGGCTCGTCGAGAATGTTGAGAAGGAAGACGAAATTGGGACACTGCAATTTAGCGCTAGCGCGACTGACTGCTACATTTTTCATCATTTTCGATTCGCGCAAAACCTCTACCTCTAGGTAATGACCTTAATACCACGCTTTACAACTCCCATCCGATTACCGAGAATATCCTTCCTCACTGTCACTCACTGCACTGTTTCCGCAGTTGCAGTTTTTCCTTGGATAGATACATCGAGAGACTCAGAGGACTCAGTGTCGTATTAAGCAAGAATGTTTCATCCAAATTTTGGATTTTTCGGGTTCGGCGATACTAGCGGAAACGCGTCCGCTCAGGGGAACGGAGACACGGCCACCCAGGGGAATGCTTCAACAACGAACAATCGTGGTACTCCAGGAAGTGGGCGGCCACATGCAACGAGTAGTGCAGGAGGTGAACCAACAACGGAAGCAGGAGGTGGGCCTACTTCAGCTCCAGGTGGTGATGGTATGCTCTCAAGCGGTATGCCAGGAGGTGGCGGTATGCCATTTGCATCTCCTGCTGATTTCTTTTCAGCTTTCGCTGCACAAGCAGCTGGAGCGCATCCGTCAACCAGCAGCACCGGAGGAGGACCCACAGGACCAAGAACGGGCGGAAATTATATGAGAGGACCGAGAGTGGTCACCTCCGCCAACGGCGGCCAGCAATACAATGCGACCCATTACGGAAGCCACTACGCGAACGGCTCAGCAGTAGGCGGTACTTCAGCGGATGACAAGATTCCTCCAGCAAGTAAGCGCGCGATACTGAATCTGCCGTCAGTGGTGATAACAAAGCGGGACCTGGCCGTGGACGAAAACGCCTTCTGCATAATATGTTTCGAAGATCAAAAACTGTCATCAACTGCGACAAAGCTGCCGTGCGGACACCTATTCTGCAAAAGCTGTATTAAATTGCTTATCACTTTCACTGATCTTCTCCAATTGTGAGGAAGGGCAGGTGAGACATGTTGAAATAATGTGCCATTCACTTTCTGCATTGATTTTTAACATCCTTGATCGAGACTGGAGAACAACAGGTTATTAATGTTTGCTGCAACAACGTCAACAACTAGACCTAGTACTACTTCTCTCTTGTGCCGAACCTGATGTTTCTTTAAACGCATTTTGTTGTAGTTCTTGTAACTAGAAGAACCAACTACTTCCTTGTGTAGTCTGTGAAGATCATTGCAGCCGACAATGATTCTATAATTCAGGTATATCCAATTGGTTAGCGAAGCAGTGTACCTGTCCTGTGTGTCGTTATGAACTGGAGACGACCGACGCAGCGTTTGAGAAGAAGAGGAAAGCGACGCAGCGCAAGCCGAAATACAAAGAGGCAGACTTGCGCAGAATGGCGGTCCGCGAGTTGAAGCAAATATGCGCATCCATAGAGGTAGACGCAAAGGGCTTCGCTGAAAAGCGGGAGTTCGTAGATGCGATATTGGTCTCACCAAACGTGGAGATTATACAACCTGGAGATCCCGGTGATGTTGATGGAACCCCTGGACCTGGAGGAGGAGAGAACAAGCCTGGTGGAGGGGGTGGACAGGTGAAAGTAGATGGAGGAGCAAACCCGGACGGAAGTGGTGGAACTAGCGCCAAAAATCTGGACACTTACTATGAAGATGATCTTGCAGGGATGAACATCGAGCAGCTCAGGTAGTACTCACCGGTGTACATGACAAATGCTAGCAGTTTCTCTCGTGGTTTGCTTTTGTGTTTGATTTTTTTCCGGCAAATTGTTCAACCGCTGTCACAGGATAGACTTGATGCAGAGTCGTGCAAATGACTTGGACCTGGATCATTGTTTGACGACTACAGCATCATGCATATCTCAGGAACACGTTCAAGCTTTTCGGTTTAGTCGTTCCGAACACGCGAGAGGATGTGGGTAAAGACGAGCTCATCGGGTTGTTGCTAAACTCAGGCAAAATCGCCGCCTCACGGAGCTGACATCGAGTTTTAGGCACATGATGATGCTGAAGTGCTGTGACCCTTGCTCTTTCCAAGTCTTCTGAACGAGCACCCCCACTGCCCAATTCCTCATGCAGAGATGCAAGTCGATCCTTGATGTCTCCGATGATGCATGCCGCTTACATTTACAACAACTATTTACATGAAAGAAGCGTGCACTTAGTACGAGGGTTCAAGAAGATGACGCCACCGCGGAAGAAATACAAGAAAGGCTAGTATTACAGAAAATGACGAGAGCTACGACAAACATGATGCCGTTACTCGGCATCAGTTCGTTGTAATTATCTGCACCTTGTGGTTGGTCACGTGATTTCGTCAGAGATGCTAATGAAAATAATGCAACCACGACCTGAAAGACGCGCAGCACAAACTGATTTTCTGTTTACAAGAATAAAGAGGAAGAACAGGAACTAACTTCTACACATAGAGATATGCTTGTACTGTATGTCGACGAAGAAAGTATAGAAATAAATGTCGTCTTCGTGAACAGATGAAGAGGACAGCACCATCTCGCCAGTTTGGTTTGTAAAAATACAGTATGCATTTTATCATCGTTGTACAACTAGTTGCATGTGGATTAAGTTGTATAAATCATGCTGTCTTCTTCTTCAGTAGATCATCTTGTTAAAGATATTATGTGCACAGTACCACCTCCGCTGGCAACTAAAACTATGTCATTGTCGGTGTAATTGTCCTTATTGTGGTTTCTCCGACGAAGATGCATTTGCATCCCCTCTGGTATCAGCAGCGTGGGGCAGCCTAGAAGCATTGATGTGGTGCAAAGTTTATTTACGACGACAGCGAGACAGGAATCGATCAGTGAGTCGTGTTTCTTCTTCTAATATTAGTACATGATTGTGCGCATGATCGCCATCTTCATGATGTGGTAAATGGTTTTTATTGTCGAAATTCCGCATGAAATTTTCAAGTCTGAAACCGATATAGAAACTACTTACAGTTCTGTGTATCGCATTTTCTGTCTGTCCTTTTTCTCTTGGTACTACAGCTTACACTCTGGCCGACAGCATTGGCGCATTCCCTCATTTGTTGTATTTGATGAAGGCGGTTTGAACTTGTTGAAGTTCAATGATCAAAGCATGCTGTGGTCTATCACTGTCGTGTGAAGAAGTTGTCATGTTTCTTTTCTTCTTCATTCATGTTCAGCATGATGCTCATCGATGTGACAGTATTTTTATCAATCGATGTACGACTTCCGTCAAAAAAAAAACGCAACGCTTCATCCCTGCATATCCCTACCAACCCCCACCAGGTGACTGCCCCCCGAATCAGCCTACACAATTAAAAACAACGCTCTCCAGCGCTACCCCTTTCCTGGTATGAGACGATACTTCTACCAGGGAAAAATTGACTATTACTTTGGCCAAATCTTCATGTCGCACATTCATCTATTTCTTTTCAACAACTCGAGTTGTTTGCAGGCGACGCGAAACGGTCGCGGGAATGAAAAGTCTCCTGGAGTAGACTGTTGTTTTGCATCGTTTTGCGGCGTCGAAGATACACACCTACATTGACGGAGATATTTGTTCAACATCACAGTGCTCCACAGTGGCACTCGTTGAGATTTCGAAAAAAATCGAACCAGCCATTTACTTCTGGCCTGAAGATGTCACGAGGGTGGAGAACAAACCATATCGCCGCTTCAGTTTCTGAGAGAATTTGAAACTTTGTCAGCTTTTCTTCATCTGTTGTAACGAGCCGAACCTCTGTCCATCTAGAGAGCCAGTTAAGATTACTCTGTTCTATATATGCTTCAGTTATAGTAGTAATAGTCTCTATAATCGGTATCGTGATCCTCCCTTTCATTGTTCTTTCACGTAGAGCTCCTTCTAGTGCCTGTAATTGGAATAGATCCGACCTCTCGTGCGCCTGAGAGAGCAGTTCCGAGTGAATGTTGGAAGATACGTAGCAGCAACCATTGCTATACAACAATTGATTCTCGTCATCTACTACCACACACGTTGAAGCTGATGCCTCACAATTCAGGTTTCTGTCTGAGCGCAGAGTGTCACAAGGAGCGTGTCTGTTCTTCCCGAGAAGGTTTATTCTGCTTCTGCGGTCATGTGTAGTTGCTTTAGTTCTAGACGTAAATGCGATGAAAGACCAAAGTTTCGAGTAATTATATTGATGTGCAGCTACAACAGGTGTCAACTTCGTTCTTCCTTGCATTAGCAAATCCGAATTGCGCCCCTGTAAATGTAACCCCTCTCTAATTTCTTTTTCTGCGGCATGTTGTCCTCAAAGCTGTATCCCGTGCCCTTGAGCCTAATCAACGTAAAGGTAAATAATATGTTGGATAAGTGAACTCATCCTCATACTCATTACAGCAGTGATTGAAGATTTCATCTGAACCTACCCTTAGCCACATTCTCCCCATCCGCATCAAGAAAAACTGCATCAATACTTCTTAATTCCGGTTCTACTTGACAAAAAAATTTGCAGAATAATTATTTTCAGATTACAAATTCAAATACAACAAAAATGCCGATTACCCCTTCAATGCCGTTGCTTGACCCGAAAGGGTTGCGGAAATCCAAGCCCCCGGAAACCGTGGAACAGCGACTGCGCAAGATCCGGCAGAAACAGAATGATGGAATCACGCCAGGAAGTGACGGCTTTAATTTCACGCGTGCGCCTGCGTACACGATGCGAACAAGAGTCCTGTTTGGATTGGACAAAGCACTCGGTGGAGGAGAAAAATACGAAATCTTTCGACGCAAATCCTTTTCAGATCGCAGAAGCTGTGTTGGGTTTCCTGCACCGAGTTGTGGACAGCTTGAGCGTCATCCAAGGTTATGGAGTGAGAGAGACGTGGTTCAATGGTACTGTTCGTAGACCTGTCTTCACTAAAGTGACCAGTCCGCTAGGATTCAGTTGTACTTACAGCGATTACGATTGGCCGCTACTAATACCATTTATTCGATTAAGAATAGCTGCAAATCTTCTATCATTTAGTACTTTAGTAGTACTAGTAGATAAAGATATGATGTATTTTCGCCCTTCTGATTGTTCATCACATCAAACGACCACTGTACAGGATGACCGACGCTTTTCTTCGACGAGAGTGCGGAATGATGTTGGATTTGATTCCTTTGGGAGTGTCGGGCGCGGAGTTAGTCGAGTGGTCTGTCCAGAAGTGGGCTGAGAAAATCTCGCCCGTACTGGCGATCGAGCTGTGTGAAGAATTGCGGTGCAAAACGGTTCAATTTGAGGCGAACCATGAGTTCGATGACGGCGTCAGAAGAGGCGTCGACTACACGCTGTATACCTCTCCAAAGTGGAAAATCGGAGAAAAGAATCCGGCTCCAGTCAAAATTACTAAGGTCCCAGGCCCCGGACATTACAAACAGCCCAGTACGATTGGGATGTCACCAAGCGGAAAAACGCATCCATTGTGGAAAAAAGAAGGCATACCTGTATTTGGCCTGGACGTGCGGTTTCCCGCTGCACAGTTAGACCCGTACCCAGGACCAGGATCGTATCCGACGAAAGGCTCTTTCGAAGGAGATCCCACGAGAGAAACAGCACCGAAATGGTCCTTGAGCGGCACACCAGGTGGGGCTTTTGCTTAAACATGAAGAACCAATTACATGATACAATTTCTTCTATTTTAAATAACTACATCAACATAGAGATAGACACACTGGGCATACACAGACACGCTCCGTAGAAAAGGGAAGATGGACTAAGGAGCCTGCAGCATGGCTATCCTCCTGACTTCGCAAACTTGGTAGTTTGTTTCTTCAAAATTTCTATTGCTTGTAGCGTAGTTCAATGATGAAGGCGATATTACGAGCGGACACATGACACAATATCAAAGGTCTGATATTCATTCGATAATGATGTTCGTCATTACATGATTGTAGTGATTTCCTTTAAGGAGCAGCCTTTCTCCTTTATGGAAGACTACCAACGAGCGCGCGTGCCTGCACTTCTTTACGTGGAAACGAAAAGGATAGTATTTAGCGAGTTTGAATATTATTCGCAGAAAAATGGTAGCATCCATTACAACAGCACAGCACCTTCATTTTGATGTTGTTCAAGCCTTTGCGCAATGAATTTCAAGAACTACAAAGTATGCTGATCGGATCACAGGAGCTATATGAGAGTCACCGAACAAACGAGTATTGGTACTAGAAGGAGTTCGCGGGGTGGAAGTATAGCTGCAGATGGTTTCAGCTTTTCGGTATTTGTCTTTCAATCACGTGCTTTCAGTATGATACAACAATGGCTGCGCGCAACACTAAAGATTCTACACAACATGCAAAAAAAAGGACTCCTGCGAGTAGAACAAGCAGGTAAAAAATGGGATCATCAGCACTAGAGAAGACAGACGCTGTGCAATGCTAGTATCCCGCCACTGGTCATCACGTCGGTAAGAATGCAGCGCTGACATCAAAATAGTTAGAAGAAGGACAAGTATTTTGTATCCCAACCCTTCCCTATATAATTAAACGTACGGCAGCACCACCACTAACAGCAAACAAGCCAATGATTGCTGCAATTGGCTAATTTGTCCTTTTCTGTTTCTAGTGAACTCAGTTCTATCATCTGCTCGTGTTCTTTGATGTCTTTTCGTTTCAGAAAATCTATGCTGGTCTTTATTGCGCATCGGAGCAAGAAAAACACTTGAAAATACGCATGTGCTTCGTAGCTACCGTAAGAGTCCCCACCTTCGCATTTCAATGAATATGCTTCGAACTACTGGATTGATGGAACAAGACGTTATCGTTAGTCGCATTACCATGCCGCCAATCAAGAAAATGATATTCCGTCGTTGAACTTGAAGCATCTTTTCACGCGCGTTCTTTCGTTCCGAAGCGTTACCATTGCTGCACAAGCCGCTTGTAACTTGAAATTGCAAAAGTAAACGGGTGGGGACATAATGAGTCTCTGTTTGCATCTCTCTCAGGGCGCACTGATGCAGATGCTCCGTCTGCAACAAGAGCGGTAGCACGACGCAGCTATATTAACGAAAAATGAGCCATGTAAAGCTTCCGACAACAGGAGCAAGAAAAATTAGCACGCTTGATGAATGCGATGTGAAATACGAAAACGCCAGCGATTCTCTTATCGTGCGATCAACAAAAATTGGCATTGCGAAGAGCCAAAGATGATACCTCCCGACATTATAGACGATGATTACGGAAATAGACAGAGGCTGAACGGACGCGATGAAGAGAAGCAGCTATCAGGAGATGACCCTTCAACTGCACCGACGAAAAACGCGGTTGCGACTGCGACATCTGGCCGTGGGCATGAGCCGGATGAAACACAGAGAGGAGCTGAAGCATTATCAGCACGGGTGGAAGAGGAGCACGACCATCAAGTCGATGGTGCAGCTAGTCCAGAAGACAACTCTCCTATATTTACTAGCTCACGACAGAAGCAGATGGGCGAAGGAGAATCTTCTAGCCCAGCGCATCAAGATGGAAAACGAGAAGAACCAGCTAAACCTATAGGGAACAACGATGATGGAGGAGACGAAAACGGAGCAGTCTCAGAAACAGATGAAGACGAGAAGTTCGATTTTCCGACGGATTGGGGTTATGTCATTCCCGATCCGCCTGCTATTAATGGGATGGACCCGGAGTTCGTGTTCTCCTGTCCAAGCAGTCACCCGCTGCAGAATACTCGTGTCGTCCAAGCAGACGTGAAGAGGACACGAGCCGCGATACCTGCTGTCGTACGACAACACGCGCGACTCGAAACCCTCATCACAAACTACTGCCAGGCCACGGATACCTTTTATCTTATGATGAAGTGTCACGGGGATGGCCGAAGTTTGATTTTTTAACTGTGTTGGAACTGGAAGTTAATAAATACTTGCACGACTATTATTGGGTTGACCCCGAGTTCTATGGGTCCTCGCTTCACGATTAGATCGAGTTATGGGTTTAATAAGCATTGGCAAGCTACAGTCAATTTGCATCTAGACAAGGCGTTAGCGTCCCTTTAATATTCGCCAAGGGCTGAACGAAATTTTGGCTCCATTTCTGCTGCTTGAACCCGAAAATGACCTGAAGGTGCTGATAAAGTTTCATGGCTTCTTTTCGCGTTTCTGTTAAGGCTCTTCAGAATGATCCTTCCATGTCCATCTCCGCAGAGTGTAATGAGTGGGCTTGAAATTCAGAAGTTTCTGACCCCAACTAACATCCAACAAGAACAAGATAAGTCTTTCGTTGTGCTAGCTACGCTGCACGATCGATTTAATTCGGACAACACCACGGATTCCAGCAAGCAGCTGCCTGCTCTTCTAATGTCATGCTCCATTTTTTGCAGAGGGATTCACGCAGATGGAGAATGTTTTGGCAACCTTTGACTCCTTGATCCTTTATCACTTCCCCGACTTGCATCAAGAACTGGCGATAAACGACTTGGAGCCTGTGGTCTACGCAACGCCCTGGTTTGTCACGCTTTTCGCCTCGAAACTAGATGATCTGAGAGATGTGGTAATTTAAGAACCTGGTCGCTGCAAGAACTTCAGAATGAGTAAATACATGATTGAAGATAGAACGACGTACAACAAGTAGATACAATTGTCACCTATGTTATTCCTACTTAACAACTTGCTTCACTCATCAACACCTACTTCTTCTAGCTACTTATTCTACTGTATAATTTACTTTTTCGTACACGGACTACATGGTAAACTTTTGTCGTCAGGTAAGCCTGTGGAAATTGTACTGCATTCGCAACGACCCTGCATATGTGGCATTTATTGGGTTGGCCATGTTGAAACGAGCCAAAACCGAGATTCTTCGAACTGACATTTCTGCTTTGCCAGGATTGCTGGCGTCTCTAACGCCCCTTCCACTGGATGAAATTTGTGTCATAGCAGAGGAGCTCTACCAGCAAACGCCAGCGGTATTCACGACGCACATTCGGTACCAACTACCATGGCAGAGCGTGCTTCCTGAGGGAGATCCATTCTTATGAATGTTACGATTTTGATGAGTCTAGATGATAAGCTGACAAGAGGAAGAGTTTATCTGGTGATCGTGGTTGCGTGTATCACCGGCGGTCGTGTCCACAGGAACCTCCTCTTGCTGTGACGCTATTATAATATATATTTCGTCGGAACAGCAACAACTACAAATAGCAGCTCAGGTGTCTCTGATGAACTCCTACTAGTTCAGTGTCTCTAATGTTAGATCCGAGCTATTTTGTTGGTTGGGATGCTCAGAAAGCAGCAGAGGACGGCAACAACAGCGCGGCGGAAGATGCCGCCGATATGGCCAACTATAGCTACAATGGCGGCAGCGGATACACCGGCGGCCTCGCGGGATCATTTATTATGGCGAGTCGACTCATGCTCTTGCTCATTCACTACAGAAGTCTTATGCTTGCCCTTTTTACATTAGAGCATGGAGGATATCACGCTGGTCATAACCATGCTCTTCGTAATGGAAAATACAACTGCCATGACGATCATCTACTCGCCTCGTCCTATGGAGAGTCTGACGCGAGTGCTTTGTAGATTTCACCACTACTGACCCTGTCCTCTGCACCTTCTAATCTTTGCGGATCCTATACTAATGGTACCAGTTATGGCGGCGGAGGCTCCTCATCCTCGCTCTCGCTCAACACGGGCTTTGGCTATGGAGGGCATCATGCTTCAGTGGGTGTCGGAACTAGTCGGGTATCTTTTAGAAACGAGTTATTTCATTCACCAGCTCAATCTTTGAATTTTCTTTTTTTTCATCTCGCTCGCCTTGAAACTGATGCTAGAAGACCAAGATACCACACAAGAACCAACGGCTACAACACAGGCACAGCCTCTGTGATTAATAATACAACAGGTCGTCGGTCTGTCAGCTTCGGAGGTGTTGAGCATGCTCGGAAGTGGGAAAAAGCGCGTCTATGAACTGCAGATGATGTTGATCGATTCTAGGTCTTTGGCAGACTTCGAAGACAATGGACGACTACCTAGCGCACTGCATTGCGAGGACGCACATACCCTCCACAAGCTGTTTGCGTTGTCGGTAAACAACGAGGAAAGCGGCGGCTCCTCTTCGAGCACATCTCCTGCAGCCGCACGTAAAGGCTCACCGAGCGTCGCTGGCAGAACCATTTCAGGGACGAGTGCCAGCACAATAGCACCACCAAGTAGACTAGGTGGAGACGACCAGGCCGCTAGTACGACACCTCCGGCTCCTGGAGGTGGTGGTGAAGACAGTGGTCTCTCTGAAAGTGGCACATCACAAGTGGCAGCATCAGGGGAAGTTGTCTGCAGAAGTGCCACTTCATCGTCCTCTGTGGCAGCGAGTACTAGAACAATCAGGAAGACTGATCCTCCCGACCGAGGCCCGCTAGTGACGCGGAAAGTCCATCTCTGCCTTATATCAAAACGCATGGCCTACGAAAGCGCTTTCCGATACCAAATACCCTTTGTCAGTTATGTCAAAGGCGGCTACGCGGCGTTACACGACAAAGCTATTGAGAGTCGCATGGAAATGATCAACCACGACAAAGAAAAATGCTTTCACTGTGCACCGCCATGGAGACAGGTACTTCGACGAAATGCCTGATGATCTGTCAACATCGTACGTAGTTCACTTTCTCCTTCTGATCACGTGGAGGCTTTTTTAAAGTTCCCTTTGATGCTTGATCTTGATCATGGATCCGCAATATCCACTCTTCTTGTACGTCGATAGTATTCACGATTCTACCTCGTCCTCTACTACCTCGAACACAGCAAGCATTCACATGGAAAACGTGGCTGACTGAAAAAATCGGTGGACCCACAAACCCTGCAGGAAGATTCAATACGGAAGGAGACACAGTGCCATGGCCTATACGAAATCACGACGGTCATTGGAGATGTCGTTCCGGCGGCTGTCACTCTGCTGTGGTTACCACGAGAGACAATCTCCTTTATCTGGTACTTTGGTATCACGACGATCTGTTACTGACTTATCCTCTAGTAGTTGATGTTTGTCAAACAATTGTGCTTGCGGCACGGGCACCTCCACCTTCGCGAAAGATGACACAATATGGTAAAAGTAGAACAGGAAGCCTGCCCAGCATCTTCATCATGTTCTCAACATACAATGCTCTTGCATTCACCTCAGGTGGAGATCGATCCCGAAGGCCAGCGCGTCGGGGCCAATGTGCGTGTGATATCCAAATATCCGGTTTACATAATTTCCAAAATAACATCGAAAAAGAGCGCAAAGGAGCCCACTCGGTGCTTCTACTTCAAAGAAACGAATGCTGCCGATAGCGATATTCTGCTTATGTTGATGAGGTTTAAATGAGCTCGACGTCGTGTTCGTGAAAACGAGTGGTCGTTCTGGACTGAGTAAGATACTACAACTCAGCTTCAAAGCTTGTCATAGACATAGACGGCTGCAAGAATGATGAAGCCGGATCAAAATCTCAGCTTGCAGAAGTCTTTCTCAATTCAAACAGAAATTACGCAATCACTAGAAATAGTTAGCTCTCGTGGTCCTTCCCTCCATCCCCTTCCCCGAGCTCCTCCTGCTCCTTCCGCTTCATATGAGAACTTCAAGGTGGTAGCAGGAAACCTTACTTGGGCTTCGCGGTAACGTTTGAGAGCGAAGAGCTTGCGAAGGACTGCACATCGCGAGTCGGGGAAGCATGTCGTCGCGCTGTGGAGGAGCACTCTGATGGTGGAATCGCGTGAACGGAGGCTCAGAATTTTCCATCGTCGTGAATTCCTGAAAAGCCGCTTTTTCGTGATTAGATTATCAAACACAGTCAGAAAAACCGTGAGGTCGAGGTGGGCTATTGACGTGTTGTTTCCGAGTGACGCTTATTCATATTCTTCTCTTTTAAGTAGTTTATTGTGGACTCGATTTCTATATCAAAAAAAATCAACCTCCTGCAGAAGCAGAAGTCGTTTTGAAACCAGCGGCGGACGACGCACAGGTGCAGATAGTCTGACTGCTGCTGCTCACCGCTAAATATATTCTTGCTTCTTCATTTTTCATTTTTCTAGCTTTCATTCTGCTGCTTTTAGACTTAGTCATGATCTTATTTGACAAAGAATCTACCTCTAAATTTTTAGAGAACCTCGCGATTCGTGCTGGTTCAAGATTCTCGTTTCCTTTCTTTTGCTAATCCGTCGAGGAAGATTCTCGTACAATTACGAATCCTGCTACTCTTGGCCGTCGAGAAAGACTAAAATTATTTTTGCGAAATCCAGTAGAAATTCCTCAATATCGTCGCAGAATTTCGTCTTCTGTGGACGACTGGGGACAAGATAGATTTGAAGTGCCTGCGACACCCCCTTACAGCAACCGCGACCTTGGCTTGATTGAACGACAGCAGAAGGGCTAAGGCGAGCGCCATCTTCTTCTCAGCGCAGAGGTGAAAGTACAGATTGCTCAGGATGCGCGTGCTGCGGTAGTGATCTGTATTCTCCTGAAAAAACCAAGTATAAAAGCTACTCGTTGTTGACACGTATTGTCTTGTCTCACCAGTGAGTATAAAAGTCGGTTCCGCAGCATATTCTGAGAATCCAAAGTCTCATGTGTGAGAGAGCCATTAGCAGGAACAATATTTACTACTTTTAGTTTTAGCAAGGGAAGTCAGCAACGAGTGAAAACCGAGCGAAGAAAATTTACAGTACTATCTCCAGAATCTGTAGGATTGAAGTCTGCGAGAAAGTTCGGACAATTCGCTCTGTTACGTTGAAAAAAGCGAATACAATAACTATTGTTCTGGTTCATTGTCTGGTCTATTGTTCTGGTGGAAGATATATCCTCACCCCGTGGCGCCACTACCAGAGGAAACGAAATTGCGTCTCCTCTACTTCAGCCTTTGTCGTTTTTACTGCACGGAGTGTCCTCTGCACAACTGTCCATGACTTCTGATCTATCGATTTCTCAAAGTCAAAAATGTCAACAACATGTACTCATCGAAAGAACGCGAAGAGAGAGACTTATGTTTATGTTTACGTCGAATTTCTCTCGTAAGAAATGATTTGTTTCGAGTCTCTTGATTTAGTAGTTGTTCACCCACCTTGATGTAAAATGGACCTCCTCCTTTTTACCGTGCACTCTTCAACATCGGCGGATCCGGAACAGCAGCGGGATCCATTTTGTTTGCTGCCTTTCTCCAAGGGTTGGCGTTCCGACAAATGTTGCTCGTATCCGCAAACGCTTATTCTCGAATTGGATGCTGACGCATGCGTGAACGAAGTAAAAGTCATCTGCGCAGACGCTAACTTCGCGCCCTTCTCTGCCGATCTCTACGCAGCGAAACCGCTCTCTCCTCGACTGCAAATTGGCGGGTCATCGTCCTCAACATCTACTGCTTCCGCGCAGAGGACTAGAAACAGTACGAGGACTAGAACAGACTCAGGCGTACGCGCAGCGAGCGTTCATCTCGCGGCGTCGACCGGGAGTTCAGACTTGGAACAGCATGACACAGTTGCGCAATACCTCGAAAAAAAGTTCCGGTGGGAACACGTCGGCCAACTTGAAGCTGGTAAAGGCGCGACGACAGGCGGACATGAACAAGGAGCACCTGGAGAAAGTGCTGACACGACGCTCTTCCTCCGTCAGTACTGCATGCCCGATGGTGGGTACCTCAAGCTAGTGCTCTCTGCACCGAAGCACCTTCTCAAGGATGTTGAAGCAGGAGGTAGTGTTGTTAAGCCGCCAACATCAATGCTACAACATCAAGCTGTTGACGCAGCGGCAGCAAACCCGTATGGACGCATTTGCGTCACGCAGCTCGAAATGTGGGGGCAGGTATTCAAACCGAAGAGAAAAGCTAAAAAGGATGAAGCTCCCGCTGCAAATCGCCTAGGCCTGCCAGGAACTCGAACAAGCGTTTCCCCCGTCAATAAAGCGCGCAGCGCTCCAGGGACTACGGTGCTCACTCGGGTGACGCATCTACAACACGGAACGCTTCGTGTTCGCGATCCGCCGATCGAGCGAAGCGCAAGCGGGAATCAGGCTGTAGATGGCAACAACACTTCGACTTCGAGGAATAAACATCAAGACGAAGATAGGGGATTGGCATCACCAACAGAGAGAAATGAGTCTCGACTCTACGACTCACAAGAATTTTACAAATCGCGGCAATCGGTGCTAGAGACGACGTTCATGGAGCTAGGGCTACCATTAGAAGCAGTACCGGTAACCGCACGTCGGCCAGATAAGAACGACCTCGATTCCTACACCAGTGAGCTGGTTGAAGAACTGGTACTACAACTCCATAAATGTTCCAGGGCTTGGGGCTACGGTACCTTCCCCTTAGCGTAGGGGGGGTACCGGTAGCCCCGGACCCCTTTTGGAGGCGTCTGCCGGGAATGGAAGGCCTCAAAAGGGGGCCAAGTGACCTCCTCCGGTCCCTTCCAGGTGCTTGGCTGTCCCCTAGAGGCCTCCGACGTAGGTGGAAGGCCTCAAGAGGTGCCCAAGGGGCCGCCTCTGCTTCCTTTCCAGGTGCTTGGCTGTTCCTTACAGGCCTCCGATGTAGGTGGGAGGCTTCAAAAGAGGCCCAAGGGACCGCCTGCGCCCCCTTCCAGGTGCCTGCTTGTGCCCTGAGTGTCTCCGATAGGCTTCGCCGCCGCAGCAGTGCGCCGGTTATGGAAGGCCTCCGAAGGCGGCAAAAGGCGAGGGGCTGGACCCCCTTCGGGCGGCTTTTGACCCCGGAGACCTCCCGCCTGCGAGGGTCAGACAGCAGAGGCCAGGAGGTCCCTGAGGAACACGCAGAGAGGCGCAAGGGGCCGCCTGCGCCAAGTTTTGACGCCTTCCACCACTAGAATCCGCGAAAATCAGCGCGGAAAAGCGCGCGCGCCACCACAGACCCGACCACAGGGAGGGGCGCCGTGCAGCCCTACAGCATATTTATGATATATGATGTGTATGGAGGCGGCGCCTTATCTATGTATTTCGCTTTGAGTATCATTCACGACGAAACAAAAAATCATCCGACAACTAGACTAGTAGAAGTAGAAGATGGATCAGCATCACGTCAACTACAACTCTCTTTTTGTTAATTTCTAGGTCTCTCTCCAACGCGAAGCTTTTCAAGGAAATCGTCCTGGGCGTGTGCAGGCCCTGCAGCAGCGCATCGACGACGCAGTCCTTCTAGGACGTAAGATCCTTGAACTAGAGACCGACCGCGATGCTTTGGCCGCTGTCGGTTGCCTCTCTAGAGCGCAAGCCAAGGAGCAGCACGCTGCATCCCTAAAACGGCAGGTCCTCGAGATCGGAGCGAGCGAAGACACGGTATGGTGGGAGAAGCAGATGGTAATGCCGCGATGTCCTGCGGACGAGGAGTTCTGGCGTGTCGATTTCGAGACGCGTATCCGGCAATTGCAGATGGTCGTCTCGGACGAACGCGCGGCGCGCTCGCGTGTGAACACTATGCTAGATGACGCGGAAAAGAAGTTGGCAGCCTTGCGTCGCGACTATGAGACGATGGAGGATGATGACGAAGCGAAGACAGTGCAGATTGAGCGGCTTGAGGAGGAGCTCTCACAAGCGCGAGAGGAACGCGAGATCATTTTCTTACGTGAGAAGCGTGAAGAGGAATTGAGAAGACAAAAAAGAGAAGAAGAAAGGCTGAACTACGATGAGCACGGGAACAAGTTACCAACGCTGTCGCATCTCGCAGGTAGTCCAGTTGTCCCGCCTATATTTGCTGGAACTTTCGGAAAAGACGGACAAGACTTGCGGGGCGACGGTATCTCGGTGTCCTCAGGAACGCCCCCGCTGCCTGAACGGCACAAGAAGAAGAAAAAGAAGCGCAAAAGACTACGCAGCGGTGATCGTCGTGACGACTACGGCTCATCAAGCCCGTCACCGGAAGGGACTCGTAGAGGACATCGCCGGCGGCACAAGCGACGCAGCTCTGGCTCTTCCAGAGGGAACGAAAACAGCACAGGTAGGAGTGCTCACGACGATCAGCACTACAGAGATGAAGAGGGTGCCATCTCTGGGTCTGGTGAGGACCCGGACTCGTCCAGAAGGCGGCGGAAAAAAGAGAAGAAACGAAGGCATCGCTCAAAACATCATGAAGATGCAGCTGGAGAGGAAGACGAAGAAGGCGATAGACATGCACAATCCGGACGTTGCACACGTTCAATCTGCAGCGCAACGCCGCCATCAGAACGCGAACGGAGAAAGGAAGAGAGGACAGCGAAAAACAAGCACAAACGGAAGAAAACATCTGTTTACTCAACTACTGAAGGAGAGCAAGAGGAGGGCATAGAAGATAAGTATGATGAGCGTGGAGATGCTGACTCGTCCTCATCGAAGAAAAGATCTGCAAAAACATCTTCTCGTGGAGATGAAGGAGGGCAAGGCGACGATACAGGCACACCTGGAAGCGGAACCGCAGCGAGCATCTTCACGAACATTATCCGTGCGAAAACAGAGGAGGAATTCGAAAAGCAGCAGGAGTTGCAGAAAGAGCGTGCTGCGGACTCACAGGCGCAGCAAGCGCGAGATTGTCGGAGGGAGATCATGCGCGAATACAAAGCAAGCAGCGCAGAAGACCTTCTGGAGGCGATGCCATTAGCCGAACTCTCAGAATCTGACTTACTTGAAATTCTCACAGCCGACGAAATTCTGCGCACCAAAATTATCGAAAAATACACAGTAGACGACTCGTCAAATGTTGCTGCTAGAGACTCTTCGGGAGACGACGACGAGGACGAAGGTCACAACAGTGGCAGAAACACAGGGCGTAGTCGGGCCAGCAGCGAAGTCGTGCGTGGCGCAGAAAACAAGGCGCCGAATGAAGAAAAACAAGGTGGCTCTGCTGTCGCAGTAAATGATCGGACTCTACTTCAGGAGAAAGAGGAAAGGGATAAGAAGCGCTTAGCCAAGTGGCTTTCGCACGACGACCCTCTTCGTGAGTCGGGCGATGAAAAATGCAAGTCCGTTTTGGAACTAGCACGACGTCGTCTTGATAGGTTGCGCTCGTGGGTAAATCCGGATAAGCAAGTGAATCCGGTCTTTGAACCTCACTTTCCCACATTGACGCTAAAGGAACTGGCAGCACAGCGGAAGAAGCTGCAACGAAAGCGGTGTCTGGAGCTGGTGAAGAACAAATTTCGCCGAGCAGTCCGAAAATGTAAGGATGATCTTCCAGAAGTACTGACTCAGTTTTCGCATGAAGACGTGCTTCAGAACCTAACAGCCGGTCAAGTCCTCGACGCAGGAGTCTACGACATTGCGCTGCGACGAGACAAAGACCTCTTTTTCGACAACGATGAAGACGCAGGTGAAAAAAGCGTCAACAAAAATGATGAAGATGAGAAAGGCGGTGGCGGTAAAACACCACCGCCTCCCACTCCGCCAGACGAGAACTCTGCTTCCGTCCGTGAGGATGCACTGCGACAGGCTTTCTTACAAGAGGATCCGCTGTGTTCCAATTCCTCACAGCAGCCTTCCTCTGCTGACGACGGCGAGGTTGAGGCCGCGCTCTCATTAGAGGAAGTCGGGAGGCGCAGACAGCAGGCGGTTGCCAACATGTTGAACCCTGGTAACGTCGATTACCGCGATGGCGATCGAGATTTAACGATTCCACGCCTCGTATGGGAACGCCGTAAGCGGCGAATAGAGCGGAAACGCAAACTTGCGGAAGCTGAAGCAGCCAAAATTCTGGAGGGCGCTGGAGGAGGCGTCGAGGGTGGAGAGCAACAAGAAGATGGCACCTCCTCGAAAAACCTTAATAGCGGCACCCCTAAAAGAAGTGATGGTGGACTTCGTCAGCGTACGAAAAGCGTGACATTGGATCTAGATGCTATCAGTGCAGGTGAGGACGACGCATTGACGCTAGTGTCCCCGATGTCAGCTGCACTCTTTAAGGAAAGCGCAGTTCAAGCAACACAAGACACTAATCCAAGGTCTGCACATACATCAGACGGAGGAGTGGTTCCACCAGGAACGCCGAACAACAGAGGTGAGAGGATCTACCTAGTGGGCCCGATAATTGTGATGGTGTTTCTTAAGATGATTTTACCAGTCATCTCCTTCGAAAACCTTTGAATGCTTCATTACTTACTTTCTTCTTGTTGCTCAATGCTATTTCCTTTCTCACAACCTCCTACTGACTAGGTCCAAATAAGGCAGTCACACCTCGTTCGCCGGAAGAGGTGCCGCTGAGGTCCCCTGAGATGCAGAGCCAGCCTCTGGTCGATGACGGCCCCTCGTGGCTCGACGAATTTTTCCTCGCCCAGTTACGAATAGATGACGAGCAGGATGGTTCTCCTAGTGCCAGTCGTAGCAAAAACGAAGAGTTTCCCCCAACATCTTCCACTAGCAAGAAGTACGCGGATCTCGATCCCGAGCCACTCCTTCAACCTAGCGACTTCCGCAGTGCAGTTAGCGATCAGCTAGCTGCAAGTGCTACCGTGACACCGCGTGCAAGCAGAGCATTGGCTACCGCTGAGCCGATCTTTGGTCGATTCTTCTGCCGTGCCGCCTCTCACCGAGACTGGCGGTGGCAGGAGTTCGCTATGGCGGCTCTAGCTGGAAATTTGGAATACTTGGTGGACAAGCTGTTGGCAGAGGGTTCCCCAGGCTATGGCCCCTGTGACCCGGACGCAGCACTGTCACCTCGCGCCGGCGGTTCCACGTCCTACAACATGCTCACCGCTTCGACGCGTTACATGACGAATACCCCGACCTTGGTCGGGCGAGCGTCCTCAGGTGGCGCGGAAGATGGTGCAAACTTAATTCGGGAAGGAGACTCGCGCTTTGTACGCGGCCCAGACGGGAGCACCTCTAAACCCGCTAACCATCTACTCACTGCAACGGCGGCTTCAACAGTGCCAATGTCCGAGACCGCAGGATCGCCTGGTGGTTGGGTTGCTGGAGCGGACGGTAAAAAGCAGCCCATCACGCTCACGAAAATCTTCCGTTGTCTCTGCGAATTGGCGCTTTCAGCTGTCGATACGGAAAATCCAAAGAGACGGAAGGTAGAGCTAGAGATGAGTATAATCTACAATATGATTGATATCTTCATCTCCGCAGTAAAAAAGGCAGGGGGATTTTCATCTTGTTCTTGAAGCACGTCGCAATCCATCAATTGGCTTCTCCGTTTACTGACAAAGACGAAACTATCCATTTACATCAACAGGTGGACGCCGTGGCTTTCATCTGTCGCTCCTAAAAAATCAACTGCGACCTATGATTCTACACTTATCTCGATCTCCACGACTAGGTACCGTTACAAATTAGCGCTGTGCAGTTGCTAGAGAAAGTTGTTACCGCTAAATTTGTGGACGAATTGCCCGTTAGGATGGCTCTCGCTTGTGTCAAACGGCCATCAGCTGCGCTTATCGCTCATCTCCTGGGAGATGCAAATAACCGACTACATCACGTGACAGAAGCTTGCCTCGCTTCAATCATAACACAATTGGGCCCGACACCGGTATCATCTTATAATGTTTTGTTTCAGCTTTCATTGTGAGCATGAACTACTAAGTACTTGCTGCTGCTATGAGCTAATTCGCGAACTACGTGGAAAGACCCTACAACCTTTCCAGTCTTATCCCGTCCTCTTGACTCAATCATTCACCAGGTAATGGCTGCTCTCACTTCGCATCCCGATGGAGGACTATCACCAAAAAAGAAGGTCACTCCACGTTTAGTCCACTTGCCGTGGCGCGCATTAGAGGCGCGTCTTGAACTCACGCACACCCTGATCTCTATATGTGGCCCTCCCAGTCTGGATGCATCGAGAAGCTACTCTGTTGCAATGCTCATGCCGGTACTGTTACTGCCACTAAAGACTAGTTGTAGAAGATACAGATACTCTTCACATTTTGAAAATCCACTGACAACAACTCCTTGTGCTGTACCTGTAGTCTTCTTGATTTTGCCCGGGGGTACCACCACAGGATGCTGTGCCCATAAGACACATACTCTGTCATCTTCGTCTATTCTTCATGTGCACGTGAAAGTGACTTCTATCTAAGTGGTTTGCCGTTGCCCCACCACACCAAACACCACACATCTATTATTGTTTCTAGGTCTCATTCGCCTATTCATTGCCTTGCCACCGTGCTGCTTTGGCTCTTCTATCTCCTAGTGCTCTGCACAGAGGCTACACCCGCTTCTCCGGTTTCCACTAATCCTAATGCTCATTTGACCAACAACATGTGAATGCTCTTGTTGTTTTCGTTCATCTCGTCCTCTGCGTCTCCCCAAATTGCGAAGGCCCCTCTCATTTCCCCTAACGCGACTTCGCGGTAGCCTATTTCTGCTGGTACCACCTCCGGTTCCAACTAAACTGCTCCAAAAGCAAGGCCTACTACTTTATGTTGTAGTACTTTCTGAATCTGAGGCCTAACAGTGACAGCTGCTGCCTGCGTCGTGCTTGCTGGTGCGTCTACTTCCTACTTGGATGTCAGCCCTGCGACCATGCTCCATCGATGTTGTGCACGCTCCAGCAGTCTCTAGAGATTCCTAATCAGAGATATACAAGATATATGATGGAATTTCGAAAGAAAAAGCGTAAATAAGAGTCGAAGTTCTGATCCGTTATTCGGTGCACATTATACTGTTGCTTGTTGCATGCTTGCCACAAGACAGAGCATCTTTGTTTTGCATGAACAAGTAAAACGTTGGTCAACCTGATTAAATCAACATAAAATTCTATTTTTTTTAGTTTTTTATTTTTTCAAAAAAATACTTGGTGAAAAACCATGTGTGCTGATCTTTCTGATTGACTTCAGACTACTGAATTAGGGTGTAATGATGCCATATCTGCTCATATGTGATTTAATTTAAAAAAAATACATAAAATCAAAAATTTATGGATTTTGTACTTTAGAGCAAATTCAAACTCACCAAAGTCGCGGCTTATACTTTTTTTGGGGTTTGAGCAGGCACGACCGTGACGAAATTAAAAGGATTAAAGTCACTATCGCTCATGATTTTGTATCAGCATGAAAAATATTTTACTTCTAGACTGAAACATCGCAGATATACTGATAATCCATGTGAAATCGTCAAAGATGATTTCAAAGGTTTCCCCAGGAATTTAATTTCAATCAAATGGAATAAAATCAAAATTTTTGTGTTTTGACAGAAAATACGTGAATTTAGATAATTTGTTCATAATAATCAAATTATGGAGTTGGAGGTGTAACGTAGGCCAGCCAAATAAGTATGATAAGTCATGTTGCTGCACAATATTTATATCAAATTGTGCTGAGCTTTTACTACAATGGTTTGGAACGTGCATTCACATCGTGCAGTATAACATCATACCACTTCGTAGGTCGTCGTGACTGGGTTACAGCACCAAATGTGGGATGTGCGCCACCTTGCTATCGAGGTATGCACGTTGCTCTTCCAGAGTGTGGGTTTGAAATTGCTACCGTTTCTCAAGGAGGTTCCACCGAATTTGATCGAGAGTTTAAATGCGCGCTTCTCGGAAGTTGACCCGGGAAACTACGGTGATGAAACGGAATTTTCGAATGCGTTAACGCAGGCGCGCGAGCAGGTGGAAAGTGTGAACTCGCCAAGAAGTGCACAGCAGTTGGCGTTGTTGTTATGAGAAACATATGATGTGAGTTCGCCAGGCAAACGGGACCTTCTTAATTGCGTCACAACTAAGCACATGGAAGTAGACTTCTCCGTTGTAATTACCTCTACATCGATCACGTCGACGCTTTGCTTCTAATTCCAAGTTCTACCGCAACCAGCAATCGCACCGCCTACAAGCGCGGGAAGCAGCCGCGAAGGACACGTGACGAGCAGCGTCATGCAACTGAGAATCTTCATCGCGGCGGACGATCGTCTCCTGGTGGTCGCCGAAACTCGCCCAGAACTTCCGAGTCTCCAGGGGTCCGGTCTCCCGGTGGTGGTGGCAGCGTGACTATTCACAGCATGATGCGCAGTACGAGCAGTACCGCCGCAGGCGGTCCAGGCGGCGGAAGCATGGCGACGGGCATAAATGGAAATGCTCAACAAGATCACTCGCATTCGCCGGTGGAACGCGTTGGAACTGCAGCATCGACAAAAAGGCGTCGATCCAGACAAGAACGAGCGCGCAGTCGATCGCCACCCGAACGAAGCTCGACCAGAAGTCATGGGACTACGACTCGCAGTCCGCGCCCTTCGGTCGATCCACCGCCTATCGTCGAACGGCCGGCCAGCCACTCTTACGTAGACTATCAACAAGCGTACGAAGATCGGCTGTCGCGCGCATTTAGTAACAAAAACGCACCCATCAAATGAACCTGGTAGCTGCTGCAAAAACGATCATATTGTTATTGGATAAACGCTGCTGTGCAGAAGTTTCAGTTCAGCTTTGCTGGAATACATTTGTAGTCTCCTCTACGTTCCGAATCGTCTCTCCATCCATTCGGAGTTATAGTGTTAACGCAACAGCTGGTATTTGTCTTAGTAAGCATAGTCTTTTTTGATGTTGAATAAAATGTAACCTACAAATTCGGTGCAAGTCCAAGTTTATTTTTACCTTTGTGATAACCATAACGAACTTCTAGTATAGGTATTGGTGGAACATTAGCCGTGCTAGCTGCTTTGGAACTCGTCCGGTACAAAAGCTGCAGAAGGTAAATTTTGCCGCGATAGTGCTAAAGCTACTACATAAGTCGCTAAGGGTAACTTTTACAATGAAGATGCTAAGGATAAGGAAAGTCAAATTTCCAAGAGTAACAATATTGATGGCTTTCATGATTATCATCATCCTTAAACTGAATAAGAACGAAAGATGTATAACGAAGATATTTCCATAGGGCAACATCTTTTTCTGTGTGGTGGTTGGAGATGAGTCTCTTTCTGTTTTGCCGCAAGTAGCATGGATCGGACGTATTCTGGACAAGGGACGATGTGGTGACTCATCTGTGCTTGATGCAAGTAGAAAGATAGAAGAAGCAAAAACTGCCCAGTCTCTCGGTTCTTCTTTGTTTGTGTTCAAGAACCCTGTTTCGGTTGTAGCAATCTAACATAGAGGGAATTGTTTGCTAGAAGTCGGTGGTCACAAAAAAGCAGATATTGAATTTGCCATCGTCATGAAATATTTTTTGGTCGTAAAACTTTTTAAACACTGGCTCATGATTGAGAAAAAATGTGCCCGAGAGACCAAAATCATTGAGTTTTTCTCCTCAACAGAGCTCAAAGTAGATAGTGATTAGACGGTGAGAGCAAGAGTTTTCTGGTGAGTTTTTTCGACGTCAAATTGATCTAAACATAAATTGATACAAGTATTTTCATGTTGATCAACACCTTACTATCCTCTTTCAACCTCCATTCTCTCACGGATTTTTCTTTAATTTTACTTTCAGAGCAAACGCATCTTAGATGACGAGTTTCTTACCCTCTCCCACTTGAGGGAGGCCCCTCCTCAAGGTCCATCCTACCCTTTGTTCAATCCGGTACCTACTCAACTGGTCTGGTGTATTGCAACATCTGAAGACGCGACTAGTTCTGGTTTTTGGAGGGCGGTCTGCGGTGCTGAGCTAAGTCCTGGCTTACCGTCGAGTTGTTTGCGAAAGCGTGTTGAACAGAAGCGGGTCGTGGCTCACAACAAATCGACAGTAGTCGACTTCCTAAACTTGAAAAGTCGTCGAAAAGTGAAGGCCGTCGTTGGGCGCGATTCAACGACGTGCAGCCTCTGCGATTACCCGGACGAATAGATGCGCTAACGCGTCGAACGGCAGTAACTCGCATTTCCACTTCGTGCGTTTTTAGCGAATAGCTTGTGACACAGCCTTGTGGGGGCGGGTGTAGGCATACTACTGAAAGCAGCGACGTTCGAACCGAAAAATCAGCGAGCTCCGGGGACGAAGTACGAGAAGAACAAGCTAGAAGACGAGCACCTTCAACTACAACGACTCCCGGGGGAAAAAATAGACTTGTATAACAGCGACTGAGGAAAGGGAAAGCGAGATAACATCGATACTCCAAACAAGATCCCTTGTGCGCGTTGCAGAGATCATCATCCACAGCTACAAAGAGTACGTGAGGGTGAGCAGCACGGGCCGAATCTGGTGTGTCTCCTGTCCTCTTCTTTTGAACAAGCAAAAGCGGGGAAGACTCCACCACGAAAATGGATCTCGCGCCACCACCTCCGGGAGCTGACGATGTCGGGCTGCAGCGTATGCACCAACGCATATCCCAAGAAAGTACCGAGAAGGAAGCATACAAGATGGACGCCGCTCAGCTGAGAAGAATAGTCGAGTTACACATAAGGCAGCTCGGTACTTTATCTTAGTGATAAATACAGCTCCTTGTGTTGTTTCTGTTACCTTCAATCTTCGATAACTACAAAGAATGAGAATCAACGATAATCGAATTTTTTGTTCCTTACATATTGTTCCTTATGCTTTCCCTTACTTGTAAGTACTCCTGCTCAACTACAGGCGCCTTGGTCCAGACCCCGTGGACCGCCGACAGCTATCATCGACTAAAGAACAGCGTTAAGACATTTGATCAGGAGATCAAGCAGAGGTGTGCGCTGACAGAAGCTGAGTTGCGGTCGGTGAAGAATGGCGATGTCGGCAAAGAGGCGCACCAGCGCGGCTATGAGGTGCTGAGACAAAGCCTCATGGAGGCGCAAAAGAGATGCCAGAGTTACAACGAAAATATGTTGCGAGTGGCGCACGCAAATGACGAACTTGCAGGGACACTGAATACGGTACCCTGATGAAACTCCCTAGGTAATGATCACAATCTAGTATTGGTGACTGCTCCTCTGAGTCTGATGTGAGTAGAAATACCAATAAGAATGCATCACCAGCATCGTGCTATTGTTTTCTAGTACTAATTCTGATTCATCGATCGTCATCGTCTAGCTTCTAGGATATCATGTCTTTCCGTCATCATCATGATTTATTTCAGGTGAAAAACACCAACAAGCGGTTAGTGGACCAGCTTCAGTACCAACAGGACGAGGTGTCACAGCTGGTAAATCAAAGGCTTCTCGATGAGGAAAAATTAGAGCAGATGAAAAATCAATTCGAGAAGGAGCAAGAGTCGTGGAGGACCGAAATCGGGACGAAGCTAGACGACCTGTCTCGGTTGCAGGAGGAAAAGTTTTCGCACATGAAGCAGCAACTCACGAGCCAGCTGGGATACTGCGTTAACAGGTAATAATACCTTGTGGACGCTTTTGATTTCACGACCAGGTTTATCTACTTAGATCCTCTAGCGTCCCTTTCGTACCTGCGTCACGAATTTAGATGTGCTCCTGAATAAAAATCAACACCAAGAAAGGTTGAAGCAGCACAGTGCTGATGCAGTTGGTCTCAAAGGAGTGCAAGAGGAGGTGAAAGAAGACATGAAAACGATGAGCGATCATGTAAGTCAGGATCTGCGGAAGGCAATGCGTGTATTCGCGGATCAACTGCACAACCTTGCGACTCGGCGGACAGAAGAAATCACTAAACTCAACGATATGTTGCACAAAGTGACGATTGAGTTGCAGGCGAAGAAGGAGCTCCGAGAAAAAGACGCAGATCACTGGAGCCAGAAATATAACCTTCTTGTTAGGGAGAAGGACGACCTAACGAAGCGAATGGACGACGACATCATGCGCGTACAAGTCGAGATTTCCGAACTAGACAAGCAGCGAGGGGTGAACCGAGAAGACTTCGAGGAGCAACGGAGGGTAATGCATGCAGAAGCCGAGGAACTAGAGCGAAAGAAAGCTTCGCTGACGGGGATGATCGAGACTGCTCGTAGGCATTGCGTCCAACTGGACGCGGCAAACGCGAGACTTGAGGAAGACAGGCAATCTCTCCTCGAAAACGAGAAGCAGCTCCGTAACGACATACGGGAATCTGACCAAGCACTAGCAGACGCGGTGGCCGGAAACGAACGGTATTATTATGAACCTCGTTTATCTTTAGATCCGTTTTTGAATTTTCTTTCTCATTTCGTGGATCCTATGTTCGTTTTCGCTGTTCTTCTATTCTGGCATCATACGGAGAATAAAAATATTATTCGTGACTGCGTTCATCAAGAACAACAAGACAGACTTCGGGAGCAGATGGAGGATACGCGAGTCCAGGCGCAACAGCAAAACGAAAAAGATCAGCAGTCTATGAAAGACTCCTTCGAGCAGAAGATTCGAGACCAAAAGCAGCTTCACGAGCAAAATGTTGCCTACATGGAGCAGCAGGTAACGTTAGCTGTTAAGGTGGACAATTATCCTGCAATCTATCCAGTAGATTATGGTGTTGCGTTATCTTTATAACTTTATCAGAAACAGAGTCAGAAAGGACGAGGCACTACATGTAGTTGACTAAAAAGGCACATCATGGGGAGCATCCCATCACGAATGAAAATTTTGTCGAAAATTCAGGTGCGCAATCTCGAAAGCAATGTTGCTGTGCGGTATGGAGATGTCGACGAGGCAAGACACGCATGCGACAAACTTCAGGTTGAGAGCACAAATATGCAACGCGACCTTGCATATTGGCAATCGCAGCACGAGTTGGCTTCGACCGACCTTAAGACGCTTGAAGGTACTTGAACTTGTTGAGTTGTACTTGTTAATGTTATTGACGAGGATTATTAAGAAAGACTTAACAGATCGGACTGCAAGAGACGATGCTTCGTGAAGGGACTGGCTGCAAGTGCTCGTGGCTCTCCCTACGATTGTTTTACTAGAAACAAGTAGATGTTGTTTACAGCTAGTAGCACGTCGAACATCACGTTTTACTAGTATCTCTTCATCTACTACTCGCAGAGCCTCGTCCATCTTTTCACTTCATAACTCTTTAGGCGAGTGCAAGGAGGCGAAGAGCTTGTGGGAGAAAGAGAAGCTGGCAGCTGAGGAGCACATGAACGACCTGATACAAAAGAGGCAGAACTTGGAGATCGCTATGAAAAGACAGCAAGAGAGCTACGATGAATTTCTGGCATCCTCGAAGGGGAATCTTAGGGAACGAAAGAAATACATGGACGAGCTCGGACAGAAAACGCGAGACGCCGAAAATGACTTTCTCAAAACGAAAGAGGATCTCAAGTACAGGATCTTGAAATTGAGGATTTAGACAAAGTGAGAGACAAATTGAAGAGTAGCACTTACTTCCATCGTAGCACAATATGACCTTAACCATAAGACGACGATTAACCGTGGGACAACAAGCACTTAATAACTACATCGATGTACGTGTACAGCCTGCTCCTTTTTTTTTTTGAGCCAAAGTAAAAGTTAAAAAGTAAAAATAATTAACAATCAAAACAACTCAGGACTGGCACCAACGATTTGGCACGAATTAAGAGAGAAGAGGCGAACCTCATTGCAAGGCAACTGGAGACGCAGCACGAACTGGAGAAAGCCTATCAGAATACTGTGCGATTAGCCGAGGACGAGCGTGCGAGTTACGAGAATACCCTTCTGCAAGAAAGAAGGGATGCCCAACAACTCTACGAGAACTTTCAGAGGGTATTATTACTTGCGCTGTTTTCCTACTAAATCATTCGTTTGGTAGATGGAAATACAGATCATGTTACTTTTTTCCGCTTGCTCCTTACTTTGTGGGCATCGGCATTCAACAGTGGCTGAAGATTAATTGAGAGGTAGAGCCAATGCTTATTCTCATGCGTCCAACAGGTTCGAGAGGAGCAAGCTCTTACATTCCAAAAGTGGGCTGAGGCGCCGAATCAAAAAATATCCACGCTCGAACGCGAAATCCTTGAGCTACAGGACAGGGCGAAGATCGAAATTAGCACACTGCAGGCAAGCGTGAAGAGCTCAGCGAAGCAGGTAACTAAAAATTAATAGGAGGACAATTAGAAGGTTAATATGTCAATTTTGTGCTCTTCATCCACATCCAGAATGAATCGGTCTGATCGTATCCGAAGATCATGTAGATCATGTTTTTTTTTCGGTGTTGGTTTAGTTGTAGGCATATACCCATATGAAGAAAACGACCGCACCAACGCGGACTCCTCATCTGCGTCAATGTCAAAGGTAGAGTCATTCGAAGCAGAGGTTGCACGGCTTCAGGAGCTCCAGGCTGAATCACAGCAAGCCTGTGAGAAGGAAAAGACAGCACTGAAGGAGAGAAAAGAAGCCCATTTGGACGCAAGACAGCGCTTCGAAGATGACAGGAAGAGTGCGAAGACCCTCATTGCCGACGCAGAAGCGCAATATCAGCACGCTTTGAAGCAATTGCAGGACAACAACAGGAAATCCGATGCAGAGAAGAAAAAACTGCAGATGTTAAGATGAAACTGAAGTAGTACTTACTAGATGAGAAAACGAAGACGCTTCTAGCCAGCATACAGGTATGCACCAGTACTTGTAGAACTTCTATTACGAGAGTATGTCTCCTCCTGCTTGTTGTAGAAACTGGGGTTCCATACGATGCCAAACACGTGCTCCTCATAATCATAGAATGAAACAGGCCTGATGAATTTAAGCTTTAAGAAGTGAGATGGAAGATACGCGTACGAATTTGGCCCGGAGACTAGGAGAAACTGAACGAATTACGAATCGCTTAATGACGGAATACGAATCCCACTTGAGCGCTTTAGATGTCAAGTTCAAATGCGAGGCTGAACGCAGCAAGCAGAGGTATTTTTTTCTGATTTTTGCTGAACCAACTGGACGAAAACTTTTCCAGGGGTGGTTGTAGTAAAAACTGTGGACAAGAATGAGTTCCCCTGTACGGTATCTATTGATGTCTTCAACAGTACTTTCATTCTGAACTTCATGAAATTAAAATTATGAGCAATCTGTATCTGCCAGGCTCGATACAATGGTACGGGAGAACGAGCACCTCCGACATGTCGTCGGGGAGACACAGCGGTATGGCTCGGCGCCGGGTCCATCGGATTCCGGAGGCGATCTGGGTGCGCACTTGAATCGCATGCAAGCCCGCACGAACGAACTGCGCTCAGAACTCCGGCGCTACGGGAACTAGAATTCGGATCTATAGCTGAGACCAGCTGCGCGTGTTTTTTCATCCGATGCTGAAATTATGTAAGAATTCTGACTCGTCTTTCTTCAACACAAATTTTATCCTGACTGATAACGCGAACGATGTTGCAATATTAATGTTTATAATGGAGTGATAAAAAAACAAGTTGCTTGTCTACGAATATTGAAGCGGGCGAAAGGTTTAAGCAAAAGTGCACGGGGGGCACGCTCATCATTTTCCGTACTTGAAAGAGTGAGACGGAAAAAGCTCGTCTCCTTACCAGTGCAGGCCTCACTTCTCAAGCGTAGCTTCTTGTCAGAAGCAGAGCGACAAAAGGGTACCGCGAGTACTAGTTAGCGCACTTTTTAATTCGATCACAAGAACAAAGTTATAAATAAGTTTTGATTATCAATCAAGTGTCCAGAACATTGATTAAGTAATGAGTTTCAGCGCCGCAACGAGTACCGCGAGATCAACAGCTGGCAGGTCAAATTTCAGGGTTTTATTCTACTACTGACTACAACTTGCTCTACCTGGAGTTGTTTAATTGATGAAGAGTTGATCACGTTTACGACCACAGGGACGCGCGACAAGAATGGCGAACACAAACGGGACAGAAAATAGTAAGGGAATTCATACAATAGCGACTCTATAATATGTTTAAAACGTGTTACGGTTACACTTCTACATTCTTTATTCATGTACAGAAAAAGTTGCATTGTACTTATTTCCAGACTGCATCGCGGAGCCACTATGCCTTTTCCGGTGAGTTTCCGCGACGCACGTCTAGCAAGATTGGTAAGAGGTAGATGAAGATCTAGATGATCTAGATCTCTCAACATGCAGCACGAAAAGATTGCTTGGGGTAAATCTATATTTTTATGTCGTATAACTATAATTTTTTAGTCATCTCAGTCATGGGCCTAAGTACTTGGGCATTATTTGTAGTTAATTTCCATGTTATAACGATGGCCCTTGGCGTGTCCCTGTGCGTCTAAACATGACAGAAATATTTTCGTGGAAACATGATCAGTTTCGCTTTCGTTTTGGCACTGGCCCGATAGCAAAAGCGCGATGGCGATGAGCGTGGAACGCAAATGTCTCTCTTATCGTGATTTTCGATTTATCTCTGTGTGTGTATTGAGGACGCAGATAAGTGCTCGAGACATCAAATTTAGAGAGGAGAGGAGAAGAGAGAGACTGGCAGAGGCTGTGCGGGCTCTAAACAAATCGAGAGTGGAACGACGGTCGGTTAGCATTTTCGAGGGGTCCGTCGTTGACAAAAACTGGTGAAAAGCGTCAACATCGTGATTGGAAATCGTTACTCGCAAGGAAAAGCGCAAGAAAACAAGCTACAGCTCGACGTAGCTGCTCGTCGTATGAAAGTAGGATTAGCTGCACTTCTTGACTCACCCTGTCTCTTTACTACCTAATATAAAGAAGCACACAACAACTAGCAGAGCGAGTAAGTGGTTCAGATTTAGGCAGAAACAAAAACGTAGTTGTCCTTTTCCCGAGGCGGTCGTAAGGATGACGGATCACGAGAAGAAATATCTGAAGGCGGTAATAAAAAACCAGGAGATGCCCGTCAACATGATTGAGGATATAATGCAGGAGAGCGTCAAAATTATGCAGGAGTATTTAAATTTATTTGTGATATTAGTACTGATCGTGTTATGTCAACAAGGTCAAGTGGCACAGGGTCTTAGTCTTAGCGTCTATTTGATCCTTGATGCTGATCTGAAGTTCACAGAAGATACAAATTTAGGTAGATAGACGACCAACACGCAGATTACAATGACACTTTCCGATAATTACGGATCAGGTGCAGGACAGAGCGAGACATAGCAGATCGGCTAAAGAAGCACTGTGATGACGCATACACACCATCATGGAACGTCATTGTTGGGAAGACATTCGGCTCGTACATAACGCACGAGACGAAAAGGTATCTGTTAGAGTTAGTACTGTACACCTTAACAGCTTCAACTTCAACATCAGAGAAATTCGAAGAACGCCGAAGAGACTCAGGGAAGTCGTAGGTCCAGTCCGAACCGACTAACGTCATCAGCACTGTTCACATCTACTGTACTCTAAAAGATGCAACTTGCATGATGCTGATTGTTACATTTTTACGATGATCATAGAGAGCAATTATGTGATTCATGTTTATTATCCTCAAAACCCACCTAAAAAAGGTACATTCAGTTCAACATCGCGCACATGAGTTTTCTTGTGTGGAAATGCGGTTAGATAGTGGAGGTTGGCGAGAACTACAGTTCTTAGGGATTCCGGTCGTCGTGGAGGGGAGGCCGACTGCATGATACGAAATTAAAAGTACAACGTGAACGTGCAACAAATTCATTCCGTCGAACAATTCATTTTGCTCTATAAACTTGATACACGTGGTGAACACCTCCAATTTGCTTTTAATTTTTCTCCGTGATATACTTTGAACCCGCGAACAACTGTCGAAAACTACTGGACGCGAAGATCAGGGATAAGAGAATCTCAAAAGGCAGATAAGATTTCCTTGCATCCGTATGAGCTTTATTCTCTCCCATAGATGAAGCACGCTTTTGCATTGTAACCTCACTATTTCCACCCCATCATAACAAGAACCTCCAGCACGATCCGCCTTTATCGACCTCGGAATAAAAATAAATGGGAGCACGTGCCGGAAGCTCCCCTGCGAACAATAAATGTTCCCAATCTATAGTGTAAGAAGAAGCAGGTGCAGGTAATCGTAATCCACAGCCAATAATTCATCGGTCCATTCATGCTCGACGTCATTCATCTCTCTGCATCGCAGAAAATTAGACGTCGAATCGTCGTCGCTGCTTGTATATCTGTCAACTCGCACGATCGTCGATGACTTATGAAGCAGATTTGATGTAATGAAGCCTGCAGCCAGAACTACGGTGAATTCAGCAGTGATTTAGAAAATCGGTCGAATCGAGCACGAACATTCATGTTGTCAAGGCAATTTTGAAGCTGTACATCCTGTTGTGATCTTGATGCAACGTTCTATTTGAGACATTGATCGTCAGCAAATTCAGCGCCCGTTGGCTGAAACTACAGTCGACCCCAACCAAGTACGAACTTTTTTCGCGATCCTGTTTCCTGTTCTTCTACACTACTTACTACCAGTCTCTGGATTTTTTGGCCATTGTATACCCTATTCAAGTAACATTTTTGACTTTGACGAGATGGCCAAAACTCGGATACTACTAGCGTATAGAAATCTTGCATTCTTGCTACTGATACCTCGTTCCTACGCTTGTAATGTTCATCTCCTATATCCACCACGGTTGGCTTGCGCATGGATGGGAAGTTCTGAGAACTCGCGCTAGATTTTGTTCAAGGCAGGCCACTTCCCTGTTTTCTCTTTGAATTCGTAGGTCCGGACCGCGACCCCAAATCCAAGTCACGTAAATAAATGTTTGGTGGACTTGTGGGCAAGTAGGCAACAAAAAAAATGTAATCTTTACATGTGTTCTTCACATTGTAGGTTCGGGCCACGCCCCCGATTCAAGTCACGTAAGACCTGTAGACACGTAGGCAACATTCAAAAAAAACCTTTCTCGGATTATGTTTAAAGATGCGACAGACTAGTTCTTTGTGTGTCGTAGGTCAGTGCCGAATGAACTAACATATTAATTCTTCAGATCTGCATATCTCTTGCAGCAGCAGGGCTTCATCAGGATATTTATTGTACTCGCAATCAATATTTTGAGGTTAACGTAACCAAAGGTGACACACAGACACATCGAATTGCTATCAGTTCAAGTTGTAACATAAACATTACATTATTACAGTACCAGCTCTAATTTCGAGTTAGTTATAGTTTGCAAGTTGAAGTAGGAGTAGTTGCAATTTGAAATGGAAGTAAAAATCAGCAAGCCCTGCTCGACCTCGAACCTTTGCAACTTTTGATCAGACATAGCATCACAAGGAGGCTTTTCAGTCCAGGTGGCTTCTTTGCTCATTCTGGTATCCTCTCACGAAAATGAGTAAAGTCCCAAGAGCTTCTTCATTCAAAGCGCGGCGAAAAAGTGCTCGAAAACAATCAACGTCGTTACGTGATTCAACCAAGGAAGCAGCCAGGAGCAAGGCCCAACAAAATGCGACCGCCAACAAGAAAACTGGATTTGAGTGTAGTACGGCTCCCGGAGGACCCCCAGTATACCCCTACCAGAAGCCGAAATGGTGGGTACCTGCTTTCGGCTATTTACCAGTGATAATCGGTGTCGCTTTGCTGTCCCTTGCACTGCCCGCATCATTTTTCATGGAGATCGTTTTTCTTCACGCGTTTTTATGGGCAATAGGCGCAGTATTCTTCATGAAGCTGGTGTTGTATTTCACGTGCGCGGACGGGGAGGACTTCAACATGGTACTGTTGTACGGATTTTCAATTCGTTTTTGTTATTAAGTTTCATGTACATGTTCGTGTGTTGCTGTTTGTTTCTTGCTTGTTGTCTCAATTTTTGAAATGCAAAGAATAATCGGTGACGGAGCCTACTTGCTGGATGCTCTACAAACAAGTACGCCTCGTATATACACTTTATTGCAGCTCGATCCACGCGACGGAAGCAGTCTCGCGTGGAGTTTTAACGTCGCGTGTGGACGATCGGCGGCGTATGTCACTTTTCTAGTATTGTGGTTTAGTTCGTTCCTGTTTCCGACATCGGAATCTTCTACTTTGGGGGAACTCATTACAAGACGCAGCGCAGCCTGGGCACGACCGAAGGACGCTGAGGTGGATGTGGCGACCTACTGCGAACGACACGCGAGTACGAGTTCTTACAAAGAAGATGGCTCAGTCGCAGTGGCCTGGAGCGTGATAGAACGTCCATGCCAGTACCTGGACGAGCTGCCTCAATTTTCCGGGAAGGCCTTTTCGTGGCCTTTTTCGTTTTCCGGCGTGACCGATTTCGTGCTACGAAAATACGCAGTCTCGCATACCATGCTATTAAAACCTGGAGAGGGAGCAATACCATCGTTGTCATCGATTGCTGACGTGGCCACTAGCGATGCGTACCAGCGCTTCGAGGTCACAGCCTTTGCGCTTCTCATCGGGCTCATGCTGTCAGATACCTGGACCTACTACAAAGTGCCCAGGCTCTACCATGACACCACGCTTATCCTTCATCACATCGTGTCGGTGTCGGGTCCGCTTTGCGCGATCTGGTAAGCATCCTTTTTTGGTTTGTTGAAATCGTGTGGCAATGTGTATGGAACGTGTAGGAATATGTAGGTCTGGATCACCTCGAACTCACTGGTCGATACCTGAGCTTCACTGGTTTCTTTTGATGGTATTTTGAAACTCAGTTTTTAGTCTTTTTCTTGCTCCACTCTCAGGACGAATTGCCGCGGTCTGATTTTTCTCGCTTTCGTTGTTATCGTTGCGGAGGCTGGTACGTTTCTGTATTGTCTCGGTTGGGTCAAGCGAAGCGATCGGAAGTGGAGCCAAATAACGCGGTTGGCTTTTCGATACGGTATGACACTTTCGAACATGGGCATGGCTGCTTGCTGGATTTCGTTTTTGTGGTGCAATTCCCCATGCCCACCTGTACTAACAACGCTGGTTTTCAGTGCGGCAATCTGCGGCCTTCTCCAGGGGCGCCAGCAGTTTATGATCGACAGTTGTCGGAAGTGGGCTAAGCTTAAGACTAGCTGAAGCTGAAAATATGATTGCATAAAATAGTACAGTCGAAGTAGTCTTCTCCTCGTATACAGGTACTTGAGAAGTCAAAGTACTTTATAGAAGTTACTTTAATTCATACATAGTGCTCGTGACGTGAATGGTTATGGTGTCAAACATGATTGAAAAACACTCATATTTTTGAAGTCATGTAAATGAAATTGAAATTTAGAAAAATTCCGTGTTGTATGCTGAGCTAAATCACCCCCCTCTTCCCATGAATCTGCTTATTTCCCCTCCTCATAAGCATACCTACGGGACAAAGTTCCTCAGTATGTGGTGTCATGCATAGTATAGATACCTCTTCGCTTTCATCTTTCCATGAATACATGCAAACTTTCAATTCATTTGTTGTAAATCCGGATGGTTCGCATATGCATTAAAGCAGATGCAGGGATAGTGTAGTTTTCGTAGTTTCCTCTGCATACTGAAGATTCACCAATAATATGTGCTTTGTAATTTTCCATGCTTATATATGATAATGCTTTCCTTTTCATCCTCCGACATTTCTTCTATCTTAGTCTCCCCCAAGTAGATTCCTGTGCTAGGTAGAAAGTACCCGCAGTGTCCACGAGGACATCCAACCATCTGAAGAACAAGGGCCACCCACGTTGCGCCAAAGCTTGCTCGTGCGCGCCACGCACCACATGCATATGATCTAAACAGATTCTATTCCGTGGAGGACCGTTTGTCCGTGTTTCCGCGATTGCAGTTTAGTAATACGAGAGCATAATTTGTGTGAAACACGAGTTGATCGCTCCTGGAGCAGCGCAACCCTGGCAAACGGAACATTCGTCGAGGTTCCATGTGTGTTCGTCCCACGACTGGATTCTGACATCTTCGAAAACTAGCAGGTTCGTTACCAAAAAAAGACTCTTCTATAACGAAGTACTATCCTCAGCCTCAAAACCGCAAAACGGAGACAAGGTGTGGATTAAACTACTACGTCAATAAAATAGATTTTTATCGTCTGATGATGTTTGATGTAGTCCGGAACAAGCCTGATTTGCCATAATACACCTGCATGACTACAAAAATGTGCTACCTCTAGGACGAGGGAGTAAAAACTGCAAGGACGAGAGTGATTCTTTTGAAGACGAACACGAAAGCAAAAGCTTTAATGTTGTTAGCATGATTAGAATTAGAAACTGTGATTTTTATAGGAAGGGCAAGGCGACATGAAAATGGAAGTTGCGTGCCGGCCTTCACAGCCACTCGACAGGAAAGCGCTGTGCTTCGTCCCTGTGATGGCTTCTTGCGCCTTGCAGCCAAGCATGACGAACCCGAAGATCTTCGAATGGCTACAACAGCGATCAAACTAGAAGACAAGGATATCTTGTTGAGGCCTTTCACAAGATGAATTGACACGCAAAGAACAGTCGATCCGTTGGAGATGCAAGGCTCGATAATTCCACGCAGCAGCGGCCCGCTGCAATATGCGTCGCAGCAAGAGGCGAGCGGATCGTCTTCGCGGAGGGTGTTCGTGGATGGCGGTGAAACCTATGAAAGCCCTGAGTCGTCACTGGAGTATTCCAATAGCCGGAGCCCACTTCCGAAGCGGCATTCAACGAGGAGAGAAGATGGCGTCTCAACACTGGATATACAAGTCCTGTCATGCAGCTCTGGAAGCTATCGGCGGAGCAACGGCAAATCAGCGTCGACAAAGAAGTGGAGCCGCAGTAAACTAGGGAAAGAGCATTACGCACAGAAACTGGTAGAGAGGAGCTACCATGGCTGGTTACTCGCAGTCGTGCGCACGTACGATTCGCTCTGTCAAGTGGCAGCCTCCAGGAGGGAGAGAAGTACTGCGACTTGGCTCTGGGTAAATAGAAGATTTAGATTCCATTTCTTAATTGTGCCCTCTTAACCTCGTGAGTTCATCATGCGCACTAGAAGCAGGAAAGTAAGAACGATCATTTTTATTTTTTCATAGTGACAAACACAAACTCGCCATTTTTCCATGCCGCCCGTGCAAATACAAAAAGAAACTCCTGCATTCTTATGCTGTCAGTTCTTCACGAGCTGTGGATGCGTTGGAAGGAAGCCTACGCACAGCAGACGGCGGAGGTACTGGCGGATGCACAGCGGACGTTCGCGTTGCAACAAAGAATGCTGAAGCAGTGGTCGGACGAGATCGAACGCATGCGTCGCACACGGTTGCAAGAGCGGCTGCGCGACCGGGAACATAAGCAAGTAGTTATGATCCCTGATAGTGCAAAGATGAGCATTGATTCTCCTGGTCATGCTCATGATCTTGACAATGCCGCGTTGTCGCAACATAAATCTAGCACAGGACCACGACCGTTGTCGGCAGATCAGAAGGTAGCTCCTGCGAAAGATGACACAAGAAATGCGAGAGTTGCAGTGCCGTCAGCGCGCAAGAGTCTCGAGGAGCGACTTCGCGAAAGCACTGACTCTTTGTTAGCGAAGTATGATCTCATCGAACCTGTGCCAAAGCACGAGAACAACTGCAACGCGGAAGTGCAGGAAGGAAAGAAGGTCGAAAAGAATTTCACTTGTGCAAGCCTTTCGGTATCGGCTTCAAGCATAGCAAAGAGCAGTACCGAGAGTAGGCAGTCTTCAGTCCGGTGTCTTTCTGTCCCACTATCCGACCTCTCGCCGTTTTTACGAGCTTCCGCGGTATCGAATTCTGCCACGCTTTTTGATCTCTCGGCTTCGAGCGTCCTTTTCCGGGACGCAGACGCGGACGCTCTCGCGGTCGTATCGGACAGAGAATCAGCGAAAAGCCTGCTTGAATCCGTTTACCGGAGTAGTCTAGAGTGGGCAAAGTCGTCAGCTAATGCAGCGCTGACACTGGACAGTCGTGAAGGAGGATCAAATCTCGATAATCTTCATGTGAACTCGACGACCGAGGCCGCCACAAAAAGTAGGAGCGCGGCGTTTAGCGCGCGTGTTGGGCGTTTGCAGTCCCTGCTTTCATCAGCTGTCGAGCAGCTTCCGGCACCGCAACAGAGGCAAAAGCTGGTTTTCTCCGCTGAGGACGGCACCCCGATGGTAAACGTTCGGTGCTTGGAAACAATTCTACAAAGCGCTGGGGACGAGGCAGGAGGTCCAAGGGTAAACACAGCTGGAGCAGGAGACAACTGCATTCCCAAGCGAGATGCAGCAGACGCCACACGCACACGACGGGCAGAAGTGGCTGGTGGGGATGGACTAGGCGGCGCATACAAGTGCAGCGCTTCATCTGCCTCGTCGCTCACTTTTAGTGTCGACGGCAGCTTACACTTGGCCGGCGACATCTCACGGTGGCGGAATTATGCAGTCTCACCGCTGCCACAGATTCAAGAAGAGAGAAACGAGGCACCAGAACTAGAAGAAGGGCGTCGCAAGTACGGTGAAGACGACAGAGAAAGTGGAGTTGACGCAGCGAAAGAAAAAGCGGAAAGCAACAATCTCAATGAAGACGGGGGTTTTGGCAAACAAATCCGCAGTGTGCTGGAAACAACAAGACGCAACATTGAGCTCCTTCGGCAGCGCCGAGTTGTGGAGTCACCTAGCGGTCTGGCTTCGCTTTCGGTTCCACCGCCGTTGGTTCAACATAATGTTGCTAACACAGCCACTTCTAGTGCGACTGGTACGGGACCCGACATCTGCAATTACGCACATGAGAGCACACTGCTATCTGACAAAGTGAATTCCAAAGGCGCGAGCGTTCTTGTCGAGAAAGACGATGAAGAAAGTGCAAGTGCGGATGTTGGCAATGTCGAGGAAAGGAGGCGGAGGGCAGATGATGCTTTACACGTAGAACGGAGTCCAAACTGCGGGCTCATTGGAAGCCCGTCTTGCCCTGACGTTAGCGACGCGGAGGAGCTTTTGGGGAAGAATCATAGAGAAGCGATATCGAGCAGGACAGCAGTTCCAGAGCTCTCCAGTTCACCAGCGCCAGCCCTACATGAGCGCCTGCTGATCAGACATGACGCCACAGGCGATGCACCTTCGGAAGCCGTTCCAGACGCTGACTCGACTCCAGTATCACAACCAAGCTCGCCACGAAGCGACACAGCCGGATCACTCCAGAGGGAAAGTAGGAAATCTCTACTTGCTGAAAGCAACAGCGAGCGAGACGAGGAGCAGCCAGTTTCAGATCCACGTGTGAAGAGAACCAAAGAGGATCACGTAAATGCTGGCAATGAACTCGCAGAACATGTCGCGGATGCAACGGACGGCGATACTGGGCCTACTTCGCAGACAGCACTCTTGTCGTCGCCAACTAAGGTTATACTCGAAAATGAGTCAGCTAACATGATCGGGACTGCTCGAAGCGAAGAGCGCTTGATGTTGCTGGAGCATCTTGTTGACATGTATCGAGCGGAGTTTGCGAAGAAGTCATTTTATCGTTGGGCCAGGAACGCGAAGACCCTACGTCGAGCGCGCGAAAGACTGAGTACAGCCAAATGCCCACCTGACGTTGTAGAGGTGGTAGCCAATAATAGACTGCACCAAGTAGAATCCAGGCGACGGCAGAGCAGAGAGCCTACACCTACAGATGAGATGCGAATAGCAGCCGTCAAGGAAAGAACTCGCAGAATTGTCGTGAAAGCGCTCCGGCTAGTTTTTCGTCGTTGGTCTCGCGTTGTGCAAGACGTTAGGTCGCGAGATAAAAGCCTTCTTGGTGCCGCTCGCTGCGTGCGTCTTCGTCGGTTTTTCCATCGGTGGCATGCGGTTGCAGAGTCGGCAGCTGCGTTGCGGTCGGTGCTTCTTGAGCGGCAGATGCTCCGCGATGCACGTCTGCGTGACCGAGTCGCGCTAAGCTGGAGGGAACTCACTCTGCGGCGGCGGAAGACGCGTGACCGCGGCGTATGGTGGTCCGCACGTCGCAGAAAGCGCTTGGCACGGCAACTCTTAATTCGGTGGGCGGAAAGTGCTGAGATCGCAATCTGGCATCGCGAAGTCGTCGCCACTGTCTGCGAGATGCGATTCCGTAGGCTCCTCACATTCTGGCGCGACTACGCAGCGAGGAAGAATACCCAGCGCAGCCTCTTGGAGGAACACGACGCGGTCCGCCGATTCCAGCTCGTGCGGCGCGTCATGGACGCGTGGCAACGTCGCCTGCATATCCGCAGGCTTTGCGTAACAGCTCTTGATCAATCACACAAAGCACGGCTGCGACGATCGCTTGATCGGTGGCTGCGATTCACGTTTGTGGGTGCGCGGTTACGGCATAAAGACGCGCATCGACGAAAAAACCTCTTGGTGACGTCTGTAGCTCGGTGGCAGCAGTTTGCAACAGCCTTCCGGACAGCAGAAGAGCACGGGCGAATGCGGAATACAAAGCTGGCTGTTCGAAGCCTGCGAATTTGGTGTCGGTACGCTGTGTCAGCGATTGCGCTGCGACGTGCAGCTTTCACTGTGTTCGCGGCGCAGATGCGCTGTGAAATATCTTCATCACGGCGCCTGCGAGAGGCGGAGAAGATATGGTGGCGCAAACATAATAAGCTGAGCTTCAAACGATGTGTAGAGGCCTGGAAAATCGCGTGGTTTGGCATCCTGTTGTCAGCGCCGAAGCCCTGTCTGGCGGATGAAGGCCACGCCGCGGAAACCGCCATACAACTGCACGGCGGAAATTCCAGCCATTCTGCCCTCATTTCTCAGTCGAGAGTCGCTACCTGTAAGCATGAAGACGGGTTTCTCTCTGAAACATCGTCAAAGGTCAACATCTCCACAAGACGGTTGCCGCGACGCTACAAACACATGCTCCTGCGCAAGTACTTCGCAAAATTTTGGGCTGCTCCTCTACTCCTATCGCGACAACGGGCTAGCACTTGCTTTCTTCGGCCTTTTTTTCGGAGGTGGAAACGTCGACAGGCGGTCAAGCAGCGTGTTTTCTTAGCTTGGTGCCTGCATCTGACTGACATTGCACGCGATCGGCTGCGCCGCTCTTTTGTCTTTGTTCACTGGCGCTGGGCGTCCAGAAACGCGAGGAAGTTGTATTCGTCAACAGACGCAATAACACCGTTATCCGAGGAGCCACGAAGAAAGTTCGACAGGCGTCGTGGGGTTATAGATTCCAGCGCTTTTGCAGCTGTCGCATTGCAGCGCAGTGTGCTTTTCGAACCATATCGCAGTATGCAAGAGCAGGCGGCCATCACGGACGGACAAACTCCGCTCTTGTTGTTCAGACAGGCGGAGTTCTTGCCAGATGAGCCGGAAACAAGTGCGATTGACCCCATGCACTATCCAGAAAGCAACCCTATCGACAGTGCGTTGTGTCATCAGCGCTTCTCAGCGGATGGTCATATTGCCGACAGAGCTGCCGGGGATAATGCAATAACGGGCATAGCTGGGATTGAACGATATGGGGACGACAAGAAAAGCGTTCTTCAAATTGATGGCGTGAACCATGATCGACGCGGATGTTGGCATCAAGAGGAGTTACAATCGGATAACCGTGGCAGTGGCGGGCCGTCGGCTCTCGCGCAATCTCATCTTTTTCTCGCTGCACGAGCGCTGTCAGAAGACTGCGCTAGTGTTGTTGTACGTGGAGATTTCTCAGCGCCCCCTTCGTCACGACATCACTCAGCATGCTGCGAGCAAGAACCCAAGGATGGAGCTCAGAGCAGAATGTCTGCGGCAAAAGGGCTGCGCTACAGCAAGAGACGAGACGACAGGCTTGTGGCATCAAGTTTCGTCCACTGGCGTGAGGATGTGGCGGAGCGTAAGCGTAAATTGGCTGCTTTCCTACAGCGACGGGAGCATCAGGAAAGAGAGTCGCGACTGGCACGCGTCGAGAAGAAGGCACGACTGGTAGCGCATTTTCGTGCTCGACGACGCCGACTGAAAGAGATCTACTTTCGTGATGTATGGCGTGACGCCTATATTCGTGGATACAAGGCTCGCACCCAGCTGGCAGACAATTTTGCGAGTTCGACGCTTCGATTGGGAGTGCTTAAACGCTTTTTTCGATGCGTATGGAAGGAACTTTTCATCGAGCGATGGAAGACGTGGAAGCACACCATCAAGGATTTCGCGATTCGGCGACGTGAACGGTTTCTCGTAAGCAGCGTGGCTGTGTGGCGCCACCATGTTGTCGACGCTAAGGAATTTCGCACCTCGGCGGCCGAGAAAACAGCTACCATCTGTCTTCAGCAGTTGGGGCACGCTTTTTGGGAGTTCCGAACACGTGTTGCCGACAAACAGCGGGCTCGCTGTTGTGAGAATAGTGCTGCGGATTTTCGCATGGCTCGTTTGGCGGACAAAAGCATCCGGGGTTTCACTTCGAATGTCGATTTCATGCGGCGATGCGCCGAGGCTGATTCCCGTTTTGAGGCGAAATCAAACGCTTTGATGCAACGCTGCCTTATTGATGGTTTTCAATTCTATGTGGAAAAGCGGCAGCGCTGTCGTCGTGCGGCTACAGTTCTTCAGGCATCGCATAAACAAAGAGTCCTTTCTTTCTGTTTGCTATCAGGATGGCGTGTGCACTTCGGTTTTCGGCGGAAGGTGCAAGAGTCGAACCTACGTCGCCAAGCTTATTGGTTTGCTCTGTTTCGGAGACAGGCCGCGCACTCGCGGTCTGGGCGTGCGTTCCTTGTTCGTTGGAATCGCAAACGGAAATTGTCTGCTTTTCGTGCGTTGGCATTTTATCGCATGGGCGTCCACTTCGGGAAGAAGATCTTTTTCGCGTTTTGGAGGGATTTGGTGGCTGAACAGCGTCGGCGCGCACGCGTGGCTCTCGAGTTCGCGCAAGCCGTTGCGCACGCCGAAAACCTGCGAAGACGACGGCAGACGCGTCTGCTCAGCTCTTGTTTGTTGGGCTGGAGTCGTGACTCCTTTTTGCTATGGCACACGCGCCGCCTGGTGCATACGCTCACCCGGTTTCCGCTGCGACTGGGGTTTTGTGCCTTAGCAACGAGGCCGAAGATCCTGGGAGCTGCGAGGCTAGCTGGTGTCGTACGACGAATTTTGCTCGGCGTCGCGTGGAGTCGATTATATGCAAACGGTGTGTGCGTGGCGTTCGCGCGACAGCGCAAGTTGCGCGACGAGCGAAGCGTCCTACGCGCTTGGCGGCATGTACTCTGCACTGAGATAGGCGCGACGACTGCTTTGGTCCGAAGCCTTCACCGATGTATTCTGGCGCTCTCACTTCGCCGGATGCGTGCTTCTGCCACCTTTTTCGCGGAAGCAGATGCAGTGGCCTCTTTACTAACCAATTCACGACATTTGAGCCACGTTTTTCAACGCATGTGGAAACCACACTTTCTCCGTGAGCGTCGATTGAGGCCAGCATTCGATTTCTGGCGCAAGTATGTAGTTTATCGTGAACAAAAACGGAAAATTTCATTGCTGCTCTTCTTCCAGAGGGCACGCGAACGCCAAGCATACCTTTTTCAGCGCCGTCTGCGATCAGACTTGGCGCGTGGAATGTACCGCCGAAGTTGTATGCGCAAGTGCCTACTGGTTTGGGGCTCCTGCAGGCGATCGATAGTGGACGTGCGCCAGTCGAGTGATGTGTGGGATCGAACGCGACCGCTGCAACTCACGCCGCGACGCAGTGTAGGAGAGGGCGCAAAAACGTCTGTTCCTGCGACAAGCTCAACAGTATCATCAGATGTAGTTCGACGGAGAACCGAGACAAATCCACGGACGAGTCCTCGTGGTGTATCAGAGAAGCCAAAAGTAGCAGTAGCCGGGCCAGCACCCGATGAGGATGACGGTTTATCTCCAAAGCCAATCGAATCCAAAGCGGTCCGCCTTCAGCGCAGAGAGGCAGACCAGCGTGCTGATCAACAAAGATTCCGGAGTAGTGCATCCGTGTCGTATTTTGATGCGCTTTTAACCCGCAGCATTAATACGGTCATGGGTAATCACGCGTGTCGAAGTAGCAATCAAGCAGAGGAGCGACAGCATCATGCCTTCCCTACTTCGTCTGATAGGGCGAGAAAATCGACAAGGGCTAGTATTGTAGAGTTTGTTCGTGATCCAACAGAATCTTCCCAAGTAGCTAAAAAGAACATCGCGACAAAATTGGACTCTCGCTTGGTGACTGAGCCGATTTTTACAGTTGAGTCTTCTACTGCTCCCCCGACTACATCCCTGGCGGCAGTGTTCGAAACGCCTGCCGTGTGTGGCGCACCCGATGCGCCGACTGGCAACGAGGGGCTGTTGAGACCGGCGGCTTTGAAGGCGACCTCGTCTTCAGCAGACGAATGTTTTCGAATTTTTCGAACGGCCACGCCACCAAGCGGCTCACTGCATAACCAAGACTCATCGACACCATCAATGTCGCCGGATGTTGGATCGAGCGCTAGTATGCTGGACCTTTCTTTATCGAGTTTCACGTCTATCAACGACTTCGCCCCTTCGTTGCTGCAATACAGGCCAAAGGTGCGAAGAATTCCCCTTGCCGGCGACCCAGCTGCAAGTTGCATGTCAGGTGCGTCTGGATCGAAGTCGGCCTCGCCGTCGTCCTCTACTGCGGTGACACCAGTGCTGTCATCTCCAGCGACGTTCGGCTCGTTTCGACTCGCGTCACCGCCAGTAGCGCCATCGGAGCCATCTTTCGATCCAAGTGCCTCGCTGCAGCTGCGAAACTCACGCTCTTTGCCATCGACCACGACAACCGTATTAAAGGAGCAAGGTGATACTAGCATGAACCTTGATGCCATTAGTGCAACATTGGGTAGGCAGCGGGCTGGCACGAAGAATGAGATGTCCCTCCCTGCCAGCCCAATTGGCGAAGCTGTCTCTGGTGAAAATGCGGGGGCGCAGCTTGACAGAAGGAAAGATGGCAGGACAGCCAGTGGCAGTTCCTCAAGGTCCTGTGCGTTGGAGCTGCATTCTCGTACTTCAGGTGCGTTCACATTGCTGGAGGAAGCCCAAGTATCACAGCCGACGTTGCCAGGCGACTCATTTGCAGGAGGATCCTCATTGGATCTTTCCTTAACATTCTGCGAGTCCAAGGAGTCCCTGGTCTTTCGCGACGGAGGGGCGCCTGCTGTTGGTAGCACTACATCTACTTCCTGTGTCGGCGAGCACCAAATGAGGGAGAAGCACACTGTCAGGAGGAGTTGCAGCCCTGCTCAGGAGGCTCCTCAGGAGCCACATATTGAAGATGAGCGTCTCTTGATTTCGTCAGTGGATGGGACGATTCCATCATTGGCGTCGCCTGTGATTGGCAGTGATCAGCCACCGCATCAAAGCAGGAATTTCACTCCAGGCCAAGGACAAAAAAAGCGTGGAGCGAATCCTTTTTTGAAAAGTCCCACGCTGCTAGCTGCTCCCGACCTTCGCGCCAGTTGTACCTCCCTCGCCAGTGTGCTGTCTTCGTCGCTAGCTTCCTCGACAATTTCTGGAGTAAAAACAGGACTTGGCAGCGCAGACTTTCCAGATTTGCTCCGCAGCTCGCCAGAGAAGGCATTGCTGGGAAGTGGCCACGTTGCAGGCTCGGCGATGCAGGATGAGAAGACTTCGTTGTTGCGGAAAAGCCAACTGTGGGACCAAGTCCAAGAAAGACAGGGGTCACCTCTCCATACAGAGATGGAGGGAAACATGTCAAGAAGAGAAACTTCTCGTGGAAACAGTCTTCTCAATTCTTCGCTACAGGATATCAGCAGTCTGCGGAAGAGTTTGCGACCAAAGCCCGCGGAAGATGGGAGGTCACCTAGTTATGGTTCGTCGAGTCCATCGCAGAAAGACAGGAGCGAAACAGCGCAACAAACTGCATGTAGCAGTCGTCGCGCAGACCAGGGGAGCAGAGAGAACGCGGTTAGTAGCGTGGCAGTGACTGCGGTGTCATCAAACAAGGAAAGCAGTCTTTCTTTGAACGTGCGAAGCGGTACTGCTAGTGGCGCGGTTTCGAGTGGAGCAGATGGCTTACCGGGATCAAATCAGAGCATACAACGAGTTACCGCAACAGGGTCAAATTACGATCCAAATTTGCTTCGTGATACCTCGTCAGCCCCAGATGCTCGACCAGGTAGTTCTCCTGCAACAGTTCGAGCTGTCGACCAGGAACAGGCGCCAACCCTGGTAGCCCATGCGCCACGGTCCACATCACCAAGAATGGCCCGGAGTACGAGAAGGAAGCGGAATAAGTACTACGATTTCGCGCGAAAGCGTAGGAATTTTTTCTCGAGTTCTTGCGATAGCATCCGTGAAGAAGAAGAGGACGAGGAGGATGAAACTGTCGGATCGATTGACAACTTTTCCCGGAGATCTTCCTTCTCACCGGCTGGCGCGCTCTACAGAAGTAGCTGGAATCCGCGAGGCTCGTCCGTCTTTAACAATAAAATACCACCTGGGATGAATCAGCAGCAAGCGGAAAAAAAGGACTCGACGGTTACGCCCAGCCATATCGCATGTGAGCATCAGTCGGACTCGGATGTCGGGAGGAGAGATGGCTCAGTCACTGATACAGGAGGCGGAAGCTCTACTCCGATTGACTCTACTGGGCTCGGACAACAAAAGCCGCCTACCGCAGGTGGAACGCAAGACAGTGGCTCTTCACCAGACGACGGCACTCTTGCACGGTATTTTAACACTTTACCTTCTTGCAAACTATTTTGTGGTACTGTGATTTTTAGGCCTTACTTTCTTGGGCTGGCACTGGCTGACTGTTGTCAATATGTTCACCTTCATTTTCGTTCTCCTACTTGCCCTTGCTTTTCGGCTAAGAATTTTTCTTCAAAGACAGGTCCTCTTCGTCAACGCCAGTCTCTCAACCTGGCAGCGTTTGTGCAAGGGACGGCCCGCTCCCCAGGAGCAACACGACTGGGTCGATGGCTTCAGGCCGTCCAGTGGCAAAGAAATTCCTGAGCCGAAAGCAGGACACCCCGCGACCAAGAGATCCGAACTCGAGCGGGTCTTCAACCGGCATGTCAGGGGCAATGGAGAGCCGTGATTCTCTACGGATCCTACTAGAAGCTGAGAGAAAAAAGAGTTACTTGGGTCTAGCTACCTCATCGCCGGCGTCGTCCCTCTTATCCCCGGCCTCGCAACTGATGTCACCACCTACAACCGGGCACTCTTCGTCTAGTGAGCCAGTTCCAACAACAGCAGAAGTCAATGATGTTGTTGTTAAAAGATCAGAAGTGTCTTTGCCCAGAGCGGCACCTGGAAATGAGGAGTTTCAGCAGTCTACTGAGGAAGTCGAGCAGCAAGACCAGCATAAACAGCCACCTTTTTCAGACACAGCTCTCAGAAAAGAAGATGGTCGTGGAGCATCAAGTAGCAGCAAGCGACCACATCATGTGCCATTCTCTCACGATCCACAGGGCAGTGATGCGTCGCCCTCGGTGGTTGTTGTCGATGAGATTCGAAGTCTCAGTTGTTCTTTCCAATCTCGTGGTCGCTATGAGCGAGACGCTGGTGCTTGTGCTGATGAGTCTGAGGACTCTGTTGAAGTAGAAACCGACAAGCGGCTGAAGGAAGTAGCAGAGGCTGAGGCTACTTCTGACGTCATCAGCACTCGAGATGTGGATATGACTTTAGCTTCAGTAGGAGCTTCCGCGAACGTACGGGTTGTGTCACCTCTTGACAAGAATTCCGCACTGCAAGTCAATAGCGTTGAGGACATTAGTACTAGAAGTTCAAATTCTCCTAGGGGTAACGAGAAGCCCGCCTCCTCGAAAGATGATGAACAAGAAACGCAAGCAGCAGGTCTCCCTGGTGTGGAGAGTGACGCTGGGGGCTTCTGCAACTCCGTCGCCGAATTAGATCTTCAAGCGGAACACGAGACAGAGGACGATGACTCAGTTCTGATGGATTGCGATGAGTAAAGCAGTTTTTTCAGCACCATATTACTTTGTGCTAAGTAACGATTTAGAATTAGATCTTCTTGCGATCTTGAAGTTGAATTTTGTTTGTTGAAGTTATTGACCTTGATAGCTTCGTATCTGTTACCCTTCATTTGATGACTTCTTTTGTCGATCAATCACTGAATTGCAATTACGATTTTGCAAATGTAGCTAATTGAATTCGAAAGACATCGTACTTACTCTTGCTGTTGTCAGTCGTGTTGCTCTTGCTTAAATACTTATGCGTTCTTTGTCTTGTGGACGTGTTTGGTTAACTGTGTCCATTACCATTACTCTACCGCGTGGATTGCTATCGAACACCACTCACCACTCCTCCTATCTTTCAGAATGTATTTGATCTGGATCTATGTGAATGTTACAGTTGTACAGATAGGAGATAAACATAAACACGTCCAGTGGGCATTGAAGGACACCAGTTTTCAGGCTTTATTTCTGCATTACCTTTTCTAGAAAGCCCGGCCACCACCTTCCCAGAGCGAGACCTTCTATCAAGGTTACGCCTTGATGTTGACTTTGGGCGCGTGCTTCACTGAATCAACATGGAGTTGTGATGTTAGCCTATGTTGGAGGAAAGGGCAGGACCACTAGTAGAGCGTCCTAAGAGAACAAGATGAGGAGAGGAAAGATAAAGTCTCGTATAATTGAAATATAAGTGGTAATAAACAGTACTTGAAATATAGAGGACCCAAAATAAACAGTACTTGATTGATAGGTTCGGGGTGGAGGAGAAACATGATCAACGTTCCCCTCCAACACGGCTGAGCTCTTTTTGTAGAGGTCTTGCTCCAACTCCTCAACCTCATAGAAAGTATCCGTAAAAGTAAAAGTGTCCTGGGTCCATCACCTACTTAGGCTGTTCCTGCTTTTTTGTCCAAAATCGGTCTTGATCCTAGTTCTCGCGACTTCAAAGATCCATGTGATAAAGCCGGTGATCCATTGTCCGAGAATAGTATAAGATTAGATACAACTAAGAAGTAAGCATGAAGATAAAGTTCAAGTAATCACTACCTCCACACAAGAACACGCATGGTAAAGTAATCACTACCTCAACACCACACAAACATCTTCGACATCACCCTCCTAATAACGCAAAAAAGCACTGTAACGATAAGAAATGGAACGATTCTCCTCGTTTGGTTATGTAGGTGCATGCCAGACGGTTGGTCGCTGACGCCAGACGTCATTCGGCTACAGCCTGATTGTTGGATCGAGCATGATGTCGAAGGTTTGCGGCCCTGGCAAGCCGTATGGGCGTTTGTTGCCCATAATTTTGTTCAAGGTTTTGCTTCTGTGGATATGGGAACAGCACGACCTAACGAAGATATTGGAATTGGATTTGGAGGTGCGGAGGCCGAACGCACTGCAGTGCGAAGAGACCGCCCGTAAAAATGGTGGTGAAGAGAGCATAAGCGTACCAGGAAGAAGGTTGAGATTAGGGCACCGAGCGCGGACAAGAAGAGCGGCGAATCCTGAGCAGCATGAGTCCCACGCGCAGCGCCCACTGCCTGAGCGACCTGTTGGAAAACAGCACGAGACGGCTCTAGCACCTTCACAAGCATCAAGGCTCTCAATGAGTGGGAGAAGTTGCGTAAGAGAAACATGCTCAAGTGCAGCTCCGTCTGTGCGTGTGCTCTCGTTATTTGCACACGCTGTTAACTCCGCACCTCCAATGCCAAGTGGTCTGCCACCAACCTTGGAAGAATCCTTAGGGATCGGCAGTGCTTCAGCACGGCTTCTAAACGAACGAGGGGGCGTACCTTCATCTACTGACCAGAGTTCTGAGGGCGCAAGTTCGAGTAGAAACCTGGCCACATCATCGTCGATGGGTGGCGTCAGTTCTACATGCGATACCGCGGCCATAAACTACGACCCAAATGATGGCTGGTGTTCTGTATACGAGCCGCTGACAGCCTTTTATCCCAAACGGGTGTCACCCCATTGTGCCCAAGTGAAGTGCGAGTTGCCAGCTGGTTCAGGCGAATTCATTGGTGCCTGTCAGAACGAAGAATACATTCAGAGCCAGATCAGCTTCTGCAAATCTCGCGTTTGCTATGATGCGGTACTTCCTGGTCATGTGGCTTTTCAAAAGTGGACTCTTCATAACGAATTCTAGAGAATGGGCCATTCCGTCGCAAAATATCGTTACTCATCAACTAGGGAAGAACGCTATTCAGCAGCCATCCCTGCTGTCTTTCCACAAACTATGTATTTATCACTGCTCCAACGATCATTATCGAGCATCTCCTTCTCCATCGACAATTTTCTCCCCACAAGTGTGTTCCGCCGGCGCAATTTCAAGATATGGAGTGGACTTTGCGGGAGAAGGATCGCTTAGTAGAGGAGCGCTTTAAGGCTCTGGTGGAAGAGCGCATGCGAAAAGAGGTGAACTCGACAGTGGGCGTCGAGGTGCCGATGCTTTTCACCTACAACTCAGATTGCATTGAGGCCTTCAAGGATGCCCTTTGTTACCTCAACTTCCCCAAGTGCGGATGCAGACAGGAGTCGCTGCCCATGTGCAGGAGCGTTTGCACCAACTACTATGCGGGTACTACTAGTACTTCGTTCTGAACTGAAGATAGAAGGTCAATCAACATTAAGCTGCTGCTTTGTGCTACTGCGAGTTTTTATGTGAGGCAGAGACGCTCGTAAACTGCGACTGATCCCGCAGTGCTATTCCAGATTTATGATCGTTTCTACCCCCGTGATGGATATTTCCGGTCGTTTTTATTGAAGATTCGCCTTCTTAAGACGCGGCGTAAGCAAGCGTCGGGCCTCTCGAAGATTGAGGTCTGCAATCGTCTTTCTGCGTAATGACGTGATTTCTGGCCGATGATGGTCTCCGAATCGGCTGAGGTTGGCAACAGTGCAGGCGAAAGGAGGCGCCGTGATCAGTAGGACTTCCTCCTCCTACGCGAATAAGCCTCATATTCCTTTCGTTTTCATCGATTCTCCCTATGTTTTCTTGTTGGTCGTGTCTGGCTATATTCTGACGCCATGTAGTTACCATATTGGAAAATGAGCCTTCTTTGCCTGTATGTTGCCTTCCCAGGCGCCTTTCCCTGTGATCGTTTCGTAAAGGCTGCCGCGACTTCCGTCCCCAGGCTTGCCTTCTAAGCTGACGTCCTTTTCATAGGCTTCCTTCGCGTCCTTTTCGAATTTGCACACAGAGAGAAACTAGAGTAGACTCTTCGATCCAAAGAAAATAGAGGGGCGTCAGGCACTCTCATAGTTACCTCTACCCCCGTAGTGCATGTTTCCGCGCTCTTTTCTTAATGGACACCATTTTTCTGAACTATGTAATCGGACCTCCTTCGGGAGTCATCCGTTAAAATTGGAACGATACAGAGAAGATTAGCATGGCCCCTGCGCAAGGATGACACGCATAAATCGAGAAGTGTAAACAATTTTTTTCGCTATTTTGTCACGTTTTTCAGATCAAATTCAAACCTATGCATTTTGCTTGATCTTAATGCTCGTCCCCACTTCCACCCCTTATCGCACAATTCTTTCTTAAATTTCTCCACCTTCACATGTGGCAAATGTCAGCTTGCGGTGCTTCGACTCCGGACGACAGTGGGAATTACCAAGAGTGTGAAGATGGATTTATCCTCAGGTACGGCCTGTTTGCGTCATATTACGGAGCGCGCGAACGAAATGCAACTGACTTAAGCGCCATACGAGATGGCATACGGATTTCCAATTTTGTTGGAGACGGCATTCCCAGCCACCGACTTGGGACTTTCGTCGAGGAATGCCCGCAAACCAGTAGTGAGCGACGACAGCTTAGTGGGATAGATGGAAATGTTATGAGAACGGGCAGTACTTACTTATATTAAGGTAAACATCAAGATCAAGGCAAAGCCGGGACGGCCTTTTCACGTGCAAAAATATCTATATCGGGAATAAGTATGTATCGCTATTGGTAGGTGGCTGCGGGGTCGTGTGGATCCTGCTGAAGAAAATTTCGAGACAAATCAGAGGAAGAAGGGGAATTCGCGCATTCAGGCTAGGATATTGCTAACAATCCAGCTCTAAAAACGCCTCCTCGGGGGGAACAAGTGATGAGGATCTTTCATCGGAATCTGATGGTGACGCAACGAGGGGAGAAGATACCGTAGGAGACGGTATCAAGCCCAACACAATCCGCTTGGGCGCGCTGGAAGCAAATCGACGACGCCTGAAGCAGATGACTGAAGCATGCCAGGTACCTGATCGCAAAACTTCAAAGCATGTCAGATTGAAACTAAAGCCAAAACCGTGTGCACTTCAGTCTATCTTTGAGCTTACGATTGGATTGGTAAATGACATGCACTCTATGTAGTCTTTTATAGTTGTAGTATGCTATCATCTGCGATGCGTTGCATCACGTGGTAGTTCGGTTGCGCCTTCCAATGCAATCAAGTATGTATGTTGTAATATCTAAAAATTCAAAAATGGCACAATAAATCTGAAACCAGGAAGCATCTTTTGGGGACAACTCTGCGGTAGGTTCTGGCGTGAACGCGGACAATATGCAAGTATCGGCAATCGACAAACCGGAGGAGCCAACCTTGCTATGGACTTTTCTGGCACTGTGCGCACTCTTTCTCGCGATTGGGCTGAGCTACCTCTTCTCCTTTATAGACCCCTCGTTGGATCCAACACGGCGCTACCTCAAAATGGTCTGTATTCCGGTATAGTTTTCCTTTTCATCTATATTACTTACTTGCTTGTCTTTGCTTTTTTACGTGTTTTCCTTGCTTTACATGATAGCGTGACACCACGGATAACTAGAACTCGCTTTATCTACCAGTATTCCTCTGGGTCTTGTTATTCCTTCAGATCGCCTTTGCGGTAGTGTATTTCATCTTCGAGTATGTCCAGCAGACTCTTGATGCTGGTAAGGTGGCAAGTCCAGACGGAAAACCAGTGGTCTTAGCCTGCATTGAGGGGAAACAGCAAGTCTCAGGAAACTGCGCAAAGCGGCTTCGATGGCCTCAGCTAACACAAATGGCGTGCTCCACCATGTGCACGGGAAATGCTTTTAGGAAGCGTGCGGCAGTAAATTTGATGGCGTTTCTGCGAATTCTCTTCCTTGTAGGCGGAATGTGGTACTGGAGTCTCAGGAATAGAATATGCACTTCTCGTTCTTGGAGCCGTGCCCGTGAGAATAGGAATAGGAGTAGATCGTGGTTCTCATTGTCGAGGCCAGTGCCTTTACCAAAGGCCTCTCGATGTCGCCGAAAGAGCGACATCAAGGCACTAGAGGTAAGGACTGTAGTCCTCATGGGACGACATAACGAATCTCGGCCAAGCCATTTGAATTCAAGGACTCGTCCTGCTTCCACGCAAACCGATCGAACAATGACGACGTGAACAAACGCCATGCGCAGTTTCCTTATTTCAAAAATGCTGATGCTTTGATTCCAAAAATCATGACAATGACAATTTGTACTTACACTAATCAGACGTGCTGTAGTACCCGCGAGAAAGTGAAATTTCAACTGTGACTGGTTTGGTCGTCGCGTGCGCAACACATGATTTGAATTCGATATGGAATCATTATAGCACACTGTCGCTCTCCTACGGCCATATCGAAATGTGCACTTGCTAGCAAAGCACCTGAGCTCGTGTGTGATGCCTACTTTACACGGTACGAGCAAGAACTGTCGCACATTTCATGCAAGCTCTTGTCTATAAAAAAGTGAAAAAATCTTGTCGTGACATGGAATCTTGTCGTTGTCTTGACACTATAATATAGTGGTAGTGCCCGATATAAAATGAATGGTAGCTGCTGCTGCTCTTGTCGGCCTCCTTTTCCTTGAGAAGCTTGGCCATGGCCTCGGTTGATTTGTTTGACATCGCAAATTTCGTCTGCACCCACGCAGATGAGTCAGAAGATGCTTAGTGAAGCCCACCAGATCAAAAAGAAGGTGCGGAGAGGGCAGTACGGTAAAGAAGCAATTGTAACACGTACAGGATGTTCTGCGCCCACAGACGAGACGGCGGCAGCGTGGAAAGCGCAGATCGGTTCCACACGGGCGCGAATAAGGGACGACATGGGTGCAGTCGCTTCTAGAGGAAGCGAGGTTACCAACGCCGAGGAAGAAATACCAGGATGGTGAGCCTTCGTCTAGTAAAAACACCGAACAGAACATCTGCTGCTTTCACACACAAGAAGTAAAATAAAATAGGACGAGATCCATAGCATACGTAGGCGGGCGAGCTGACGCAGTTTTCGTTTTCGACTATCGGAGCTCTTTTCGTTTCGTTTCTCTCATGTCTATTCATTATTTGTTCATCAAAACGACAAATCAAAAAGCAACGTCCACGGGCAAGTCACCGCTCATAAAATTACCGATCATTTTTCCAAACGGCCACCTTGTAGGAAAAACCGAAAAATGTCCCGAGAATTGAAATCATTAAATTACGAGAGCAGATCCACGACACGAGTAGGATCTATAAATACAACACTGAGAGGCGATCGACGGGGTAGAAAAGAATATGGTCGATCAAAGTGGAGAAGTGAATTCAATGATCCACAGGCGCAGTGGCGGAGGTCACTCCCTCTTTTATATCTACCCGGCGCACAACAAAAATTTGGGTTATAAGTAAGTAGTTAAGCGTCGCATGTCGAAGAGCCTCGAGAAATGCACCCCGATGAAGTATCGACCTCACTGCGAAGGCCCATTGCTGGCAAAACTGGCGAGTTACGAATCCCATCGCAGGAAAATCGGTTGCCTTCCACCTTGTTGTAATTAAATGTTCGTATTGCGAGGAATTTAGACTCAGGTCGCAAAATAAACACCTTGTAGCTCTGCGAGGGTTATGTCCACATCAAAGCTCTAGCCCTTTCCGTGTTCGATCCTCTAGGGTTTAGCTCCTGTCTCTCGGGGTTCATCCGATAAGGTCCACCATTGTTCTACTTATGAGCCGTCGACTAATTTGCCCGTGGGGATTTGGCTCCAGCTTTTCTGCGGCGATGGCCGTTGTGCTTCATCGTCTAGCATTTTGAGGTGCCTGGCCGTTGTGCTTCAGGATTCTCGCAGGGTAATTCAATGTTCGTATGGCGAGGAATATAGACCCAGGTCCCAAAAAAAAAAAAAAATGTAGGAGGGTAGCGTGACTGAATGAATGAATGACCCAAGACACGTCTCCACTGCTTTGTGATACTCTCTCCTGAGATATAACGATCACAACCATAACTTGCTTGACTATAGAAAACACGAGAAGGAAAGTCGTTTGAAGAATTCGTAGTCTGATTAAAAGTTGAGGTTGACCACCAATCTCAAATTCAATCCTGAAAAATGATTACAATCCTTCGGACTACTGGGAGAGTAGATGAAAATAGAAGAGTGGAGCTTAGGTTGTTGCCCTGGAATTACATATGATCCAGGGCTCAGGGCGACGGTGCCCCCCCTTAGCGCAGGGGGGGCACCGTGCAGCCCCGGACCCTTTTTGCAGGCGTCTGCCGGGGGGGAAGGCCTCAAAAGGGGCCCCCGGGGCCTTCTTCGCTCCCTCCCAGCTACCTGGCTGGACCCTGCAGACCTCCGATTGAGGTGGAAGGCTTCGAAAGGGGCCCAAGGGACCGCCTCCGCTCCCTTCCAGCTGCCTTCCTGTGCCCTACATGCCTCCGATATGCTTCGCCGCCGCAGCAGTGCGCCGGTTGTGGAAGGCCTCCGTAGGCGACAAAAGGCGGGGGGCTGGACCCGCTGAGCCGTGCGGCCTGTGCCGTCCGGGCCCTTGGTCATCGGCTTGCTTGCTCTTGAGACCGTGGCCGCCTTCGGCGGCTTTTTACCCCGGAGACCTCCAGCCTGCGAGGGTCAGCAGAGGGCAGGAGGCCCCTGAGGAACATGCAGAGAGGCGCAAGGGGACGCTCGCGCCCAGTTTTGACGCCTTCCACCATTAGAATCCGCGAAAATCAGCGCGGAAAAGAGCGCGCGAGCGCCACCGCAGACCATACCGCAGGGGGGAGCGCCGTGCAGCCCTACAACATCTATAGGCTCCGCCTCATCTTGAAACGTTGGCCAAGCAGCAAGAGCTACTACATTTCATACAGATAGGCACAATGCTTGTTATTGTTTTTCCCTTTCTTGTTCTAACGATAACGACGGGGACTGTATTTTTATAGGATAAACCCTAAATAAAAATATACCAAGACCATCCCTAGACACCATCAGAAAAATTTAGATCAACATCTTGTCCGCCAACGAAGTCATCATGTCGATGTCAGTGTCGCAGGCCCGCGAGCTCTTCCAGAGCCTAAGCGCCGAGTCGGTGCCTATCGATACAGGGCCTGTTGTGAATAGGGTTTTCAAGAAAATTGCCCTAAAACATCACCCCGACAAATGCACTGATGCTGGGAAAAAAAGCGAAAGAACGGAACTGATGAAGCAAATCAACTCCGCGAAAGATGTCTTAGATGCTTACTACGCAAATAAGAGCAAGGATTCGGCCCCGGTTGGTCGTGATCAGTCGCATGAACCGCAAACCGATGTTGGCGAGGAGGATGGCTCTATGTCGGGTGCAGAGGACGTGTCAGACAATGACAGCGACTGTTACGAGGAGGACGATGAAGCCGGTCCGCAACACGGTAACCACTATTATTGGTCGGGGTTCGGATTCGGGAATGCCTCCCATCGCCACAATAAAGCGGCTGGCACGGGATGGCGCGATGCCAACTACACTAAGTCATCGGATGAGGAGAATAGTACTCTATTCGCAGACTTCTTGTTTCGCTTCACTCCCTCTGGCGTTCTGAAAACGCGTGACGAATACGCTGCTGAGATTCCGTTGAAGGACTTGCCGACGAAGTGGACCACGCAACCAATGTCAGAGTATTGTCAGCAATTTCTTCCTCATTTGCTCGAAGAAATGCGCACCGAACTGCAGGAAACCCTGCACACTGTGCTAGACGCCCCCGATCTGAAGAGTATGCGTGCTCGGACAGAAGACTCGACATTCGTGGATCTGCGGCTCAGTGAAAAGGAGATCTTCCCAGTGCAAGGTAACGATTCTGGAACTCGTCTTTGGATGCTTAATATAGGAAAGGGCATCACCGTCGACTCAGATTTACGAGCCGGTGACTTTGTCTTGCTCATTCCGAAAGCTCATGCTAAGTTTCCTTTGGGTGACCATGTTCTTACGCGAGCCATTCCGGGGTTCATGGTACGAAAAAAACGCATGTACATGTCCGAGACAATTTCCTTTAGGCTGCGGTCGGAACTGCGGTCGGAGGATGATACCAGGCGAGCTTCTTACGCATACGTTGCCGTGCGACTGATGAAACTTTTTTTGACGCAAATGCTGCACGACAGGCTTGCGTCCGGGTTTCGAGAAGCCGCGCATATCAAGCCAGGTATTGAGGACGCATTGCGGGGGAAACAAGACTGCCGCAATGACATGTGTGAAGAAAGTCAATATGACGTTGGTCCACAACATCATGGCTCAGCTCTGCCAAAGATCACTAGAGAGCGCTGGCGGCTTCTCAAGGAAATGGAGCGACCTGGTCTAGATATGAATAGTTCGCAGAAGAATGTCTTGGAGCATGCGACGCGCTTGCAGAGTGGAGCCCTGGCCGTCATTGGACCGCCAGGGACCGGAAAAACGACCACGCTTGTTGAGGTCATCGCCAATCAAATCACCCTGCATCGCGACAATAGTGTTTCCCTTCCAAATGAAGATCCTGGGCCGCCGCAAGTCGGCGTCTTCGCTACCACCAACCGTGCAGTGCATGAGCTTTGTGTGCGATTCGTGCGCAAAAAGGTCTTCGACCATATGAAGAACACTGAGCAGGAAGTCACTTTGTTTCCGCAGATCAAGGTGGTTATGTTGCGGTCCTTTCGGCTGAGATTGTCCGAAGTGGAGGACGCAGAAACGCTGGAGCGTGTTGACTTGAGCAGCCGAGAACAGCGTATTGCACGATGGGCGCATTGTGTTCGAGATCGGATGACCAAGCTGCAGAGTGTCTTTCATGATCCTATCGGTGCATTGCGAGATCGCTACGAAAGGTTGTTGGCGGACCTGAAGATTAATGCCCCACCGAAGTCGGGAAACGAACATTCGGAACAGGAAATGCAAACCCTTCTAGGCCATAAAGATTTGCGACCATTCAAAGCAGGCTCGAGCAAGCTTTTCGAAATTCTGTGGGACACCATGATTGTGCCTGAAGTCAAAGAAATTATGAGTGTGACCGCGTCAGTGCGAGGTGATTTCCACGAGAAGCAACAGATCCGTGTTCCGATTTTGAAAGCATGCCAAAATTTGTATTTGCGTCTCTCCGATACACAGGAATCTCTATTTTCCTTGAAGTCTGCGGACTCGACGACTGAAGTTTTTTCTACCGCAATGAACGAACTGAAAGATGGACTGCAGGCCACCTTTCGGGCGTGGAAAGTAGGAGAAAACTTTACAACAGATGACCCTCTTGTACTCAAGATGGCCTTCGAGAAAAGTTGTGGCGCTCATGCTACAATCGGCATACAGCGCGGCGCAGGTGAGCAGCAGTGTCAACGTTGCAAGGTGGAAGCCGATAAGATTCACAGGACGATAATCGGCACGTCAGATGCTTTGCGGCATGCGCTCCTCCGCGAGACGGATGTTGTTTTTAGCACCTACACGATGCCGATTTTCCGCCACTACGCAATTTCCCTGTCCTTAACAACAGCCATTTTTGACGAGGCCGGGCAACTTAGTCGTGCGCATCTAGCGGCGGTAATCCAACCTACGTGGGAACGCCTGATTTTAGCTGGCGATCACAAGCAACTTCCTGCCGTTGTGAAGAGCCGGCGAGTGAAGGAAACGGGTTTCGGTGTGTCGCTCCTGGAGCAGATGAGCGGTCCGAATGGACTAGGGGACCGAAGCCAGCACGTGCTCCTACTGGATACTCAGTATCGCATGGACCCGGTTATCGCAGGTTTCCCCAGCAGCCAGTTTTACGACCGCCTGCTCCACAACGGAGAGTCGATTCGAAGTCGCTTGAATATCTTTCGCAACGAGCACTGGGCGACTATGAGAAAAACGGTGTCTGGAACCACGACGAGGTCTTATTCTGTGCTCGTCTTCCACGACACCAGTCATTTGCCGCTGTATCCGCGCGAGAGGGACGCGAACTTTCGCTTTGATCCCAAGTTTTACCCGAAAAACAAAGAGAGCGGTGAATTGTTCAGATCGAGTGATGTCCGCCATCCGGTTAGCAAGTCCTACTACAACGAAATGGAGGCTTTTCTCGTCCGCGAGGACCTAGAGGCGCTTATCAAGAAAGCAGAAGGAGTCGCAAGCAGTACGAATGAACTGTTGGTGAAGGCAATGCCGAAAAAACTCACTGTTGCGGTGATCGCTCCTTACGCCGAGCAACAGTCTTTACTGAAACAGGGTACCTATTAATTTCGAAATTGCTTTACTCACCCTTGGGCAAATGTAGGCTGTGCTTTCACATTAGTTACTATTTGACTCTTCATCATATTCCTTTTCCTGCTGGACACGCGCTCGTCTTCATCATGCTCACTGCGTAGTGTTTAGCTTGCTAAAGAAATTTGTAGCTCTACTTGTTCATTCCTTTCCTTGGTATTGTAAGATTTTGGTCAATGTCAAAACTTTTGTGCAGAACTCGGGCATTTGCTTTCCAACGATCTCGTGGACATCTCCATCGGTACTGTGGACGCTTTCCAGGGAAGCGAGGCAGACCTGGTTTGTGTTTCGTGCGTACGCGCAAATAAAGCTGGCGGCATCGGCCACGTCGCGAACCCGAACAGGGCGAATGTCGCATTGACTAGGGCCAAGCTCGCGTGCTGGATCTACGGCCACAAAGCAACTCTAACGAAGTCCGAAGGTGTTTGGTCGGACTTTCTAAGGAGTTACGCCGCCCATGAAGACAGTGCCATCGTGGTGGAGAACACTGCCGACCGATTCCGTTTGAAATGCGCCGGGAGCAGTGGAGGCACGTCGAGAGACAACATCGGCTCTCAACGGGATACCTTCGCAGCTTTTGTCACCCGTGATCGCGTGGTCTCGGCCAAAAAGAGGATGGACCACGGCTCTTTCGTGAACGAGGAAGATGGCAGTGTGAATGTCTCGAGCCTCTACGGGTCTGCTTCAATTGATGACTTGCTGGACTTGACGTTCGATCGTGGTTTGTGGAAGGTGCTTCTCCGCGAGAAGATGAAGAATACACTGGCGGGACTGCGAGAAACAAAATCAGTGATCGTCAGCATGGTAATCAACATGCTTGGTTCTGGTGAACTTTTTCCCGATGAAGACAGAGGAGGTCGTTCGGGCCCACTCCTTCTCGGTTCCGGCGACGTCGACTACGCAACGTGGCTAATCCAGTCTACGCCGTTGGCGGGAGATAAAGGCCGCAACACGCAAGCATTTCTGTTGTGGTATGTGCATCTGCTACAAAAAGATGACGACAAGGACAGATTTGAGCAGGTCATCGTCGTGCATGATCTGGTAAAGTACGGGGCAGAGGAGGCGGCACGAGCGGAGTTGGCAAAGCAGCTACAGTCAGGCCAGGGCCGCGCGTTTCTGAAGTCTTGCTGCCACCGCGATCGGCGTCCTTGTGAACGCGGAGGTAAGCTACGTGTAGTGCATCCGATGGAGTTTGACGCCTCCGAAGTGTTGAAAATTTCCGAAGGAAACATGGATTCTGATGGTTCCCTCTGTACTTCGAGCCTCTTGCGCGTGCAGTCCGCATTCACGCAAGAGGAGCGCAAACTGTATACTGCATCCGGCACGACGCGACTTGCACAGATCATCGCGCAACAGCGTATAGATGTGGAGGTCCCGATCATGCTGTCACCGCAACAGGAGGAACTTCGGAAAGACGCTGAGTGGAAGCTGAGTATTGTTGGCGGTCGCAGCGGTTCGGGCAAGACGGAAATCCTGATTAGCGTGGGATACGGTTTCGTCCGGGTCTTCGATCGCTGCCGTGCGAAGACGGAACTTGAAGAGAACCCTGACGAAGGGTGCAACGTCCCCGCTGTCCTCGTAACGCAGAGCTTGTCACTACAACAATCCCTGCAAACGCGTGCCGAAAAGTTAGAGTCTTTCATGGCCTTGACACCACCTGACAGCTTTGAATCGTGGACCAGGGACCAGCAGAGGACTTGGATCGAGTCTGCCTTGGATTCGGAATCACAAATCGGACAGACATCGACGAGAGCTCGTTGTGCAGATAATGCTGACGGGCGAGCGTTTCGCGAGCCTCCGCGCAATTTCAACGCGGAGATTGGACCTGAACAGCTCAAACGCCTGCACGTTTTTACGGTGCGACAACTGCTCCAGATGCTGGACAGAACATTGAAAGGGACACCCTTCTTTAAGCCTGAAGACGGGACGGATGACGAACTCGGAGGGCAGAAAGATCGAAATGGTGAAATCAATTTTGTCCGGTTCGAGAAGCACATCTGGCCACAGATAGTTAAGAAGGTCAAGGGCCGAGCGAGCTTGAATTCGCTCTCTGTATTTCAAGAAATCCTGGACATCAAAGGCCACATTTTTGCCGGGGAAGAGGGCAGTAGTCCGTTAAGGATTCGCGCAAAGAGCGAGGAGAAGTACGTTGCGGGGAGTCTCACACGCAAGAACAGACTGTTCGAGGACGATAAAACACGCAAAACATTCTATCTCTACTTCCGTGAATACCAGGCTGCTCTTCGCGAAGAAGAGTGGGATGTCTGTGACCTGTGCCAAAACCTGTACGACCGCTACCTGCAGTACGGCTACCACGGACGCCATGTCGATAAGTTCTTGTCGGACGAATCGCAGGACCTACTCCTGTGTGAGATGTTAGCTTTCACCATTCTGACCCCGAGCGAGAACAGCTTTTTGTGGGCCTATGATATGGCTCAGACGATTCAGGAAGGACGCAAATTCAAAGTTGAGGACTTAAAGACGCTGCTTTATTATCGGTATAATCGAAAGGAGTCCCACCTGGGCATGGTGGACTTCTCAGAGAAGAACGACACGAAACGTAAAGAGGAGCTTTCGCAGAATCTACGACCGAAGTATGAACTTCTTAGCTACACTAAGAATTACAATTTCAATCGAAGTATAAATGAGGGCATTTATTTTCCAATTTATGTCGGAAGTAGTAGATGAACTAGTAGCTTGGAGCCCCCGAGAACAACCCCTCGCACTAGGATGCCCTTCCCCCCGAAGTAACCCAGGGAACAGGCAGGCAATTCTTTAACTTTAAACAGTCTCGCTGCGATTCAATTTCTTGGGTTTGGATTTCTCAAACTTCGAAGCCTTCCGCATTATTTTGCCGCTTTGGGACGGATTCAATTCGCTGGCTTTGAATTTCTCCAATTCAAAAGCTTTCGACTTTAAGCCTTTCTTCTGAGGTTCAATCTCTTGGCGTGGGAATTTCTCAAATTTCGAAGCTTTCCCTATTATTTTGCCCCTTAGGGATTAACTAAATTCCCTGGATTTGGATTTCTCAAATGAATCCCAAAATTTTCGACTTTCGGCTTTATTTTTGAGATTCAATGTCCTGGATTTGAATTTCTCAAATTTCGGGGCTTTCTTTATTATTTTGCCGCTTTGAGCTAGATTGATTAAATTCGTTGGGTTTGGTTTTCTCAAATCCCAAAATTTTTAATTTTAGGCATTTTCTCTGACATTCAAACTCCTGGATCGTTAGCTCATGAGTTTACGATTAGAGTTCGTGAGTTTATGGGTTTGAATCTCTCAAATTTCGAAGCTTTCCACATTATTCCGCCTCTTTGGGATTGAATTCGCCGGGTTTGAAGCCCTCAAATCCCAAAATTTTTGACTTTGGGCACTTTTTCTGAGTTTCAATTTCCTGGAGTTGAATTTCTCAAATTTCGAAGCTTTCGGAGTGAAATTAGATCCGCGGGATGTGAATAGCTTAAATCCCAAAGCTTTCGACTTTAAGCGTTTACTCTGAAACTCAGTGCCGGGCTTCAATTTCTCAAATTTCGAAGCTTTCCGCATTATTTTGCCGCTTTGGGATCGAATTCGCCAGATTTGAATTTCTCAAGTCCCAAAATTAATCTGAAACTGAAACTCAACTTGCTGGGTTTGAATTTCTCAAATTTCGAAGCTTTCCGCGTTATTTTTGTCGCTTTTGGATTAAATTCGCTGGATTTGAGTGCCTCACTCAAATCCGAAAATTTTTGATTGTAAGCATTTTCCTGTTTATGAGTTTCTGAGTTCGTGGTTTCGTGAGTTCATCAGTTCCTGGGTTCCTGAGTTCCTGGGCTGTTGAGTTCTTGAGTTCCTGAGTTTCTGAGTTTCTGAGTTTCTGGGTTTCGGGGTCTCTGGGTCTCTGGGTTTCTGGGTTCATGGGTTCATGGGTTCGGGGTTTGCTGGTTTTTGTGTCGGAGGTTGAGGGTTTGGGGGTTGGAGGTTGAGGGCTTCGGAGGTTGTGGGTTCGGGTGTTGGAGGTTGAGGTTTCGGAGGGGAAGTGTTTGCTGAATTTTATTGCTCTTAATATTAACTTGTGCTATTACAACTTGTGCTTTGTTGTTGTATGACTTCCAGTTCCACGTCCGTCGTCTTCCAGCACCAGCATGAAAGACGAAGACGTTGGTAGTGCTCCTTCTTGTTCGTTTAATACTCTCCATCTCGCAATTGTTGTCTCGTGTCAGGTTTTTGACGGAGAATTTTCGCACTCATGATGGCGTGTTGCGCGTTGCGTCTCTGTTGTGCGTGGACATGTTAAAGGTTGTGTTTCCGCAACAAATCGACTGCAATATGCCTAGGGAAGAAAGTCGTGACGCAGGGGAGGCGCCGCGTCTCGTGTATGGCGTCGAGGATGAAGAGTTCGCGAGGATTCTTTTTCATGAAGGTTCGCGGGGTAGAGAAACAAGCACCGCGTCCATTCTTGGAGAGTCCCGCGAGTTGGGTCCGAATCAAGCGATCGTCATCTACTCTGAAAACCAGCGAGCGGCTGTGCACAAATTCTTCAAGCATGCTGATGGCAGAAAAGTGCCAAACGTATTCACGCCGCAGCAGATTAAAGGACTCCAATTCAAATCAGTTCTCGTGTGGAAATGGTTTTCTAGTGCTCCCCAGCATAATTGCTGGCATCTTCTCGAAGCGGCCTTGAAGGAGATGCTGAGCTGCAGCGGCCGAGGAAACCAAGGTGGCCAAGGGGATTATTACGGATATCGACCACTCGAAAATATGCGTTCGAAGCTGACCGAGTCCGAGCTCGACGTGTGGTGCAGAGAACTGAAACTGCTCTACGTCACCGTGACGCGACCCCAGGCGCAGCTCTTGTTTTTTGAAGGTATGTGCGACGAAAGGGTGTGGAATAACCTCAGTCACATTCGTAGTGTCCTTGTCGATGCGCCACGCAGTGGACTACTACGTTCGCGCGGGGAAGTTCCCTCGTCTGGTACGTCATACGCGCAATTTGCTACCGCAGGAAAATCCACACGTCGTGAGACATCTGGAGAAGACGATCTACTCGTGTTTGTGTCGGGTGATAATCTAAATTCTACCCAAGGTTTTAGCCGATACGTGACGGACGTGAAGTTGCGAGATAGCTCGTTTGTGAAACAGTTTGCCGTGCTATCCTCCTCAGCCGAAGAATTTCGCAAAAAGGGCATGGAGTTTTTTGCACACCATCGTTGGTCAGACGCAGAGCAGATGTTTCGAAAAGCGGGAAAGGCGAACCTGGCCAACCTTTGCGTCGCGAGAGCAGAGCAGACTCTCTCGGACGAAGACCTTCAGGGGCGTTCCGGTTATGAAAAGGTCGACGCGTCAAAGCGGTTGTTGCATGCCCTCGCATTGTACCGGCAGTTGCTCGGGATCCCCCAGGATGATCTTCTTCTCAGGCGCACAACGCCGAAACTGTGCGGCTTTGACGATGAGGAGAAGAGCCAACTGAATCTCCCACAGGATCTATACCTGCCCGCCGTAAAGTGTTTCCTGAGTCTCGGTCTCAATGTTGAGGCAGGAGCGGCGTATGCCACGTTTTTACACGATCCGAAGAAAGCGGCTGAGCTGTACGAGAAGAGCCTCCATTCTGCACAGACCAAGCTTCAAGACGCCAGGAAAAAGGTAGAGGAAAAAAACACGAAAAGCGACGTAGTTGTAGTTAATAAGAAGAACAACACCAATCAGCAACAAGCAGTTCTTGCGAGTCGACAGCACTCGTCACGTGAAATCACTGAACTTGGGTACGAGGTCGCCCTGCTGAAGCGAAAAGCTGGATTAGCGTATGCGAGAGTTGCATCCGAGGAGCTGCAAATGCAATCGCAATTTGATGAGGAAGTAGGAGAGCCCCTAGCTTCAGCTGAATATACCACAAGAAAAAAAAAATTATACAAGGAAGCGCAGAGGTATTTTGCGGACGCGATCAGGCTTCTCTGGGGAGAGTACGAGACTCTGGTGAATCTTGGCGACAAGCCAGATCCGATGTTCATCGTGACGACACTGGAGCCTTTCCGAGAACAGATGGACAGTGATCTAACGCTCATTTCGAAGAGAGATGGCAGGAACTTTCTGAAGTCAGAAAAAGAGTTTCCGAAGGCAGACGACCTATCGCGGTGGCCAATTTTCGACCGGATTGGACATATCGCGCGTCAGGAGATTAATAGGGAATGGGCGACCCGTGTTGAGAAGCGCAACATGAAGCAGGGAGTGATCAAAGCGGAGCTCAGCGCTCTCCGTGCGAAATTGCAACGCGTTGTTCGCGCAGAAGAGGAGCCGTCATTGCAGAAAGAGGCACGGGAAGTGCACATTGGTACGGACACGGCCGGCGGCACTGGGTCCGCGACGCAAAGTGCTAGAGGCGCAAACGGTAAAAAGAAGAAGAAAACCTCAAAGCAAGGGACAAAGCCCAGCACCACCAGCGCTTGTAGTTCTGGCGCCGCAACGAGAATTAAACAGATGGAAAGGCTCAAGCTTGAAAAAGACATAGAGAAAAACGAGATAGCACTGTCCGAACTCCCTACGGACCAAGCAATGCGCACTCAGGTAGCGTCCACGGATCCTAAAAGCAAGGAGTTGCTTCTCAAAATTGCGGATATGATTCGCGATCCCTTCGACGCAATTGATTTTCTAGATTACTATGCGGGGCTCGGGCTGGTGGCAAAGCTTTATTTCTGTTCGAACAAGACAAAGCCTCATGCGCAGTCCTCCACCACATCAGCTTTATCTTTGTTGTCGAAATACGCGGGATACGACCTCTGCAGTATGCTGAACTTTGCACGCAACGCGGCCGAAGCCACCGGGCAATGGAGCGACTCTGCCACACTGCTAACTCAGTTGATCAGCAAAACCCACGAAAACACTCCCGAGAACCAGAAGCTAAAGGACTTGCAGCGGACCCATTGCCGTTGCGAAAAGGTACTGATGCCGGAACGTGACGGCGCGTTGCTTGTCATAGAGCAAGATTCCTGGGTGGAGACAGCGGAATTTCCAAGAAGCATCGCAGATTTTGAGAATAAGTTTCGTAAACGAACCCTGAAGCCACAACCTGGAATACTCATGGCCCGCCTCGCACGAGAATTCGTCGCACATCAAAAATTCACTCTGTCGGCGCTGTCGGACGTAGAAATATCTGCCGAGGTCGCAGATGTTGCCGCCATAAACCGATGCGTCCTGGAGGAACCCTCAACGAGCAGCGCCTTTTTTATGCATGAAATCAAAAACGATTTTTCCGCTCGTTCTAATTGCTACCTGGTGTTCAAACAATGGCTAGGGTATTTAACGCTTGGATATACCGCCTTGGGGCAAGATAACGGAGACGCTGGTCCAGATCGTCACTCTGGCTCGGGGCAAGACAGGGCGCAACGAAAGAGGGAAAGTAAACGCTTCGAGTATTGCCTTCGTGAGCTCTTATCGCATGCGGGGGACGAAGCTGCCGAGACTGAGTTTGTAGCGCATCACTGCCGTGACCTGCGTGAGCATGTCACACTGCGATATCATTGGAAACCGCAGAGCATGCAACCGATTGTGCTCAGTACCGAGGATTACCGGGCACACGCTCAAGAGTGCTACAGGACTATAGGAAAAACGATTTGCGACGCTTTTCAGCGCGTTTTTCTGCGATACTTACTGGTAAGTTTCGACGCACGTGTTACTCGTTTACACAGGACGAGTGACACAGGTGAAGCTAAAGCGGAGGAGGTGCCGACGCCTAGTGCAGAGACGAATTGTACGGCTGTAATTGGATGGTGTCTGACAGAGGTGCAAGGCTTCTTGCGATGGGGCGAGCAGCACTTATCGTTGTACGCTAAGGACTTTTCTTGTCGACCAACGTTTGAAGGACTTGCGGGCCAGGCGCGCTTGTTCCTCTACACGTCCTTTGTTGCCCAATGGGAGGGCACCAGACTGACATGTGACCTTCTGGAGCAATCACAATCTGTCAAGAAACAACACGCGCTTCTAGCGAGGATCCTTGATTCTCTGATCGCTCAAGACGAGCCACCAAAATCTACCGCAGAAGGGGAATTGCTCCAGCTCTGGTGGTTGCAAAGTAATCTGCTCACTGCAGGAGATGTCGCAGGTGATTTCTGCGGTGGATTTTTACAGCGGGCACCGCGAGAACTGCTTTGGAGGGAACGAAAATCAAGGTCTTCGACATCTGCTGGTGGAAAGTCAGACTCCGGAAGCTACAAAGACCTTGACGTCGGACAGATGTTAGAGGGCATACTCGAAAGGGAGGAAGATCTCACTTGCTCAATTAACAACATAGTTCACGAACTTGATGGGGAACAAACTGTTTTTCACGACGATATGAAGGAGAAACTGCGACATGTGGCCGAGCAGGTGGGTGTCTTGCTCCACGACGGTTACGCTAATGCATTGCTGAGGCTTTCGCACACGTCGGAGCACTTTCTCTGCCTTGTCCATTTAGTCGTGAGAAGCCTTCAACATGCAAGTTGTTTCTTATTCGACGGAACTGTGTCAGCTTCAGGGCAATCTTCTGCCTCGCTTTTTTGCGCTGCACAGCTTGCCGAGAAGTTGCTTTTGCAAACGCAAAGAAACACCGAAGCGCTGATACATGATATTGAGCTTCTTCAGGCCAATATCCTAAAGCTACGCATGTTCTACGCAAAGGTAACCAAAGAGGTCGAGTCGTGTGAAGCCGCATTTTTGCAAGGAGAGAAACATCTTACGGCACTAAAAGCCATGCGGCAGGAGCTGCTCACACGGCGAACCTCCGCAAAGGGCACTACCAGAACAGAACCGACAGAGGTGGGAGCCACGAACGCGGTGGCTGAAGTGAAGGAGGCCGCCAAGAATGGTAAGGGAGTAAAAGGATCAAAAACGAAGGCTGCTCCTGGAAAAAATGGGAGAACAGGAGGAAGCAGCAAGAAGTCAGCGGAGGGGGACGACGAGAAAAAGTTACAAGCAAAGATCGACGCAGTCACCAAGAACGTTGAAAAGGCTGAAGCTGCCTTTGCGGCAAAAGAATGTAAGCTACGTTCTACCATCGCAGAAGTATTTGCTGTCTGGGCCCGTGATTGGGAAGACCACGCCGATGCGCAGCCTGAAGAGCAGACAGAGGTCATTTCTTCTGGCTTGGATTTGGAGACCCTCAGAAGTAGAATCGTTGAGATTCTCGCCGCGGCGTCCAAGCGCATCGATGCAGCGGAAGAAAACCTGCAGTCCAAGGAATCTTTTCTGAAAGGGGAACAAGGTGTCTCCGTGACCTTCGACACCATGCGAAGCAAAGCACGACAGCTGAAGGGAATGATCTTGAAGGTAGTCGTGCCCAAGATGTTGACGACAGCCGACAACACGCAGAAACATCCCAGTCCAGGCGAGGCTTTGCGCGAACGAGAAACTGCTGGAGTTGATTCGCTCCTCCAGCATCAAAACATCTACTCCGAGCTGTTGAACCATATCGGTAGCAAGCACGCAATTCAGTACATGCGTCGTGTCTTCGCTACATGCGCCGATCTAGCTTTTTAGCGATACACCATTAATACCACACTCTCTAGGTCGTATTTATGATTTATCATGTTATATATATTATATTTATATTGATATGTTGTATATGATGTTGATCGGTATCGGATGGCTTAACTCTAAGTAATGATCTTTTTGATTTCGCAATGCGATGTTATTTCTTGATCTACTTTTTGTGAACAGATTACAGTACAAAAAAGTTGCCTTTATCCTTCTAATTCGTCATATGAAGAACTAAGTACACATAAGGAACTAAGTGCCCTCTGAGGCGATCACCACGTCCCACTGCACGTCCTCCTTGGGGCGCTCCGCCGGCGCTTCTGTCGGCACTTCGCGTGAAGACCTGGCAAAGGCGCCCTATCCGATCCTACTATCGCATATTGTAAGGAAACTACATCTACAGAGGGAGAATAAGATAAAAAATTGTGTTTAATAGAACTACCTGAAAAGAAGGCAAAGGCTTGTTTCCTATTTTCGATGACATGTGGGTCATCCTCATTCCTATGTTTTGATGACATGTGGGTCATCCTCATTCCTATTTTTTGATGACGTGCGGGTCATCCTCATTCCTATTTTTTGATGACATGTGGGTCATCCTCATTATTCCTTCGTTGACTATATAAAAAAATGGCTTTATTAGCGCAGGACAGCAACAAGCGCAGCTCTCGCGAGATGATCGACTGAAGACGCGATGAGTCATCCGTGTTTCTACAACGTGTGTCATACTCATTCCCAAGTGTATTAATGATTCTTGTGAGCATCCACGGCGACGAATCCGGTGGCGACCTGAATTCAGCATCACTCTGACACTGTTAGAGAACAAAAAACTGTAGTGTTCTTGGAAAACAAATCTTAGTCAACGGCCACTTTCGGACGAGTGCTGAGTGTATGCGTAATCTGTTGTCGAACTTGACCAAATAACAATGGAGATAGTGATGCTCTTGTGGTGAGAGAGTTGAAGTTGTCGATGAGAGACAATCAACGAATTGATCAAGAAGTCGGAACCTCTGTCTGAGATAAAGAGTTCTGTCGCGAGCGGTGAGAATCCACTATCGATGATCAGCGAGATCATGAAGATCAACATCACGGTCAGCTCCCTGGTGACCATTCTTCTAGTTCTTGTTCGATAGCGATCGATACAAGCGATAATGTTTCCTGAGTTCTTCATTACCGCTATCTCTGTATGAGGCTGAAATCGGTTTCCTGACTGAGTGACGAGATAGACCGTATTGATGTGTACTGTCAGTGTTTACGAGTTTAACCATCTTCGTCGTCTGTACGTACATATGCTTCGTCTATTCGTTCAACGAGAACCTAAATGATCATATCATCTCCAAACCCCTTCGCAGTTTAAGTGTTTGCTTGATCTGAATTTATAAATTCAATTTTTTCATCCTTCTTCCCGAAGAGCATTGCTTAATAAAGTACGCAAAGGAGAAATCTTTTCGCGCAAATATCTTCAAGACAATTATTGGACGCTAAGAGTTAAAAAAGCAAGTCTTGTAACTAAAAAGGTAAACGAAGAAGTTCGTAATCACAGATTGGCATTTCCACTTTGGTTGTAGTTGTGCGCAAAACAACAATAATTCAGCCTCAATCGAGTAGAAGAGAAGTTGGTATAGGTATTCGTAGAAACAAGAATCATCAAAAATCAATCAAAAATAATAGACAAGTAGTTCGACTTCCGAATATCAAAAGAATAATAGATAAAGATCATTTTCAACAACTAGTTTGTGATTGTGTTTGTCCTTGTTTGCGGTCACAAAAATGGTGCGTGCAAACTTGATGAAAAAGGGTACGGCCACCGGCGCCGCTTTGAAGCCCTTCGAAGCGATTGCTCAGGACTTCAAGAAAGCCCTGACGATCTGGAAAAAATGCCAGAAGCAGCGCGCTAAGCTCAACGATAATCCCAACAACCAGATGGCGAAGAACTTGCTGGCAAACGAGCACGTTGGTTTGTGGAATCTCCTCGCAGTTTTGGACGATCTCGTTGTCAACTACAACATGAAGAGAGACCCTGAGGTACAACTCTTGCTTAAGTTCTTTCTTCACTTGATGAATATCTAGTTTTCAGCCTTTCTATTTGATCCTGCTGTTCCTTCTTGGGTATTCGTTGTTCGTATTAGATGAAAAAGTTGCAAATTTTCATTTTGCTCCTTGCTTGAATGGCCGAGTAAGCTGATATGGTATTGGCTAGGAGGCGGAGCAGGATGGAAATGGATGGCTATACTATGCAGGTGAGAGGATTTGTAGCTAAGACTTGTAGGTAGTAGAGATCTTTTACTACTTGTCATAAACATTCTTTCATCAGGTTGAGGCAAACGCCGCCGCCTACAGTGAGATGATGCGTTCCATGATTGCTGAGAAGGACGACGAAGTCGTGCAGAACTGTATCCTGGAGGCTGAGGCCCCGATTCCAAAGCAGCAGATTGCGTACAACATCATGAAGTACTTGGACTTGCTGAAGGAGAAGAAGACCATGCAGCGACAGATGACAGCGCTGGACGCCATTGCCGCCATCGAGGATGATCATACCGACACGCACGCGGCCGCGAAGCAGGTCGAATCGATTGACGTTGAGGCCGAGAAGGAAGAGGCCGTCGCCGTTCCGCTTGACCACGAAACCAACGCCGCCAACGTGAATGCCGCCACTAATCAGTCGGACCGCACGTCGCAAGTCACCCAGCGTCTCTCCATGGCGATGCCGACCCACGACGGTCTTGGCGCTGCCTGGGAAGATAGCGCGCAGCCGATGGCCGATCACGAAGACAAACCGACTCAGCGCGTCATCTGGCAGGACTGTACTTTACTAGTGCTACTAGGTTCTACTTGATGTTGCTCTAATACTTTTTGGTAGTTGTACTTCTAGAGCAAGTTGTAGTATTCTATTTTCTGTATGACTAGGTTAATCTTGTTATCAATCACAAAAGTAAGACATTTCAGACATGGTCATTATATGTACTAGCTTCTCATTTTATCTCCCGTCGTGCTCATCAGGCATCGTCATCGAGCATCCGAAACTGGATAAGCTTGAGAAAGAGATGTCTGAGATGCTCCAGGCTAACCTGCGTACGTTGATGGAAGCCAAGCAGGTGAAGGTTGTCTCCACCCGCGGATTGACCTTGGTCGAAGTCGCGGACGCCGTTGAGAAAGTGACGCCGTTGAATCTCCGTGATCACCTTTTGACTTGCGTTCCGGAGGGAACCATTCCCGTGCCGTTCACCATGCGTGATTGCTTCCGTCCGCGATTCTATGCCAAGATGCCGCGTGAGCTCACTCTGGCCGAACTGGACGCTTACAAGGCCGCCATGATGACCGCTATGGACGGAATCGACGCCACCGTCGATATTACCGGTGACATCCTCGCGATCACGGTACTTCTGTTTGATTCTAGAGCAGCAATGAACAAGTACATGAGCAAGTCTTCCGATTTGATGTCCAAGCCACATGCATTTCTAGTTCTGTGGTCGTAACTGCTCCGAGTACTTAATAAGGATCGAATGACTTCGATTTCCATCATGATGAAGATCATACAGTTGATTATTTTTTTCGGTAGTTTCACCTGCAAACGTTCTCACTCTCAGGTGTACGAACCTCGTAACCCGGATATTAAGGAAGTGGCGAAGGCACTGCCTGCCGATGCTAAGCCGACCACTGTGAGCTCCGGCCATGCCGTTGAGCGATATTCCTGCACTGTTTCCGCTGCCCCGGCTCGTCACGCTCAGGAGTTGATGTTGATGCGCAACAAGGTTAAGCAAGAGATGTCCTGCAAGGACTGCCGCGTCCTGCCGCGCGAGTCCCGCCTCCACGTCGAAATTATCGGCGCTTACTTGGCCACGCCGACTCTGGATGAAATCAAGAAGGTTATGGAGACGATTACACCGGTCGAAAAAGTCGTCCACTCGGAATGTATCCACGACTATGATTTTTACAACTTGAAGTTCTTCGTATTTGAAGATTCAAAAGATCAATTTCAATTTGAATTATGAAGGTTATTTATGCAACAGCAAAGTAGACATAATTTTCATGTTGATGGCCTACTACACCGGCAGGAGTTCCTTAGTTGTAAGGACAAGAATAATTCCAGTATTTTGATGATATCTAATCATCTCGGATCTCATCAAAAAACTAGAATGAATACAAATCTTCAATCAGAATCAAATCAAAATGCTCGTCAGGTGTGCTGTTCCAGCAGGGCGTTGCGGGTGACGAGGCCGCACAGCCTCTGACTTCCGCTGAGATTGCGTCTGTCCAGAAGTACTGCACGGAGAACCAGGGTCCACAGCGCGTGATGTCTGTGAAGGATTCTGAGGGCTGGACCCAGGTGGACATTATGTACCCGGACTTCGACCCGCAGTCTATGACCATGATCAAGGACAAGGCCACCAACGGCATCATCGCAGGCGCCATGAAGGCGTTGGGCAAGACTATGGGAGACAGCTACTCCACCTTCTCGCTGTTGGAGGATGCTCCGCGTCGTCAGACGCGCGTGAGCCGAGCCACGCAGTTGAAGTTTCAGCCGAACAGCCGTGTGTCCGGCGATGACAATCCTCCGCTGCCGCGCCAAACAGCCGGCGACGGCGTGCAGAACTTCGACAAGCTGATCGAGGATGAGCACAACCTGCAGGGCCGTATCTCCATCGCTTTGCCGGTCTACGGCTACGACGTCGAGAAGCTCGGTTACAACGCGAAGGTGGATGGCCAGAATCTCTTCGTTAAGGACGTGGACAGGATGGACGGTTGCACCGCCATCGGCTCTCGCTACGCCATGGACAACGGCGGCTACTACGCTGAGATCAAGGTCTGTAAGACTGGCCCTCCGCTGGACGCCAGCGGTTCGCCAGCTACCGGATTCGTGGGACTCGGCTTCACCACCCAGCCGGCGGAAGCGTTCAACGAGCAGCTCCCGGGAAAGCTCTGCGAGATGCCAAACACCTGGTTGGTCAGTGGACCTTACGAAAAGGAGGACCACATGAGTCTCTTCTGCAACGGCAAGCTGAATCTCCGCTTCGTGTACGCACACGCTCGTGACCGCTCCGAACAGACCATGAACTACCAGGTCGGAGACTCCATCGGTCTCTGGATCCGTCGCCGTGATGGAAAGGTGCTACAAGACTCTGGTAGTCGTAGATGAGTTTCTAAGATGAAGTACAGCTGAGATATCAAATTTCGGTCAAAGACCTCGCAGTGTTGATAATGATATTCTCCAAACGAGCAAATTTGATAACTGTAAATCCATACTTCCCGCCATCCCCTTCCCATATCACAGGCAAAGCAGTGGTTGCTGTCTGTTTTCATCAACAAGAACAGAATCTTCACTTGCAACTGCAACATTCCGGACGGCATCGAGCACTTCCGTATCATCTCCGAATGCGGTGGCCGTGTTGAAGGCGTCAAGCTGCTCACCAACGCACACCCACCGGCACGTCTGGCGCTCAACTACTGGTAATATATAATCCTATGTATTTTGTTATTGTTGTAATGCTCCTTCTGGCTCTGTCCCTCACTAACATTTGTTGATGTAAATGTAATGCGTGTTCTCTACCTGTCCATCATCATGATAAAGTAGAGATGAAATGTTTTTTCGGGAATTGAGTTGTTGTTGACGTCAAGGTCAACATCCAAATTCAAGACGAAAAAGTTGTTGAAAAAGCCGTGATAGATGCGAATTCAAAACGTCAGGTACAACCCTCTGAAGCAGGGTGCGCAGCGCATTATCGAGAACATCCTGTTCGTAGACGAGAGCTGCGCCAAGAAGCATCCGCTGAAGGTCGACTGGACCATGTCCATGTCTCCTTGTAACATTTCGCATACAGAAACTAAGAAGTGCAAGATTCTCACCTGGGGTAACGAAACGATTGCCACCCCGCTTACTCGCTTGCCGGATCTCGACAAGTCTCTCGCTTTGAAGTGCAGCAAGATGATCTTGGTCTTGATGGCTAACCGCGTCTTGGAAGCGAACAAGGAGCCCAACAGCGACGAACGCGCTAAGATTGCCTACACCTTGTTCTGGTACTTCAAGCACCGGCAGTGCCTCCGCGATGAGATCCTCCTCTTCGTTATCAAGCAGCTCACGGAGAACCCGGCGCGCAAGTCCACGCTTTTCGGCTACGTCCTGCTGCAAATCTTGATGGAGGGCGCCATCGAGGCAAACTACCACTTGCCGATCCTGCTGGACGACTTCTTGCAGAACCAGAAGAGCAGCGACGCCAAGATCAACAAAGAGATCCAGAAAACACGCGAACTCTTCGCCGATGTGCACGACAAGTTCACTCAGCAATACGTCTCGGAAGATGTCGATGACGAGTAAGAGGATAATTAAGATTATGATTAAGTTGTAGGAGTAAGAGTATGAGTAAGTACTTTTATTTAGATCATGGACGAGATGGACATAAACATTCCGGAAGTTGTCATATGCATGTTACTGGATTTTCTAGAATGTAGATGACTAAAGACTGCCGTGGAGACAATGAATGTTCAAATTCAAGAGGCGAAAGAAAGTGCTTAATCACAGAGACAGCGTGAAAAATTTTATTCGACCTACGTAGCAGAAGCAGAACTATGAAACAGAGGGAGTACCTACGACAAATATAGAGATAAATGGCTGCAGTTAAGAATATAGAAAGTAAAATGAACGATTGGGACAAGTATGTATGGGTTACGTAAGTACTTGATAAAAAATACCGACAAAAAAGGCAAAAAATAAGGGAAGCATTTTTCCGAGAATTGAAAAATTCGAAGCTCCTCGTGAAATCAAAGAAAAATGTAGAATCATCAAAACATCGCATATCGTCATCTTTCTTAATGACTAAACGCACATGGACTTACCGCACCTACTGATTCTCTTGTACCAGCACTCCTGTTGGGTAAGTACGTATTCTGAAGCAAGTTTTCATACTGGTACTGCATCTTTGTACTCTTACTTCACCTAGTTCAAGATTGATATCTTTGTGTGTGTATCCAAATCCATGAAAATTGTATTTGCGACAAAAACCTTCAAAACAATTGATTAGCAAACATCAGAGTATAATTCCGTAAAGACAACGCAAAACAAAAACAATACTAATTTCGGATTTAAAGGCATTAAGCATGAAGTACCAGTAAGATTAGCACAGTAGGTAAGAAGCAGTACCTATGTCCATGATAGCAGAAGGGGTGTAAATCGATAGTAATGTTGACGCAGAGACAAACCTGCGAATGGGATTGAGTGTAAACGATGGAAGCTAGTCCACATCGCTCTTCTGTTACAGTGAGGGGCAGCGAACTGCCTTGGAGCCGCTGAAGCCACAGGTTATCTGAACCGCGCTTTTATAGAGCACTGTGAGATTTTGGTTTTATCTCCAGGATGATCTTTTTATCAAGGACGTGCATGATAGCATACGATCAGTTGGCGGTAGCGTACTCAGGAATGACTAGTAACACAGACAACACCATGTCTCATGAGGAGAGATGTGCTAGTATCGTACAAAAAGATTGGGGTTTTTATATAGAAGGGGAGGGTAATGAATATAGAAAAGAAAGAGTAGATGTCAGATGGATAGAAGAAGAATTTTTAGGGTCCGGAAAAGGGAAAGTAGAACAAAATCATGACGCACACGAAAACGCAAATTGATCAAAAAAAACTACGAAGTATGTCGATATTTTATGCGCCAGTGAATAAAAGGGAAATAATCGTAAATTTCGGCGTGATTGCACCTTTTACGCGCAGATGGCAATGGCACAGTGTTCTATCTTCTCAACTCGCAATCTGTTCTTCGCCGGTGGCATGCCTTCCTGCATTCATTTCCATCGGGTGTCAGAACTATCCACAACAGGACTCGATGAGTCACTTAGCTAGACCTAGAAAGAAGAACAAGACCAAATTTCTTATGTTGCAAAGAGGATGGATCTATGCAGGGATTTAGCTGCAACGATCATGAGATGAAAAAGATCTTAACTACTTTTGTCCTCAGAGAAGTTCAATCCCTAGCTAACGGATCCTTCTACTAAGCACCATTTAATACTAAGCAAGAGATTCCGCTACGGTCAGCTGTGGACGATCAGTTTCATTTTAGGGATGGGGAGAAAACGAAAGAGGATGATCCATCGATCGTATGAACTTTTTCGGTAGTTTCTAAAAAGGGAGTAGATCATTGGATCCTGTTCTTCTTCAGTCTGATTCCATCCATTAACTGCAGTACAGTTTCACAGTGAATGGGAGTAAATATACATTGCTTGTTCTTGTTTGCTCCCTTATTTTTTCAACGGGAGAATGTGTCGTAGCTAAGTAACCTCATCCACTATGAACTAGAAGTTTGTTGTTGTATGTGTCTCATAAGCTGAATTATAAATACATGCTTTGATGATGACGTTCACGACTCATTTCCACCATCCGAGCAGCACTGAACTAAGTTACACAAATATGGCAGCCCCATCGCACGAAAGCGGTGCCTCGTCTCCGAGCACCGAGGAGGATATCTCGAATCTTTCAGCCTTTCTTCGGCAAATACAAAAGAGAAATGCGGTTGTCGTAGACTGCTTCGTACTAATCTCGGAGTGTGGAGATGTCTTTTCATCTGACGAGAAACTGACAGAACGCATAAAATTGGAGGAGGAAGGTAGGGGGCTAATGCAACTAAAGGAAACGGCCGGCGCTGCCACTCCAAGCACTGAGAACCCTTCTCCAGCTTCTTCAAACGACGTGGATGCAAAAAGGATAGATGCTTTATCTCTAGACGCAACGATGTTCATGGGAGGTATGGAGTCTGGTAGCGTGAATTCCGACAACAGCGACATGGGTGCTCACCTTTCTGCAGCTTGTTTTATGGGTCGTGGACAGGCTGAGGCATCAGGTATAACAGGTGAGTTTGGAGGTGCACACGACGATGTTGGAGAGGAGTGCAGCGCAGCTATTGTAAACCTTATGAAACATCAATCCGCTTCCATGATGGATGCAGAGCCGGCTCAGAATACCGATTTCGATGCAATCCTCAAAAATAAAGTCTCAGAGATGAAAAGCAGTTCGTCCGCAGCACGCGATCCGCCAAAAAGTCTCGTAGCCGAGCTTGTTCCATCCTCTGTAGCGCAAAGCCGCAAAGAGGTATACCGAACCTGGGACGACCTCTTCTTCAGGGGATCTGGTATTCAGACAGCCCGCATAGGCGACGACGAGTTCGTTGTGGAGAAGCGTGAGGAAGTTGGCGAGCGCGTTTTAGTTCATATGAAGAGAAGTCGGAACTGCGATGCCATGGTGCGAGAGGTACTTGACCTTGACGAGGAGCAGATGTTGACCGCGATCGCCCAAACCACGCAGATTGAGCCTTTTCTTGTCGTGGACTCAACACGGAAGCACGTGCTCATCGCTAAAGCGATTGAAAAGCGGTATGCCAGCTTCGTCGCACAATTAGTAGAAGGTGTCGCAGACTTTTTGATTGATTCTGACATTTGAATACTTAGAAATAGATCTTCCACAGGAGGCGGGCGCTTTACCACGACTGCGATGAAATCTTAAAACCCACACGTCTATCTCTATCCTCTATGCCCAGGAATTTCATTGAAAAGGGCCCTGACATTTCTCCCAAGTAAACCTTTCATCTTCATCATCATCTTCCAAACTACAAAGCTTGAGCAGCAGCTTGCGTCTCACTTCTTCGAGAAGGTTTTCCTTCATGTTCTCACGTTATCTACCGTGGTTGAATCCTATTAATCAAGCTCGAATGATTGGATCGCAATCTTCTCTCAGCTGAATATAAGAGTGCTTGTTTCGGTGAACGCCCTGAGTGTCATCAGATGTACTAGCATGTGAAAAGAGGAAAACGACGAGCAGAGGACGATGGTACGCGAAGAAGTTTCACGAAATATTTCTAGTGACTAGAAGTGGAAGGACGGCAAAGAAATATTATCCGTCAACCTCTTCGACTTCGTGACCTTCACATCGTATTGGTTTTCCAACAAGTACTTCAACAGGTTTTAATTTGCCTTCGAGTTTTTCTGTAGTGATGTTGTAGTCCCCAATAAATTCAAATTATCCGATTCCGATAGACAAAAACATGAACATCATCTTCACGTCCTTCGTAAAATTCATCAATTAAGTAGATAGTAATAGAGTACTAGCTTGGAGCGTCCGATAACATCCCTCCCACTAGGATCCTCCTCCTCCCCAAAATAAGAAAATAAACAAGGCAAAGATGTAAGCGATATGCGTTGTCAAATTTCGAAAATTTTCCACGTTTTGCCATCGTTTGCGGATTGGATCTCGTGCGTTTGA